CAGGGGCTGCAGAAGGAGAACCAGGCCTTTCTGATGATGTGCCAAAAGGGTGAGGAACAGTACAGCGAGCCGGAGATCGTGTATTATGGAGGGGAGGCGTGCTGCGAGTGGAGGCTTAGAAAGGTGGCTTTGTGTTTGCCCTTGCAGATTGAAGAGCTCAACCAGACGCTGGATGAACGTAAGCAAGCGAGGGCACAGCGGGCTTGCGCCCAAGAGCCGCCGTTCCCTTGCGCCGCGCCGAACTCGGCATAGCGCCGCTTCACCGCCAGGCACAGGAGCTGGAAAGCCAGATCCAGGACAAATGCAAAGCCGTAGCCTCAAAGAAAGGCTGAGCGCATCTGATTCTTAATGTCAATGTGCTTTCATCGGAATCAGGTGCCCATGGATGCTTTTGCGGTGGCCTACGCCACTGCTGTTGAGACCCTCTGTGCCAGCGAGTCCGTCATGATTTCAGCCCAGCATGCCTCAGCTGCATTCAGATCGCATGAGACGGGTGTCTCCAGTTTTCCGCTGCCAGGCAAAGGCTTTGGGCGGAAGTACGGCGAACCGCGGCGGAAAGCCCAGGAGCGTGTACGATTGCCCGGCCTGTGATCACTGCTGTCCGCGTGACGAAGTCGGAGCGAACTGCTGAGCCAGGCACACTCATTGCAAGGGCCTCCACTGTTCGCTCCAACATCCAGCTGCTCCTGGATTATGCAGCCTGGCTAGCACATGGGAATGTATGCATCTTCGTTTCTGCAGCCTCATTCTGATCAGGTTTCGCAGCTCTTAACGCTGCCACCTCCGGAGGAGGGAGGCGCGTTCTTTGCATTTTCGAAGCATTGCCTGGCTGAGGCTGAGCCATGCTGAGCCCCTACATTTGCCCAGGATACGAAGTGACCGCCATGCCCAAGGTTCCTCGCATCATGAGCGTCAGGTGCCTCCACCGGGGGTGTATGTCTGTGTGTGTGTGTTGGCGTGATTTGGAATCGGGGAAGAGATGCTTTGTGATGCTTTGTCAGGCACTTCTTCTCGCGTGGTGGCGAGTGCTCTCCTTGTGCATGGTGATGCGCAAGATGCATTTGCTGCTAGAGTGCAGCGAGCACATTGAGGCCCTGGACGTTCACTGGCGAGCTGTTGGGCATTCTTTACGTTGCCGTCCGTGGCTCATCGCCGTGCCATTCAGCGCATGCGCGAAATGCATTAATTAGGCTTGGAGCCTTGAATTCAAAAGCAGTCTTATAAGGTCTGTGCCATGGCAGAGCTCGGCAGCCATCTGGGTGCCTTCCGGGAAAACAGCGTCACTCTCCGAGTCGTGCTCTGCGCCTCCAAAGGGTGCGAGGAAGCTTTTGCTCTGAGGCTTCCAAGTACGAGTTGGCCGTAGCACCCTCAGAGTCTGCTGCGCGCTGCTCGTTGCTGTACTGCATTGTACAGGGCAATGCGAATACAGACTGGCTTCCTAGGCGGTTCCAAGCCTTTCCATCTTGAGGGAGGACATGTGTTTCTTGCCGTCTGCAGAGGAGCAGAAGGAGGCTCACAATTTGATTCTCTTGTGCGGATCGAGTCAGACAGCAACCGGCATGGAGGTCCACCGGAAAGCCGATGAAGCGAAAGACTTGTGCGGCTCCCGGCATGTGGCATCACACTGCACGTTTCGAGAGTGGGAGCCAGGAGTGACGAAGTACCGGTCGAGCAGAGAGAGGAAGCACAGCATGCCGTGCAGCTGTCTCGATCAATGGAGGCTCGTGCAGGTGCAGAAAATGCAGACCATACGTTGTCACGCAGTGAGTCTTGGGAACTCTTGCGCGAGGCATCTCAGGCTTTGAGAGACGACTCGCTGCTTCGGGTGCCACATCCAATTTTTTGGCGACGCGTCGTGTGCGAGCGCCTGCGTTCGTCTGCTCTCTACTGGCCTCCTGAGGTGCTCGGGCCCCTCATGAAGAGCGAGAGATTTAACAATGAAATCCAATCCGTGATCAAGTCCTCCAACGAGGCTTACGCTGGTCAGGCTCGCGATCGCTTCCGGCTGCGTCCTGCACAGTTTCTGGACTTGCCCGCACAGTTATGTCCTCTGCCAAACCACGAGGGTGTGTATGTTCAACTGATCGTCCTGGCTCAGTCAAAGTGCAGGGCGTAAATTTAGGGCATAGGAGAAGCCAGTTTTTCGATGCGAGCCATGACTGGAAGGCCCGAAGGCTTTGATCATGTACAATGTACAGCAGCGCAAGTACTGTAGCTGGGCAGCCGCGTTGCTCGACAAATCACTGGATGCAGCTAAACGGTAATGCTGGTAGCCCGTCACAGCGTGCTGGAACAGGTGCATCATGCTTCACGTGAAACTTCAACCTTACATGTGGTTTGCTCGCAGGCCATTCGTGGGCTTGAGACAAGGTGGTCGCAGAAGCTTGCTCGTCGTCTGCCTCTTGGGCCACTACGTGTGCCAGCTCTGCTTCGTGACCCCACGGTCTCCGCGTGCGCCGTCCGGGCCCTCCGTGTCTCTTCGCGCAGCCAAAGGAGTGACACCTGTGGTGGACGACTCCGACCTGTCAGACTCCGACTCGTCCGACTCGGGCAAGTCGGAGCCATCAGAGCCCGAAAGCCGAAAGAAGGCTTCCTTCGACGACATCCTCACCGAGGCAGACAATTTTGCAACATCAATCGAGCGCAAAAGCAAGCGATCAACTGCAGTGGCTCGTGTCTCCTTGGAAGACGAGCTCCGCACCTTGATAGCAGATAGCTTGCGTCGAGATAGCTGTTTCATCAGACCTTTGCGATTGACGACGAGTCTGCGGATTTTTTTGAATGCGTAAGTGGTTTAGCTTCTCCACTCAGGGGTTAGGTTGTGCTTCGTATGACCCTGCTGCCGCCCGTGATAAGAGTTTGGGCTAGTGACAAGCAAAGCCTCAGTTCTTTTATACACGAGTCCTTCACGGATTCCTGTCTCCCTGTATGCCTTTGCGACTCCTGACGTAGCTTCCAGTCTCAGCTTTTCTGAAGGCGGCTTGTCGCTGGAGGAGGACACCGACCTGGACATGATGATGATGAGCCGGGCTCGAGGTGGAAAAGCGAAGACGACCACTTTGAGCTATCGCATCAATCGCTGGTTCGAGGAAACGAAGGAGATGATCACCAACCCGACCAGGATCCAGATCACATATGCCATGGTTTTCTTCTCGTGCTTTGCCAGCTTGATGATCATGGGAGTGATCACGTTTGCACTGGGAGGCGTTCGATTGCAAGGCGATGGTGTTGAATCCGCCATGCGTCAAAAGATGATGAGCGGGGATGCCTTCATGCAGCGCTTCAACATGATCCGGGAGAACAAGCGAAAATTTGCAGAGATGGACGACATCCGAAAGTACACCAGCGACCTCTACACCCTGAATCCGGACAGCAAGATCAACTTTGCACCCAAGCAGTTGGCAGAGATCACCCCGGAAGATGTGATTGGCGAGTTCTAGGATGCGCGGAGCATGTCTTGCACAAAGAAACTTGTACATACTCTCTCTCACCCTCTCAGTGTCTGCCCCTTGATGACATCGTCAGTGTCTATGGTGTTGTAGATGACACGACCCTACAAATCGGTGGCAACAATTTTTGGTGGAAGTGGAGCTCCGCTGCTCTGCAGAGTCGTCCATGCAGAGCTCTTGCCCAGTTGTGCCCATAGTTTGGTGCTTGGGCACCCGCATTGCTGCCATCACCGTGTAACAGTGACCACAGGGCAAACACGAGACCCCAAACCGCAAACCCGATTGCAGAGAAAGTGGAAGCGGGCTCGCATCCGTTGCTTGCACAGAGATGTGGCACTGAAATGAATGCTCCGGGCATGGGCAGAAGCATGCAGGCTGGCGGCACTCCAGAATTCATGCAGAAGTTCCTCTCCGACATGCAGGTGTCCTGCGAGTGGTGGTCTCAGTTCACATTTTGCATGGCAGCGTCTCCCAAATTAGCGTGAGTCAAGACCTCAATGAGACCTGGAGGCACGCCAGGCAGGAAGCCTCCAGAGGCTTGCGGACCTGGGGCGATGAGCTCCGGGAAGAAACGCCGGGGCCCGGCCTTTCGACCGGAGCGAAAGTAGAGAGTCAGAGACGCGAAGAGACGCGAAGAGGAGCGGTCCGAGGCTCCTGGGATTGGGGGAGAAGCTCTTCCTGGAGCTCACGGAGAGGGCTCTTGCCGAGCTCGCGAAGTCCACGCGGGACGCGCACGAAGCGCATCCCAGAAGCATCCTAGCCGCCTGTCCGTGACCAGCTCCGAAGAGTTCAGTTTTTCGCTAAGGACCGTACAGACCTGGAAGGACTTTGGCAGAAAAAGGGCAATTCATGAGCAGCGCTGGTGACCTAACAGTCCTAAGTCCTGGAGCCTTGCGCGATCTTCCTAGTGTCGTTGTGTGGCACGGCTGGAGGCCTGAATCCGCGCTTGGCCGACGCCAACAAAGAGACTGAACTTCAAGAATTGGTCGAAGCAGAAGCACAACGTCATGCAGATGCTTTGCAGACCTGCAAAGAGGACAGCTGCGGCAGTCTTGCTTCTTCTGATTTGCACTTTTTGGTTGTTTGAAGAAACACCGCGTTGACGGTTTAGGACCGGGAAAGGATGGCTGCGTCACTCCGGACCGCATGCGATCATTTCGTAGGCGGGGCAGCTGTGACTCGTCCGTCGATATGCTTTCAGAAATCCTGCGACCACCCGGCACATTCCTGTAGACTGTAGATTCAGACTCAGAGACCATCCAAGCGCAAGTCAGGCCGAACTGCATCCTAATCGCAGTGCCTACGTATGTGCGAGTCGCGTGTCGGGTGGGACAGGCCGTCTGAGCAACATCGCTGAAGTGTCCATTCGACTTCTGGACCTCCTGCCGCTCCACAGTCACTTCGGGGCCTTGCCAGGAGACGAGAAGGTGAGAGGGCAGCGTAGGCAGGCGTAGACTCTCTGTGCATCTACGGGCTAGGGCCGCTAGGGTGGCTAGGGTGGCTAGGGGGGAGGGGATATCGGATTGCCTCTGCAAGGTGGAGCCTCCGCGCATGTCCATCAAACGCCGGCTGCGGCGCCTGAATGCCGAGGACGAGAAGGTCCCAGAGGCTCCGAACCCGAAAGCAGCGGCCAAGGGCAAAGCGGAGCCGAAGGCCGCGGCGGTTCCCGAGGAAAAGCCCAGTGGCCTCCCAGAGAGAAAGTGGATTGGCCTTCCCAAGTACGAGCTGCGGGCCTTGCTTTGTGGCGGTGGCTGGCCAGCAGACCCAGTTCTCATGGAGGAGGAGACAATCGACGAGCAGAAGGTGCAAGAGCTCACAGAATCGCTGAGTTCCTTTCGGTCGCTTCTTGCCCGCAAAATGAGCTTCCGCCAGACGTGTGCCTACAGTGCACCAACTCTTCGGAATCTGAGGCCGGTTCACCGAAGCATCGTGGATGGTGGTGGCCTCAGCTCGTGACGGCAGTGTCATGATGTTGGCGTGTCGTCTTTGATTGAGGCCGACTTCAGTTCTATGAGCGCTACAAGAAGCAGTTTGCAGCAGAGGTTTCCCGGTGGAATGCAGAGATGTCGGCAAGAGAAGCCAAAGAAGAGGCACGCCAGCTTGCTTTGGCACAGCAGCCGAGTTTGCAGCGCGCTTTCTGCAGGCCGGAGAAAAGAACTGGCAGTCCATGATTCGGCAACTGCGGGGCGAGTGAGAATCAGCCACGATTCTTCTGGCTCCGCACACTGTGCTGCACGCAGTGACTCCTGAATACAGGAGATGCGTCAAGCGTGACAGGGCAGACATTGTGTCACACAGGTCTCACCATGTACAGAGAGCAAGAAGGGCAATGTTCAGTTATGTTCACGCCGTGCCCTCAAGGGCCCGTGGAAAGCCATTGCTCGGATGCATGAAAAGCTTTTCTTTTTCTGCTTGCTTTGGCTCTGGAGTCTTGCGTAGCTTGGAGCGATCATGGAGGGGTGTAGCAGCATGTAGCAGCGTGGCTCGATGCTCGCAGCATCCCAGGATGGAAAGTTGAAAGCTGCCCAGGCTTGTCAACCCAGGAGCAATTGCTAACCACCAGCTGTCTGACGCAGCTGTAGCTATGCATAGCAGCTTCGGCAGCTCACCAACGTTCCAAGAAAGCAGACTTGCAGACCTGCAGACCGGAGGCTATCCTAACACTGCCATGCTTCGAAAATCGTGGCTCCTGGCCATCGGTGGCCTTGTTGGCGTGACTGGAAGCTACATTGCTCCGAGATACCAGATCTTGGATGCCAAGGCCAGAGTTCAGGCTTCCGCTCGACTGCTCCGATTGCCCGAAAGAGGCTGACATCCGAGACCTCGACGTGGGAGACCTCGATGACATGGAGGCGTTTCAGGGCACAGCGCGCTCTCTGAAGACTGCCGGGGATGGGCTGAAGCGTTGATGCAGGTCTGCGTGTTCCAAGTATAGAGGGCTTGTCAAGTTTGTCGGAATGAGATCACACGGAATTGTCTTCGTGCAGGTGGACGTCCCCAAGCCCTTCGTGGAGCATGTTAAGGAAGTGCGAGAACAAAGGAACAAACCGAAGATTGACTTCAATTCTGAGGACGACCTTCGCCCGTCCTTGTTGGGGCTAAATGCCACCATGGCTTGTGTGCTTGCTTGAAGCAGGACTTCAAGCGAGACCCGGCGTCCTTCATGACATCAGGAAGCAGTGGTGTCAGCATGGCCTTTGTGCAATTGGACGTGAAGTGGGTGCCCTGCCTGTACTGATGAGTAGACGAGTAGATGTTGGCTGCAAGAGTCCAGAAGTTTCCGAGGCCATGGAGCATGGCAAGCACGAGACCACGAGCCTTGCTAGAAGCTGGACGAGCCTTCTGGAGAATGGAGGATGCCGGGCCGGGCACACTTTTTCGAAGCTCTGCCTAGGGTTTCCCAGTAATGCACCTTCGTGCAGAAACTGTGTCATCATATACTCGCACAGGAGGATCACAAGGAACACGCTGTGCAAACTTCTGAGAGCAAACACAGCGGTCTAGCCGATTGGGCGAGGACTTCCTAGCAAAACTACCCGCAAGTTCCCCTCGAGTAGGTGCGTCGCCGGAAAGCTAGCAGCTAGATGCAGCCGGCAGGAGTAGAGGCCTGAAGCCTCTCGCTCGGAAATGCTGCACGTGCCAAGTGCCGCCAGCACCCTGCAACTGGGCACCCAGCACGGCAGCCAGCCTTCGAAATCGAGCACGTAGCTGCCATGAAACCGCTCGTAGCTGTCGTAGCTTCAGTCAAGTTTCACATCCAGCAGTTGGTGGAGTCCAGCGACTCAGCAGGAGTTTCGGCGCAGATCTACGACACAGATCCGGGCTCCATCTTGATCGTGTGGCCCTGGCATTCTGATTCGGCAGTTTTTTCCAAGTGTAGAATAGAAACAGATGTGCCAGGAACAAGATCCCAGCCCAGAACATCAAGATCAAAGAGTTCGTGCTCTCCCAGCCCCACGTGGACTACTACGCTCCTCGGCGGCTCGCCGCTCCTCCGCTCCGCTTTCTTTTCTCTGCTTTCTTTTCTCTTCTCGAGGAGTTGAACCAGAAACGCTTCTATCCGGACGGGCGGATCTCACCGCGCCTCGGAAGAGAGAGAGAGAGAGAGGCCGCTAGCCGCCAGCCGAAGCCTCAAGCCTCACACTGTCAGAGGCTCGTCTCTGACGACGAGAGGAGGGAAAGGATGGCCAGGAGCCCGAGATGCCCCGAGTGCGCAAGGCAGCGCAAAGCACGGCCTTGAAGTCTTTGAGGCGACGATTCCGGGTCGTCTCGGAGCTGACAAGCCGAAGCCCGTGTACAAGCCTTCCGAGCCCAAAACAGGTGGGCCAAGTCGATGCACAGAGCAGAGAGACACCTGGAATGGCCAGGCAAAGGAAGGCTCTGAGCCGGGCTGACATACCGAGCTCTAGCCGGCAACTCCGCTGTAAAGATCGAGAGTTGCACTTTTGAGCCTTGCTGCATGCTGCGTAGCACCTTCCTGTATTGGCTTTCTGCAGTCTCGGCTCAAAGATTGAAAATGGATGTGGAAAGCACCAGCGCCCTCAAGGCGGGAAGGGGAAAGCCCAAGGCAGAAACGGCCAGGGCCGGGGCCTCGCCTTTGCGCCGCAGGCGCGGGTGGCGGAGTTGGAGGCGCGGCTTCGGGAGCTGGAGGAGCTCCAAAGCTCCTCAGAGCTCCTGGAGCTCCGCGCCCTCGTGGAAGCCCAGGAGGCGCCGAACGCAGAGAGACCCGCATGGCGCCGCCACACGTCCCGGAACGCACTCTTCCTCCTCATCTCAGAGAGGCGGCTTTGGAGGACCAGCGCCGCATCATCGAGAGCCAGAGTGCGGACCCCAAGGGCCCAAATGTCACCCGGGCACTTTCACTTGGGTAACCGGCCGGGCTCAGGTGCTCTCATCGAAGATCTGAGCTCCCACTTGAATGCCACCAGTTCGTTGGACGGTCAGGACTGGCTGAGAGCGGCTCTGCAAACGGTTTCAGACGTGGCATCGCTGCAGGCCTCAAGCACCGCAGCCAATGCGTCTGCAGCTATTCCGCCGAGTTCGAAAGAGCTGGCGCCAAGCCCGAGCAGCCCCGACCCCCAAGGCCACTGTGTTGTTGTATGCTTTTGTATGATAGCCCTTTCCGAGATTCTGTGGCAGGTCCGGGTCCAGCAGGTCCATCCAAGCGCCGGAGCGGCAGTGGCTATGGACGTGGGACAATGAGTGCTCCAGGCCTTCGAAAGCCTGTAAGTGCATCCTCTGGGGGTGCTGGCGCTCCCGGAGGAAGGGAGAAAGTCGGCGAAAATCGCTCGGGAAAGGAGAATCAGAAGCGCTTCGGCTGCTCCTCTGGTAGCATCAGCTCTGCCAGCAGTGGCGGCCTGGTTCGAGGGCCATCCCCTCGAACGACGCCTCGAAGTGCGAGCACAGGAACGGCTTCTCGTGATGCGAGGCGTTCCGCCAACACCGCGAACTCGCAGGGAGCCCCCAACGTCTCGTCTGTAGGGCTGCCTCCCTCGCTCCCGCTGCTGCGGCAAGAGGCCTAGCATTGCCCATAGCCAGCACATGCAGAACTACAGTAACTTCACCTAAACTTTCAGGACCTAAACCCGAAGATGTCTCAAGTGTGTTTTGCGTTGTAACATTAGTGGTGCTGGTGCATCGGAGGTTTCACCGAGAGCATCCAAAACGCGATTGCTCGTGCGCATGTCAAACACTTCAGGAGTCAGCAGGCATCTTGAGAGCCTCGCAGTAGAAGCGTCACGGATGGTCAAGGGTTTCGTGGCAGCGAGCGTGATGCCGTTTGTTTCTTGGCTCTTAAGGCCCTCTGTACTCATGCCTCAACAAGAGGTTGGCATCAACGACAGCAGAACTCAGCCGTCACCCACGCACGTGTCAACAAGCGAAGCCACCTTAGCGCTGAGATGGCGAGCTCAGAGGCACTTCAGGGCCTCGGGTTGCTTTGGCATGTCCCCTTAATTTTCTCTGCCCTCCCTTGTGCGTGGTTGTACTGCCCGTGCCAGGCCTAGACACAGCGGAGAGGGAGAGGACTTCGGTGCGTCGGTTGTTTTTGCAGCGAATGCTGAAATTTCTTTTGATGGTAGCCAGGTGCCTGAGCGGGAGCCTCTTGGTGTTTTTCAACAGTGTGACTGACTGATTGTATCAGTGTGGGACCTCGAATGAGTCAGACATAATTATGGCGGATTCATATGAACGACTCTTTGAAGAATGCACTGGGCGTCCTAAGTGTTAGGACCTGATAACAAGCCCCTTGAGCAAAGTATAGCAAAGCAGTGGATTTTACTCATGGGGTCTGCGTTACTGCAAGAGAGGAGGGGCTGTCGAAAGCCTCGCGACAACGTCAAAGTACAGGATGTGCCGACATGCTCCGTCCGACACGATATGCCCTGTGCCGTCCATGTGCCTCTCTGGCCAAAGCAAGGCATCAACTTGCTCAACGAAGTCGTTGGTTCTGATAGCAGTCGTTCCTGCAAGAGTTGTTGGTAGCTCCTCAGAGCTGGAGCCAGGACGTCATTGACTGGTGTGGCCAGGATACGCAAGCAGTGACATGACACAGGCACGGTCAGAGACGGGTGCTCGTGCGATCCGTGTGGGTCTGCGGCTCCTGAGGCTAGCAAGGGCGCTTGGAAAGGCCGGGCTAAGCGAAGCGCAGCCTGGAGCGAAGCTCCTGCAGCTCTGGAGGATCCTCGCCCTCCTGGGCCACACCTTCAAGGCGCCAAGGATCTGCCACAAGAAGCCCATTGCAGGTGCTGTGATGCAGGCCCGAGCTGACAAGCTTCACTTCTTGTGCTTCGGATGGCCGACAAAGGAGAGTTGCTGAGGCCGGCGACACTACAGTAGGCACAGTGCTCTGCGAGATGCATAATCGAGAGCTCCAGGTATCGTCCGGTGCCAGTGCTGGTGCTGAGCTACTTCGGATGCTCAAGGTGCACAGACGGGATGGGTTAACTGGCAGTGCGATGGCCAGCTTGCCTGTAGACTCAAACTGCTCGGCAGGGAAATGACTTCGACGGCACGGCAGCTGCGCGGGCTGCTCCTGTTCCACCTGCACAGAGACACGACCAGGGCTACAACGAGTACGACTCGAACTGGAGCTGGCAGGGCTGGCAGGGCTGGCAGGGCTGGCAGGACTGGCAGGACTGGCGGGAGTGGACCGAATGGGAAGATCCGTGGAACGAGGCCAGATGTCCAGAACGAGAAGAGGCAAAAAGAGCACGAGCCTAATCATGTAATCAAACGTTAACCAAGTTGACCACGCTTGGCGCGGTAGCCATGCAGATCCCACAAAAGCTGAAAACGGCGAGCTTTATGCCACATGAGACATGGCGATCGCGGCATCCTTTCCCGTGATTTTCTTGTTCCGCGGTGATGACATTTTGTAGGACAAGGAAGCTGTTTGATTTCAGTCTAGCGTGAGCTTCTGTCGGATGGGGAGGTGGGTTCCGGAGGCTTCGGCCGTAGTCATGACGACTTGGCCCTCGGTGTCACTGTCAGTGCAAGAAGGCTAATGCAGACTGTAGGCTGTAGCTGCAAGATCAGTTGAGACAACGGTAACTGACAGTGGCTCGGACCATGAAAAACCGAAGACTCGCAGGAATCCGGGAATTCGAAGCTTTGAGCACAAGCTTCAAGATTGTTTTGCAGGGTGCCACCACCAGCAATCGGTGTCACAGAAGCCACCGTACCCGGATAAGTGATATGCAGCTTTTGTACCAACGGTTCCGTCGCCACAGGAGATGCCTAGAGCAGAGGAAGACAGATGTATGGAAAGTGAAGAGAAGGAGCTGAGTGAAGACGGAGCAGATGACCTGAGAGTTGGTCTGACAGGTTGCGGAACGGCCATGGGATTTCGATTCAGAGCGGCACAGCCTGGGAGGCCAAGACCAGGGCCAAGGGGTGGCAAAGGTAACGGATCCGGCGCTATTTGATTCAGCTTTCTTATGCGCAGCTCGTCCTCATTTGCGCGAAGCTGCGTGGTCACGTAGGGACTAGTGCACCCAGCACCGGCAGGGCCTTTCAGAAAGAGTTTCAGTACTGTTTCTCGGCATGGTTGTGCATCGCTGAGGAGTCTGTCGTCGTGCTGTGCTGCACTGGAACGACCTGCCACGATTCACGCTGCTACTCAGCTGCAGGTTACGAGCCGCGGCGACCTCCAGAGCGCAGCAGTGGTCGGGACTATGACGCTTTCGGCTTCGACGAGGCCGGGTTGGACCTCACTTCTCAAGCAAAGGCCAACAGCCTTGCTGACAGGCACAGCCAGAGTTTACATCTTTGGCACATGCCTTGGTCGACGAGTCATGGTTTCTTCTTGGTGCTTGTGTTTATCACTCAGCGTTCTCCGTCACATAATCTGCGGTTTCCCGGAAGGCAGACATTGCGAATCGCACGAAGCTATTCGCGGAGACTTCAAAGCAAAGCGAAATGCAGGATGTGCGCCACTCAGCTTTTCGCAAACATACCTCGGGCTTCTGGGATTGGGTCGTCCAGCAGGGCATCGTGCGGGGTAAAACGATGCAAGACGCCTGAATATACGGTCAACCCTAGAAACGTGGAGTCACGTGTGGCGCCACGTTTCATGCCTGGCCAGGGTCTCGCTACTTCGGGTTTCGTGTTGCCGGGCTTGCTTGTTCTCAGAGTTTCAGCAGCAAGAGCACACCACAGTAAGTCGCGCAGAAGGCGCAGGCAGAGGGCCATTATGTTCCATGCATCTGCAAGCATTGGGAGGATTGAGTTTGGATGGCGATCCGCCTGACATCTCCATGACTGAGGCGAGGTCCTGGCCTGCATCGACTTCGCTGATGCCGGTCCCAAGACATTCCAGCTACGAGAACGCCTTCAGCGGCGTTGGCTTCGCTGAACAGTGCCAGTCCACGTGGGAGGCAGGGAGCGTTCAACGTCACCACCCGAGCATCCAATCACCCTCCTTTCTACCCACATCCGCTCCTCCTCGACCCCAGTGACAGCGCCCCTGCAGAATCCCGGCACGAGCGGGGCTGTTTCATCTATGCAAACATAGATCTGCGTCTGTGGATCCTCCTCCGGCTGCCATTTTTGCTTTCAGGCTGTACTACACTGCCTTGGCTTGCTATGCTTGTTGTCTTTATTTGGGCTTTGCAGTAGCGGTAAAGCCCCGCGCACACCGATCTTCTGAAAGCAGATGTCGACCGAGCAGCCGCCGGCAGGTGGCGGTGCCGAAGCTCCTGCCGTGCGCGAGAAGCTCGCTTCCGTTGCGCCGGAGGGGATGGCCACGATCACGTTCCTGATCACCCTCAACATCCAGCCAGGCGCCGACCCTGCCAAGATCCGCGAGATTCTCCCGCGCCTGGCCGCGGGCGTGGCGGCAAAGCCCGGCGCGCAGTTCTACCAATCGTACCAAAAGCGCCCCGACCAAATCGAGTTCATCGAGACGTTCCAAGACTCGGCCGCGGCCCTTTACCACCTGCAGAACCAGGACATGGACCTCGTCTCGCAGTGGTACTCCCAAATTGCGCTGGAGAGCATCGCCATCGTCGGCCCCGCGTCCGACGCGCTGCGGGCGGAGCTCGCCAAGTACCCCATGACGAACGAGCCGCTGTACATGGATGGGCTGAGCGGCTTCCCGCCGCAGCTGACGACGTGAAGTTGGCCGCGCACTTCTCGGTCGCTCTCTATGGTCCCCGTCGGCACGCGGTGGCTGCAGACGAACCTGCAGGAGGGGCGTCTCCGCCCAACAAGGAGCTCGCCGGACACAGCGCAGCGGCACGGGCCACGGACAGAGAGAGAGCCACGACAACACCAGCCTGCAGAAAGAGTTGCACTCGCCGCGGAAGCTTCTTGAAATGCGGAGGCAGGATGTGCCCTGCTGTGATCCTTGAGCAGGAGAAATGTCCTGGCATGCCTTCAACGACGATGGTGTTGCCTGCGCAGGCCCTCTGAGGGTTTTTGAGTTTTCTTGTCCCTCTTCCACGGCAGATACACGTAGAAAAACATCCTGGGTCTTGGCGGCTGATGTTAAGTTGTGCTCTACCAGTGGATCGATCCAACATCCGAATCCTTGCCAGACACCTTCATCACTGAAGCATGTTGGCCTTTCGGGAGGAGGGCCAACAGTCTGTGCGTTTACTGCCAACTGACGGAAGCACGGCGGGGGTCCCGGTTTGAAAGAAGGCTCATGCTGAACGTGAGACCAGTAATTTGAGGTCCCTGCGATGCCTGCGGGCGCAACGTCCTGAGTCGTCGCGGCGAGTGCATAGAGCTGTGGCTCGAGTGAATCGCAGCACTGTATCAGCAGGAGTCGCTGCCGTCAAATTCCGGACTCGATCCTCGGGCTTACTCACGTGGCTTCAGCAAGCCAGGACCTTGTTTCTCCAAGGGGTGCCATACTAGTAGCCGGCAGCGATGAGAAGCATGGGGGCAAAGCAAGCCACAGTGCTGGGAAACTCCTGTGAGGTGGTTCGGTCCCAATGCAGTGTCACCGCCAGAAAGCGCTTTCATCACGAGTACCGGTGTTCATGAGGCAGCCACGTGTCATGTTCACCCGGGTGGCTGTGTCATGTTATGTTTGCGCGAGTTTGTCGAAGGCTGGCTTCTCCACGGATGCCGGAAGTGGTGTGGAGTCCAGTGAGGAGGAGGTGCAGAAGTGAGAAGATGTTGTGTACAAAGTCTCCCCTCGGCGGCACAAAGATGCTGCCAAGAGAAACCCCCCCTTTGAGTTTCCCAAGTATCTGCTAGCGGCTGCTAGCCTTCTAGCCTTGCGGATTCCTTTGTACATAGTCCACAAAAAGGCCTCAGCTCCACAGCTCCAGCCTTGAGCTGAGCTGAGGCGTGAAGCGCTTTTTAGCCCCTTTGAATTCAGGGCTCCGGCTTTTTCTTTTTTTAAATGCGGCGCTTCGCAGTCGCAGTCCGTGAAAAGACTGGGCACGGCTTCCGCCGTCCGGCGGCTCATGCGATATGTGTGAAGGCTTGGGCCTCTGTCAGCGTGATCGTCGCTTTGGCTCAGCTGCCAAATAGAGTGCGGTGAGGTGGTGACAGGACAAAGGGGACAAAGGCATGGAGTTCAGTGGGCCTATCTTTGCACTCCAGGTTGACTCTCCCCTTGTTATGCTTAAGTTTTAGTGCAGCTGCGCGCGAGCGGAGGAATAAGCAGGCAACCGTCTGGGAAGCTCAGCGTCGACAACGTTCAGCATCAGAGCCGCGGGGCCGACTCATTCTTCATGCCAGTTATGGTGATGTAGCCTCCTTGATTCCATGCCATGGACGACGATGCCGATGCGGCTCTCGAGAAGTTTTTCGAGGAGGCGCGAGACGTGTGCCTCGCCGCCTGAGCGCCCGCGCGTTTCGGGGTTTTCTCTCCTCTGCGAGGACGCTCTGTTGGAGGCCCTGCAGGATGCTCCCGATGTGGAAGCCCAAGCGGCGGCCTTCAAGGAGCCGCAGCGGCCGGCATCTTCTGGGCCCTCAGAAAAAGGGGTCCTTTTTGCGGCTCGCAGGCCCGTTCATCTCGCTCAACCTCGGCCCGAGCTGAGAGGCAGGGTGGGATCTTTCTCGCTCCGCCGGCCGTCACGGTGCCTCCGCTGTACACTTCCAGGAGTGAAGGCTCTGAAAGCCAAGCGGGCTGTCAGATGCGAGCGGCTGCGCAGGCACACGCACAGCTGCAGCTCTGCGAATCCAATCTCCGCTTCCTCCAGCGCATGAGAGTTTTGTGATGTCTTCGTTCCCGAATTGGCGGAGCCGCGAGTGGTGCTTCAAGTCCTTACGCCTTTGTACATGCGAAGACGCTTCTGCCTCTGCGTCCGCAACAAAGGGTGCGAGCGGTTGAGGCGGAGCTCGCAAAGCTGGGGTTAGGACAAGCGTTCAGTTCGAGCGCCGGGAGAGCGCTGGCCCACACCCAGCTGGAACCGCTCGCAGAAGGGCTCTAGCTGTAGATCAGGTTGGAGAGACGTGTTTTTCCATGGTATAGCGACAAAGCAAGACCATGAGCCCGCAGGACAGTTAGGTGAAGGAAGGCGTTGTGCTTGTCTGCTTGTCCTGTGTCCGGAGGCTCCGCCCACCTCTCGGGAGTCTGCGCCCTCACAGAGTGACGTCGAAGCCCCTGGAGCATCGGGACGACGCCGCGTGAAAGGGAGGTCTTGGCGAGGCTTTTGAAACGCTGATGTTCAGGGATGCGAGTTCCTGTGGTGTGGAGTTCGCCGGGAGGTACCATGGCAGTGGTCCTGGTAAGCCTGGTGATATGGGCCGGACTGCTTACAGTCTGGAGCCCTCCGGAGCTGTGGCCAGATGTTGCGTCTGCGGAAATGCCGGCGAAGGTGGCGGGCTGGGCCTGGGGGAGTGTTCGGCTCTGTTCGGCTTGTTCCGTTCGCTCTTTAAGCTCGCAGGAGACGATGAGGAGCACCCCGAGACCCATCCAGTTGCCGGGGCAAAGTTCAACGAACGAGACCCGTGCTGCTGGGCCTCGGGGTCGCGTGAATGTGTCGTGGTCTTCCCTAGATATGACTGCTGGCAATGCCACGGATGCAGCAGAAAACACCACAGGCCTGTCACGGGACATCACAGCGGCTGCTTGTGGCACATTAGCGATCTGAGCCCGGAAGGTGGAGGTCGCCTGCCGTTCCGTCGCAAGGGCCGACGTTCTGATGGCATTGGCCACTGAGAGCATGTTCCCGGATGAAAGTGCCTCTTGCTGCTTGTATTGAGCCTTTGAGCTTTAGCAGCTCTAGCAAACTCGCCGGCAAAGTTCTTGAGCAGGTCCGAAGCTTGAATGCCGTCTTTTCTGCTCAAAAACTAGGCCATGTGTCAACTCGTGAATGGAAGAGATGGCGGTCGACTTGCGCCAAGATGCGAAGAGCGCGAAGCCGAACATGACGGATGCAAGGGATGGAGCTCTTGTCCTCGGCCTGTGTCGTCGTCTTCAGTGGAGGAGCCCGAGGTGCGTTCGCGCTCGCGGCGCGGTTCGTCAGCTGCAGGGCCAACGTCTCCTACGGGTGCTGGCGGCGCTGGTGCTTTAACGCACTTGGAGCCAGATGAACATGCGAAGAAGGGGATGGCCGAGGTGCTTGCCCAGTGTTGGGCTTGGCGGTGGGGCAGAGGCCATCTGTCACAGAAGCCAAGCCGGGCACGCGTCCGTACCCGGCTGGCCAGCTGGCTTGGCTATTGTTTCACATTTCTTTTCCTGCAAACTGGGGCAGCAACGCCTCAAGTGGCCTTTTTGACTTTTCAACAAGGAGCTTCATCCGTACTTCTCAATCTGCCTGCTAACATCTCAGCTGAAGACGTCCGTCTGGATTCAGAGGCCTGGGTGACCTAGATAGGTGACGACATACACACATGTGTGCCATGATTGTTTCAATCGTTCGGTTCTCTGTGGTCAAGGAGGATTTGCCATACATGTTCACCCCTCCAGTGGGCCCTTGTCTGTTCGCCTTGCGTTTTGAAGATAATGCCAATAGTCTGGAGATGCCTATGAGTTTGAGATCTATACAGTACAAGTCAGGGACGGGTATTCCATGCCGATTACACCTGACAAAGCTTTTTGACTTTGGAACTATTGGAAGGTAACAGGTCCAAGTATGTGCCTGTCCGGCTCTGTGCGTCGGTGGAAGGTGCGAATCACCTTTGATGAAGACGTGGTGCTCCAGCCCTCCGGACAGGCGGCTTGCCCAGAAGCTAACCTGCTTCTTTTTTGCAGCATGCCTCGCAGCCTCAGCCGATGCACGCTCTATGAAACAATGGCACGTGACTGCAGCTGCAGGTGACACTTTTTGATGGTGTCAACTCATCATCTTTCGGTCTGGGAAGTGGGGCTGTTCCTTGCTGAGAATTACCGTCGCGAGGGGCAGTTGCGCATGCAATCCAACAGCCGAAGCCCTTCCCCTGAGACATCTTCAGGTCATCGATGTGAATGATTCCAGCCAGTTGGTACTGAACGAGGGGAACTTGGATTCGACTTTTCTGACAGAGTTTGTCGGCTACTACCTGACAATTGATGCCGGGACGGTGTCGGGGCCTTGGGGCCTTTGCCAGAGCTGATGGCTGATAACATGTCATCTTCAGAAGATGGCGAAGTACGCTCAGGCAAAGCGTGGGCAGCGGTCTTCCGAATGCTTTCTTCCAGTATACTTTCGCCACGGGTGATTTTACTCCACCCAGCCTGGTATCCGTTCTTCCTTGCAATGGAGAGCCAAGCCTCAGCCTCAGAGTTTGCAAAGAGTTGGAGACCCTTGCGTAGACTCTTAGACCCGCCCTCCAAAGTCGTGAAGCAAAGCGGCTAACTGCATGTCGACAGCAACTTGATTTCACCTTGTCGGGTCAACATGTTTGAGGCGGCCAATCTGTTGAACATGCTTGTCATTCTGTTACTGTTGACCGATGTCCGCATCATTCTTCTAGACGTTTTTGCCACACACCCTCGCCACGTTCTTTGCCAAGGTGCTGACCCTGACGACAGCATTAACTTGACTTTCTCGGAGGGTGTCGAAGCGTCCGCGGATGTGGCAAAGGCAGCACGGGCGGCCCAACGTTTGTGACACTCAAAGCTGGGGTTCTGGCAGGTCGTCACCATCCAAAACCTGTATACTGGTGCCAGCACCAGTCTGCCCTGCAAGTCGAACTCCGTTGCATGAGCCTCATCCTGGGTCCTATGTCTGCTTGTCCGCCATGCATCCTGACGCAAAGGTTCTTGAGTACGACAGTGCCATCGTGGACCCAGGCGCTTTCATCATTCACTGCCAAAGGTATGAAGCAGCCCGGCGGTTCAAGCAATTGGTTCTTCCTCGTTCCTGCTCTTGCTGCTTTGGCGCGTCGATGTGCTTCCACTCTGAAGCAATGTGGTTTCTCTTCCTACTTGTAACAAGTGCCAGACACCTGTGAACGAGCGATGGCGCTTCTGGGACGAAGCGCTCCATCCCTGCATAACGGCTGACATTGACAGGTAGCATCGCTCGTCTCAATTGGGAGGACGGATGGGTGGATAATGACACGCTCACCCCAGGTCTGAAGTTTCTAGCAGCTTCAAGCAGTGTGGCGGGTTAGGATTGATGGGGTGGGGTTGACCACCAGCATCATGATCAGGTAGTGCAAGTCAAGATTCTGGCGCCGGATCACAGTTCGGCTCATCCAACGTTACTGTTCAAAGGCAAGGAAGGAGAAGGCTCGAAGGCTCGGCGAGGTGTTGGGACGCATTGAAAAGGCTTCCGGAAAAATCAAAGCCACAGAGCAGGGAGGTCGAACTTACGGATGCTCTTCAAGCCTTCATAGAGCCCTCGTGCAGTCTGATAGCGACTTAGTCGTCGGAAGCAAACGCGAAGCTCAGAGGTGTGGCTCCAGTTCTGACGAAGATACTTGATGAAGCGCCCTCTCGCCCTGTGAATCGATGTTGTGGGAGCAGACTTGCATGGAGAAACTTGTTAGACAATGTGAAGCCGCCTTGCGACATGTGGCATGAAGGGAGGTTCCCTACCCGGAAACAGAGGGTCGCCAGCAGGACACAGAACTGGCCGAAGGCGAAACGTGTGGATATCGCAAGGTGCTGGGAATTGCATTGTCTCGTTTTCACACTTGAATGATGTGTCAAAAGCGTGGTCATTCTCATCTGCTTTCATCGCGTATATGTTATATGTTCGTTTCAGGATGTAATCGCAAAGACCAGCGCATCCGATGGCAAGAGGGGGTGGCACTGAACTGCCTCGGGAAGTCCGTTGGTCTTAGGACAGGCCGGTCCGGACGTGGCGAGCCACACCGAAAACGCCTTCACTCTTGAACCCATGAGAGGCCCCGCCGTACGACTCTGATGCCTGATGCAGCAAGCATGTGGAAACAAACCGCCACAACATGTGTGTATATGTATATATACATACATGTACACACACATTATATACACACAGACATTCTATATACACATACACACGTGTCCATATCAATGTCTGTAACTGTACCTATATCTGCATCTGTATCTGTATCTATCCCTATATTTTGTATCCATGTCTGTATCTACTTCTAGGTCTGCTTCTATATCTGTATCTTTATTTCGATCCATATCTGTATAGATATCTATATCTATGTCCATATCTCTTTAGATATCTATTTCTATATTTACACCTGAGTTTGTTTCTATACCTTGACTGTGTCTATGTCTACATCTCTATCTATGCCTATCGGGTTGAAGCTATAGAGTGCAGCGGGTCCAACATGCACGCCTTGGCAGTGGGAAGCTGTCGGCGAAGCCCGACATGCTGTTCGGTCGTTTCGGATCATCCGGACCACTGGACAGCCAGCCCAGGTTACCTACACCTCCGGCTGTTTCCGCGACCTGTCCGCCTCCCAAAACGAAGTGGCAGCGCTGTCAGGAGGTGCAAGCCCTTTCTGCATCGTTCCAGCTTGCAATCATCTTCGGTTCACGTTGGTGCACAGGTGCATACGTCTTCGAAACGTCGTGCATCACGGGTTTCAGTCCTGCCAACAACGCTGACGACTTCGCTTTGGATGGTAGCATTGTGATCAACTTCAGCGAGGCTGCTCACCATTGGCAACATTTCCTCATGACGGGAGCCGTGTCTCGTCCTTTCATGCCCGGTTCAGGCCGTTGAGCCCGGTTCAGGGAACCTGGTGCTGACTCCAGTGGCCCGTGCCTCGCAGTACCGATCTATCCCTGTTCAAGATGAGCTACAGGCAGGAAGGGGGGAGTTGTGTCAAAGTCACCACAGTTTACGAGACAAGTTCCTGCTTTTCTTGATTTGGCAAGGTGTCCTTTGATGTGCTGAATACGTCAATCACGATTTCTCCGAATGTCACGCCCTCGGATGTGCCAGGAGCTGTGTGAACCCTCGTCTTGTTCCGGCGACGATGCGTTTCAGGACCCACTATTGGCCTCCGACGTTGCGCGCTCCAATCTGTGTCCCATCAATGCCGTGACATTGGACGATTGCAAGGGACAGGCCAGGGATCGGTTGCGATCACGATGTGTGGAGACTCCTTCTGCACGTAAGATCTGGGACATCACAATGGCTTCCGGGGTCTTGCGCCGTGCCACACCGACAATGTTGTTGGTGTGATGCCCAGCGATCACAGCTTCGCAGGGAATGTGAGCAGAAATCTGACGAGAGAGGCACAGCGAGATCTGTTGGAGCCTCTTCAGCCCGCGGGCTCTAACGGCGAAACCTACCGTGCCCTGAGCCCAGATCCTGCTGAGCTGTCTGGTGCAGTCGATAAGCTGATGCTGCTCTGCAGGTTCGCACACGAGCAGCGGACGTCACGCCACCAGGCCGGTCTTCGGTGTCAGTGGCTAAAGGTCCAAGTCTAAGCATTTGGCACAACCACTTGTCCCAGTTATGACGGTGGTATCAGCCGATGGCATTTCGGAGAACATCATTCGCATCACGATCCGCAGGGCACCTGTCGCGAAAATTGACGGCTGTGAACCAATCAACGCACCTGGTGCTGAGGTCTTGATGAAAGTGGCACATCTTTTTGTCAGGCCTTTCCAGTGACGCCCTCAGATCCCCCCAAAGTTTCCTTGCTTCCGCTTGATTCCGCTTGCAGTGTTTGATTCCGCTCAGGATGGCTCCAGCGGGCAAAAGCTGGCAGTGACACTTTCGGAGATAGGGTCGACGTTCGCTGCCTCTGTCTCCGCCCTAGGCTTCATGAAGCTTTGCAGTTGTTTATCCTAGTACTGCATCACTGCATGCATTTCCAACCGTCTGAGGCTGACTTTAGCTCAACATTTGGCTATGCTGAAATGGAAGTCGATGTTCCGGGCTCAGAACGATTGAGCATCTTGCTCGACCCGACGAAACTGCCTGTTCAATCTGGCTGGAGACTCCAACAGCCTTGTACCTGAGGTTGCTGACCTGGCAACAAAGACCTTCTACAACGTGTATTGCTATGCGCAGGAGCTGCAGCATTCCAAATCCAGAGACTCCACAGCGCTGAACCTACAAAGGACACGGAGCAGCCCATCGTTAACGTGGTAACCATGGGTGCTGCAGTGGCAACCCGACAGCGGGTCCGCACCCTTGACACGACAGCACCGCTCTCCTTCAATTGCACTGCCCAGGCTGGTGCTGTCTCTTCTTCTGTCCTGCCCTGCCCGGCTCCAACTGCACCGCGCCCCTGCGCAGGCGGCTTCAGGACGAGAAGATGCCATCGATGTGAGCCTAACACTGGACGAGCTTGGCACGGCCTTCTGCGTCGCTGTCCGCGCGGGCCTCCCACGACCCAGCCGTTTCATGGTGGCGGCAGGACGGATTTGGAGCCCCATGAAAGTTTCAGAATGTGGACGATCTCGCGACGACTTGAACCAATCAAATCTTTTAGGGTTTAGGCTCTTTTCGCAACCACTCACTCTTTGAGATATTTTTCGGTTTTTGCCAGCGAGTCGCTGCTTTTTTGTTAAAAGGTTTTCTTAGGCCTGGCGCCCATGCTAGCCTATGGGGACTTTGTGTTTTTGTGAATCAGTCACACCTGTTTTAAGTTTGGGGTTTCTCGTGACCCCTCAATCTCGATCCTTTCAGGTGTTGAGTCTAGGGAGCCAGTCAGTCACTCCTTTTCGGGTGTTGGCATTTTGCAACATCCGTGTTTTTGGGGCTTTCTGCCCATTCTAACCTGTTGGGGTCTTGTGTTTTGCGAACCAGTCACTCTGTTGTCGGGTCTCGCTCCGTCGAGTTTGGCATTTTGATGAACCTGTCACGTTTTTTCAGGGTTGCAGGATTTCGCAGCACACCTTTTTTCTGCGTTAGCTTTCGCTGCGAGGCACTCGTTTGTGGTTTTTGGGATTATGCTGCAAGCATTCGCTCTTTTGGGGATTTGGGCTGTTGTTGTAAGCAGTCACTGTCTCCTTGAGCTTAGCGCTTTTCACTTCCGAACACAATCACACCCTGGAGCGTGCAAAACTCAAAGGCCGTCGAATCCTTTTGGTGTTCAGAGTCGTGCTTTCCGCAGCCACTCAATTCTTGTTGGTTTCGGTTTGTCGGAACCGGTTAGCCCTTTTAGGGTTTTTTGTTGAAGCAACTCACAAATTTTAGGGTTTGAGTTTTGGGAAGCCTGTCGCGCCTTTTTGGAGTTGGGCTCGGGGTTTTGGCAACGAGTCACTGTGTTTGGGATTTGGGGATTGCAGCATTCACTCCTGTAAGGGTGATGGTCTTGCCATAAGTTCTACACTTTTAGACTTATGGGTTATTATCACATTATCACAGCTTTTGGGGTGTGAGTGGTGAAGAGGAGTGACTGGTTCCCCAACATCCAAGACCCAAGAGCTCCGAGTGGCTGCCAAAAGACCGAAGCGTGCAAAAGGCATCATGCTAACAGAGGTGGTGATGTGGTGATGATGATGACGGTCATCATCATAGCCATCATCATCAACAACTTGCCAGTTTCCTGATCATCATCAAGATCATCATCCTCGTCGTCGTCATCATCACCATCACCATCACCAACATCGCGGTCGCTAGAACGCTCGTTGCGAGCAGAAACATAACAGCAGTCCTGCTGCATGGTAAGGAATCCAGTCACGCCCGAAGGGTGAGCATTTCCACAGTAGGTGATCATGAGTTTCACCGGGCATCATCGTTGCCACAAGCAGGGCAGTTTACATGAGCGTATGAGTCATCGGATATCGCAACTATCACCCTCGGAAGAGGCGAGCACGACATGCACCGACGGTGAAACCAGTAGACCCCCTGAACAAACGACAGCTGCCCCTCCGCAACATCGTTCCTGCCGGGCTAACAGCAGTTGCAAACTGAACATGGTGTTCTCCAGCTGCAACACTCACCCTTTTTCTGTTTCTGGATGGTGAGGTTATCGCAAAGCACGATGGCAATATACAAGCCCAACAACCGTAAAGCAAAGTGCTGCCCCACTCACGATCTCAAGGCATGTCACAGCGGAAGGCATGTGTACAGCGGAAAATCAAGCGAGCATCAGCATAACAGCTGCTGTGATAAGCTGTTGCGCGTGAGGATTCAGCTCAATCACGTTTGCATACGAGCTCCGATCTCAGCAGACACTGTCGTGCCAAGCTTCGCAGACAAAGTGATCACCAGAAGCACAGGCCTTTTGTGGCGAGTATGCTGGTTGACATGGTTTCTGCGGACTATGGGCCAAGCGGACGGGTCCCACTTCAACGGGGCACTGACTACAACGTGTTCTGCTTGCTGCTTAAAGCTCACAAGACTTGCATCCTTGTCTTTTCGGAACATCGGTTTCGTAAGGCTGGGCACAAGACGACGAAGGACCGGCGAGATAGAGCTGCGTACGTGATCCTTGATCCTTCAAGTGTTGGTATCCAGGAAACGGCCAAACCGACCCGGTCCAGTGTGGACCTGATGCTTTGCCAGGCATTGTCCGAACGTGCGCGGCTCAAGCCCGAAAAGGGGCCCCACAGTAGCAAACATCCTCAAGCGCAGTGTCAGGGCCGTTGCTCCCAAGGCTGGACACCACGCCTCCACAGATGAGCATCATCGACGCCGAGGATCGTCATGTGTCCATGTTGTGGCGGGATCTGTTGACTGTTGACCTCGCGACACCGGCAGACCGGCAGGCTGTTGCCAAGGATACGCTCCAGCTCATCCTGCGCCTGGACGAAGGAGCTAAGGTCTGGTGCGCGACCTTCGAGTCGGAGCCGAGGACCCAGCAGACACGCCGCGCTTCCTCCGGTTGCTTCGGACTTCGGACTGTCTCCTTTGCAAGCAACAACATTATATTGACTCTTGAAGCAACCTCCATTTGAGGTTCGTTCATGAACCCACCCAGTCAATGACATCTCATGACTCAACCTAGTGCTGCTTGTATGTTGAATCTCCCACCGAATTCGCTTGGGTACATGCGACTGGCCAAGCCGCAATTTCCGTCCGCTACAGTGTTTTGATTCATGTCGCAGATTCCGCCCAGAGGCGCAGTCTGTCGCTCAGCGTCATTCTCGCCGGTATTCCTACCCTCCTGCCCTCCTACCCTCCCCGACGACTTCCTAAGACCTCCGGCGCTGCCGTGCCGGCCTAGGCCGGTGAACATGTCCCGTGACTTCGAGAGCTTGATCAAAGCTGAGTCGGCCAACTGCACGGCCCGGCTCCCGGCTCCCGGCTCGCAGAGCTCCCGCAGAGCTCCTGCTCCTCTCTGTGGGGGGGGCCCGGGCTTTTCATGAAAGCTGCGCTGCCAGGACACTTTGGGAAACGAGTGTGGCAGTTTCTGGGTTTATGACCTGGACGACATCGAGGATTCTTCCGCCGACGGGGTCTCCACTCCAGCGGATTTTGATGCCAGCCCATGGAAATACCAGCAAGATGTGTCGATATTGCTGTTGAACCTGGAGGAAGTCGGACACTCGGGAGACAGCATGCGATGGAGACACCTCACATGGACATAAGCTGCATTCAGGCCACTCGATACGACTACATCTACTGTTATGCAGAGGACGATGAAGATGACGGTGCAAGACTTACGGAGCACAAGCTTGTTCCTGTTTCCAGCCCTGTCCCCCCTGCGCTGTGAAAGCCAACGGAGCTGACATGGAGCGAGGTACAGGTTCCGCAGCGAACAAGATGGTCTTCAATACAGGTGTTCAGGCAAGTCAGGTGGAGTTCATTCGAACTCAGCTCGGAAGCATTGTCACGCTGGATGAAACACCGCCGACCTTCACTGCACTCGAGATCCAGGATATTCCCAGTGGTCGCAGCATTTACAGATGCTGAAATCTGTGTGCACGGGTCCCCAACCTGCTGAGAAGCTTGCAGGATCCTACCTCCTCCAACGATCGAATCTCTATATCCTTTGAGTTGAACGAGCCTGGAACTGCATACTGCCGCGCGACACGTTCAGACTCTGGTGAGACAGCAGCCGACATGAGCCTTGGGCTTTCTTAGATGTGCAGAGCATGCTGTCTGTGGGAGCAGTAAATGCTGTCTGTGAGTTACAAGCAAAGGCACCTGAACCGAATTCTGTCTGCTGGCTGGTCGTCTGCATATGATGGAAATGGCACACGGCGGGGAGCTAAAGACGAGTCCGAGTGGAAGAACACATACCACCTGTGCATTGACACTTTCTTCTGGTTGAGGACAATTACCATGACAAAGCTCGAGAATGTGGATCCACTACTTACCAGCCGTGCCGATGAAGATGTGTTCTTCTTGGAGGCCATCGCCAGCGACCGGTATGTTTTGCTTGTGTCAAGGTCGAATGCATTAGCTTGCTGAGGCCACCCTTTACGATGTGTACTGCTGGGCACGCGATGCAGCCGTGGACACAAAAGGGTTCCCAAGACCGAATTACATGACGCAGGACACGTGCTAAGGTCAGCCTCCCGTTGTAGGACTGCAGTCATGACCACAGAGCGCTTTGCAGGAATATGTGAGTGCAGATACTGTCAGTGCTGGTGAGAGCCTCAATTGGCTCGTGTGCACACCTTCGGCATCGAACGGACAATCCAATGCCGGAGTGGCCAGGCTCTCCTGCTGGTGGTCGCGTCGCAAACATCTGGGTGAAAGACTCTACGCCACCGAGCGTCACTCTCATCGATTCGGAGAGCCTTGACTCCAACACCATCCAGGCAAGCTTTCTCTCGCTCTCTCTGGAGTGTCGGGATTTGTGCTTGAGCTGAGATGAGTTCCTGAATGCAGGTGACGCTCCAGCTGGACGAGCCTGGCACGATCTGGTGCAGGGATGCCCATCTTCATCTGCCGGGGTCTCGGGGCGGGCGAGTTAGTGACGCTGTGCTGTACCGAGGTCAGGCCATGAGCTTGCAGGGCCCCGATACCTCAATCTGCGATAACAGCAGCTTGCAGGCCTGGGGCCTGACGGGTGTGTCGATCTCCCGCAAGGAGTGTTTCTCCTTGCCAGGACGTCAATGACACCGAGCCCTGCTACTATGAAAGCCACATCAAAGGTTCCGGACAATCCGCAGCACCCTTAAAGAGCCCGGAGAGCGTTGGTCGGAGACCCGGAGTTGTTGGCTTCTTAGGTTTTCAGCATCACAGCGCCGACGCCCCACCGCAACGTCCACATCGCCATGAACCGCTTGCTGGACAGCAGCCAGGTTTCCACGACCTTGGTCTCTCAGACGGATTACCAGGTCCCCGGAATAATTAAGCCTTTATGAGGAAACATGCGGCGCAGTCTTGCGCCAGGTGCTCTGCTTCGCGGAGGATGATTGGCCCATAGAGGTGTTGTCTCTTGTTTCTGCGGCGGTGGCGTGACCATGAACGGAGTGTGGTGGGATTGTTGGCGTCAGGCAAGTAGCCTGCAGCTCGCAAGCCGTTCGCCGGGACCTCAGAGTCCAAGGCCGCGATGAAAGGCGAGAGCACGTGTTCTGTCGCTTAGGCCCAGCTTCGTGGCACCAACCCTTCCGAACAAGGCCGCCTTGCACTTCAAACTTTGGACTTGGGCAGAGGGTAGTCAATCGGAGGTTGCGCTGTCAGCCGTCCATTCCCTGCGAGAGCTCATCGGAACGAAGAGAACTTTGGATGAGAGTCCTCCAAACTTCACGCAGCTGGCGATAGATGATCCCACCACCTACAACGACCGCATCATCGTGGCTTTTGCCCTGAATGAGCCGGGAACTGCTTACTGCCGTGCAACACGATCCGACTCCGGGGAGACGTCTGCTGACATGTCGCCTGCCTTAAAATGAAGCTGCAATAGGAGCGTGGCTGAAGCTTTTGCTTTGTCTGACGTCCGATCTGAGGTCTGTCGTGCGCATCCTGGGCGTTGGAAGCCTACTTGCAGAGCAACAGCTCGCATGCCTTGGACATGGAAGCTCTAGTTGGTTGCTAGTTGTGAGTTGTTGGGAGATATGCCGGGGGGAGGGGGCGAGGGGTTTGCGTGGAGGCCGGCTGGTCCGCTGCGCAAAATGGCAGCACGGTGCCGTCTGCATCCTCAGTGTTTACTCTTCTTTGAGGCTCTCTGACTTCGAGCTTGGGGATAGTTTCAGGTCGATCATCACAATGACGAAGCTGGAAAACATCGACCCTGCCCTGACAAACCGCGATGACCAGAACATCTTCATTGATGAGGCAAGGCCACCCAGTGTTATGTGGCGGTAGGTTGTGTGCCCGCCTTGTCTTGTTGTGTTAGGCATCTCAGTACGATGTCTACTGCCTGGCCAAGGACGCGGTTGTCGCATAAGCATGTTGCAATGCTTCTGCCATCGCAGGATGACGCCACCGATGATCGCGGGCTTTCTCGTCCCAACATCATGGCCGCCGGCTACATAAGTGCTGATGTTGTCGATCCCTTCTCCCCACAAGGAGGCCGCACTGCAGGAGCCGCATTTGATATCACTGAGGCAAGTGTCGCAGTCGTATTTACAAGCTGAAGCACTGTATGCGAATCGAGAAACTCAGAGTCGATGGTACTTGCAGCTGCCAATGTGCTAGTGCATGCTACTGCCTCACCAGGACGGGAGACTTTCCATGTCCGTCAGTAGGAACAAGCTGGACAAAAGGGGAGCCCAAGGGACACATCTACACTCACACAGGCTAACTTCTGCGGTTAGCAGCAGCTACTTGTCTGAGCACACCCGTGTAATTGCTCATCATCAGAACTGCATTCGATCAGTCCTAAGTGCAAAGGAGTAGCTTCTTTGATTTTGTAGTGGTCAAACACAAACTGAAGAAACGGCAGTGTTGGGCCGCTTTAACGGCCGCGCACCGCCACTGAGTGCACAACAGCGGAGGACGAAGGGTAAGGCTTCCCACCGACATGAGGACATCATGCCCGTAAGAGAAGTGAGTTTGGGGGCTGTGATGAGGAGCAGCGGATCGCTTTGAACTGAACATGGCTCATGGCGGAGAGTAGCGGAGATGAAACTGTGGAACTGATATTTCCAGAAGCCTGGAGCAACAGGGAAAGGGTGGAAACCTCTTTGTTCATGTTACTTTCAATTCTTGTGGTGCTTGACGATCCGACCACCATCTGCCACCAGCACTGCATCAAGACACAGTCCATGCACCTTGCCGTGAATGTAGAGGAGTGTGGGTTGCAGATAAGACGCCTCCTGGAATGCCTCCTTGAAAGCACTAGTCGTCGGTCTTGCCCCTCTTGCCCCCTCTCACAAGGGTATGAGCCTTGCGTTCTCTCCTGTAAGGATCCTGGTTCGTGCCGCAGCTGTCGGACAGGAGGGAGAGAGCCCGAGAGCCCTCTGGGTGAAGGGACTCCGGCTCAGGGGCTCGGGCTCTGTTTGGGCGCGCCTTTTCTGAAGGAGACGCTCCGGATCACGCTGCAGTTGGACGAGCCTGGAACCCTCTGGTGCCAGGGCAGATATCTGCTTCCACGATATCGTGATATTGTTTTTAAGTCATGCATCTCCGATGCCAGGTGTCAGGCGGCAGAAGTGGTGGCGGCCCCGACCCAGTTGCAACCTGAGAGAGTCTCTGGCCAAAACATTCAGGCCAACTCCACCACTGTGCTGAACTGCAAAGAGGATGAAGTGCAGGCCACAACCAGCATCGCATGATGTAGTTGCTGTCACTGTTAGCACGCTGTCACAATGTCACAAGCAGGCCACGAATTCGAGTGAAGACTGTTTCTACGAGGAGCTGAGTGCGATGCTCTCTAGTCTTTCGCTGCAATGAACTGATGCCTGGTGGGTGCCAGGACTTTGTTAAAGGCCTGGATAACGAAACCGTCTTTAGCGCAGAGGCTTCTTAGAAGCACATTGTTTTCGGCGTTCGCGGGGAAGCTTGTTGCAAAAATTAATCGGTTCAAGGTGTCCGAACCTCACCGCGATGTGGTGATCGACGTCACGCGGATCTGGCAAAAAGATCAGACCTCCACTCCTTTGATGCATGAGCACCTCTACTCCGTCTTCTGTTTCGCTGAAGATGATTGGCCGGCCCAGGCCGTCTGCAGCCCAATCAGCCCCAGCGGCCAGAGCAGAGCAAGCTTGGTAGAGAGCGGGAGTTGCCAGCACTCAGGTGTCGTCGTCTGTTTCGGTGAACTTCGCCTTGACCACCGGGACAAACAAAGTCGACCTGTCTCAGGGCTTGGCCTTGAAAGATGCGATTGGGCCCCTGGCAACCTTAGACGAGGCACTCTTTTTGCAGATGTGTTCTGCGTGGTTCAGGACAATTGCAGCCTCGGAGTTGCGTTCTGCAAAGATCAAATCTGCTCAGCTTGTCTACTGGATATGAGTCCTTAGAGTCTGCCGCGTCTGCAGCTGTCTCGGTCGCTTGCACAGGCTGCTCCAACTTTCACCTTCCTGGAAATCGAAGATCCAACTGCCGGCAACGATCGAATCGTGGTTGCTTTCGCATTGAACGAGCCGGGAACTGCATACTGCCGACCCACACGTTCAGACTCGGGTGAAACATGGTTGGACATGCACATCAACCGCATTGTCAGCGCTGCCTGGTCTTCGCCGTTCACATCAGGCGAATTCCTCAACTTCAGCAACTCTGTTTCACCTTTCATTTGACGAAGCTGGGGGTACCAAACTCCCTGTCCAGGTGTTGCTACCATCGAAATGACCAGCATCGCCAACCGAAGCCTGGATCGACTGGACAATGCAGCTTTGGAAGAGGCGGTGCGCTACGACGTGTACTGCTGGGCAGAAGACGATGCCTTGGATGGTTGGGGCATGGCACGTCCAAACCTCATGAGCCAGGACCGTTCCTTTCTCTGGTCTTAGTTTGAGTATGCGCAGTTGTTCGCTTCTGGCCAAGCAAGGACTATGCCGGGACAGCAGTCGACAATGCCATGAGCTCAGAAGCGTGTAAAGGTCCCACCTGGAGACGTTCCACGTGCGGAGGCCTCCAGCCCGGCCGGCGGTTTCACTGCTGGCGTCTGGGTTCGAGACTCCACGCCGCCCAAGATGATCTTCGTGCGGTCAGAGGCCGTCGCGCGGTCGACGCCCACGCTACAGGTGCGCCGCGCCGAGTTGGCAAGTTCCGGGTTCCGGGAATGTTCCGGGCCAGGCTCTTTGATTTTGTGCTCTTGCGACATTTCCCGTGATCGGTGGCGGGGGGGGGGGCCTTGTGAAATTCTCGACGGCAAATGATAGCTTTCGTGGATTTGGCCAGGCCGGAATCAATAAAAGCGGATCTCGCATCCTCGTAGCCAAATCAAGGTATGGAGGCCGAGGATGCCGTCAATTTCCTTCAATGCCGCAAGATTGTTTCCGACATGACACCAAGCCATGTATATACGCATATATGTATATATGTATATACACACGCAACCGCGCACACGCGGATGACTCGAACGATAAAGTGGCTTCGAAACTTGCTTGGCTCGATGAAGTAAAATTCACCGAGGACCAGCCCGGACAGGTTTTTTGGAAGCATCCTGTTCTTCACTTTCGTTGCCGTCCGCCGCTACAGCCTGGCCCACCTGTACGAGCCAGGGCATCCCTGCTTGGGAACAAGACAAGTCGTTGCAAGCTGTAACGTCGCATTCGCAACGGAAGCGACCGAGTTTTTGGCGCAGCATAACATGAAAGGAATCTCCGCGAAATATTCAGGCGAGAGAAACCTGGAGAAGGATCCACAGACACAGATAACGAGGCTTCTTCTGTGCATGTCCACACGGGGCATTGAGATCCAGGTACAGCACGAAATTCTTCCAAAAATGGTTATACGCTGTTGTGGACATAAAGTTCACGACAGGTGACCCTCCAGCTCTCAGAGCCTGGCACTGTCTGGTGCCCGTACCTCAGCGAGGCCACCACTGAACGGGCTTCTTTAGCATCCCCGCTTCCCAGGTCAGGCTGCAGATTTGCTGGATGAGTGCACGGCTACGGATATTGCAGGTGAAACAAACCCTGGCAGTCCTTGTGGGACACCAAGTCAAGGGCTGGCATAGGTACTAGTCGCAGCCACTTGTGTCAGCAAGCTCAACTTGGCTCACCAAGGCTATTTCGTGTCCTTCATTAAGGGCAACACGACCTCCAGCTTCGAAGTTTCCGTCGAGAGCGCCTACCGAAATGTTGAGGTCGAGGTAAACATCTCAGCATAAAAGCAAAGTCTTGGTTATCGATGCTGTCAACGCAAGGATGGTGAACTGGCCGGACGCAGCAACAAAAACTGAACTGCACAAGGTCTGCAGGCAAATCGGCGTCCAAAGGCCAAACATGCAGGGACCTGACACGAAACTGTAAAGTCCACTGGATGGTGGTTTCACACGTTTGAGTGCCTTGCCAAGTCAATCTTGACAGGATGCTTGAGGTCAAAGACGCATGAACGGAGGTCCAAAGCGAATGCAAAGAAGTGCAAGAGCCCCTGCTTCGGACACGCCTCAACTTCAGCCAAGGATACTTACGGGAACATCACCTCCTCAAAGAATCGGGTCGGGGACGGAGGGGGGGGGGCGGTTTGTGATGAAGGCCTGGGCCTTGCTATCCTGGGATTTTAGCAGCATTTTATTGGTTTTAAGCTGCTGGCACTGGGGTTTTTGGGTACTTGTACGTACCTTATACTTTTCCCATCATTTGCGTCCCGCAGTCCGCACCATGCACCACGAAACTTTCTGCACTTGAAACCGTTCACCTCAGCCATTTAGGGCCGGTGGCTTAAGGAGTTGCAGCCAGGGTCGAGATGGCTGAGCCTAATGTTGAGACCGAAACCTCCACATGCTTGGTTGGGGCTGTTGCGCAGGAAAAGCCAAGGCTTAATTTCAACGCTACGCCGCCCGCCTTGGCTCTGGAGCAGCAGGGTCGCGGTCTAACGATGAGCAAGAGCAGCAGTGCAGGCCTGTAGGCCAGAGTCCTCCTTGCGGGCAAGGGAGGAGGCGGGCAGCGGGAGGAAAAAACACGAAGGAAAGGGGGCGGGTAGGGGGCGAAAGGGGGCAAAAAGCAGGCGGGGCGGGCGAGGGGGGGGTGGGAATGAGCGCAAAAAGCGGGTCAGGACTGTATCTGAGCCAAGACGCCTGGGCCTGTGGCCTCGGCGGATTAATCCAGATTTCTCAACTAGCATGGTGTCGAGAAACGTTGAGCACTTGTGCTGCACTAGTCCTGTTTGGCACGAAAGGTTGAAGCGCGTGTCATGCACGTAACCTCGACCCTGCATGTTGCATGCGTTGGACGAGCCGACAATGAGGTCAACGTCCTGCAGCTGAGAGCCGGTGGGACCCGGGCGCTTGAGCCGCAAAGGCCTTACAATGTCTTCTGCTTAGCAGAGGATGATTGGGTGCTCCAGGCTCACGTGATGTTCTCCTTTCATGAATGTATCTTCCTAAACACTTTCACATGCAGGCAGACGCCGCAGCAAACTCCATCAGCTACGTCTCGCCCAGTTCCCCTTTGCAAGTGTCGCTCAACGACAGCATTGCCTTGAAAGGCGAGATTGGGCCACTTGTCACCCTGGACGAAAGCCCACCGTCGTTTACCAAGCTGCTTATTCCAGATCCCACTGCGTACAACGATCGGATTATCGTCGTCCTGGCTCTGAACGAGCCGGGCACCGCATACTGTCGTGCTACTCGATCGGACTCAGGAGAGACAGCAGTCGATATGTCTGTCAATCGTGTGATCGCAGCGGGGTGGTCGGCAGTTTTTGCAAGTGCTGACGTCTCCATAGAAATGACAAAGCTGGAGAACGTCGATCCCGCTTTGACGGCCAGAGATGATGTGGATGTGTTTTTCGAAGAACAGACGCAGTACGATGTGTACTGCTGGGCGCAGGACAGCGCGGTGAACAGCCAAGGGGTCCTGCGCCCGAACTACATGTCACATGCCTACATGGCGACAGAGGTGAATTCTAGCTCAAGTCCGGCTGGTGGTCTGACACAACATGTGTGGGTCACGGATTCGACTCCTCCTACCATGATCTTCGTTCGGGCAGATGCTTTGGCAAGTGCCACTTTGCAGGTGACGCTGCAGCTGGACGAACCTGGCACTATCTGGTGCCAAGCCGCACTACTCAATTCATCGATTGTTCCAGACTTTTGTCGTGCCGGTGATGTTGGACTAGCCGGAGATTTGCAAGCTACTTCTCCAGCGGTCCCATGCTTCTTCGAAGAGTACGCCCGGACCCAAGTGTATGCCTGTCGTGAAAGCTTGCGCGTCACGCTTCACACGACGGCCAAAGTAGGTCCCTCCGAAACGGGAGCGTTTTCGACAAACAAAGCTGTGCAGAACAGGCGAATCTAGACCGGGGTCATAGGAGCACAGGGAAGATAATACGGGAAGTTCGGAGGGCCACCTTGATTCTGACATGCTGGGACTGCTGGCAACGCAGGCCTTCCAATTCTTCCTGCTTGAATGTGTAAGATCTGATTTGCTGAGGTGAAGGGAAATTTGACCACGTCCAGCTTTCAGGTGGAGGTTCCTGTCGCTTACAGAGATGCCAGCATTGACATAAACGCAATCAGCCTCAAGGACGGATCTGCTGCTGCCAACCTCACATCGGAGACTGGATACAATATTTTCTGCTTTGCTGAGGATGATTGGGTATTTCAGGCAGATGCCGCAGCAAACTCCATCAGTTACATCTCGCCCAGATCTCCTTTGCAAGTGTCGCTCAACAACAGCATTACCTTGAAAGACGAGATCGGGCCACTTGTCACCCTGGACGAAAGCCCACCGTCGTTTACCAAGCTGCTTATTCCAGATCCCACTGCGTACGACGATCGGATTATCGTCGTCCTGGCTCTGAACGAGCCGGGCACCGCATACTGTCGTGCTACTCGATCGGACTCAGGAGAGACAGCAGTCGATATGTCTGTCAATCGTGTGATCGCAGCGGGGTGGTCGGCAGTTTTTGCAAGTGCTGACGTCTCCATAGAAATGACAAAGCTGGAGAACGTCGATCCCGCTTTGACGGCCAGAGATGATGTGGATGTGTTTTTCGAAGAACAGACGCAGTACGATGTGTACTGCTGGGCACAGGACAGCGCGGTGAACAGCCAAGGGGTCCTGCGCCCGAACTACATGTCACATGCCTACATGGCGACAGAGGTGAATTCTAGCTCAAGTCCGGCTGGTGGTCTGACACAACATGTGTGGGTCACGGATTCGACTCCTCCTACCATGATCTTCGTTCGGGCGGATGCTTTGGCAAGTGCCACTTTGCAGGTGACGTTGCAGCTGGACGAACCTGGCACTATCTGGTGCCAAGCTGCAGAGATTGCGTCGGCAAGTCCCAATTCTTTCTGCAACGAGCTGGACTTCCAAGACTCGGATCCTTTGGCAGAATGCTTCTTCGAGACCTTTGTGAAGGCCTCGGCTGCCCCAGCAGATGCTGTCTTCTCTGTCCTTGCACCAGAAGCCTACCGCAATGTCGACATCAACATCAATCGCGTGGTGAGTAAAGATTCCACTTCAAGCGCAAGCTTGACCTCACAGCATCAGTATGCCGTTGTTTGCTTCGCGCAGGATGATTGGAACATCCAGGCACGTTTGGGTTTGTCCATGGTGCGGGCAGCATAAATCGTCGCTGAATCCAGTTTCACGGGCTGCGGGAAGGGTTGAGGATTGGGTGAGGGAGGCTGCTAGCAGGTCTCGGCTTGCGGCTTTTTGAACTCTTCCATCTGCTCCGGGGTCAACTGGAGCCAAGGAAGTCTCATGTGACAAACTTTCAACCTCTGTGTATTTCCCTAAGTAGACCTAAACCCTGAACCCTAAACCGTGAACCCTAACAGCCAAAACGGTTGCCAGGACCCCCACAGTCCTTTAATGGAGGCCTATGGCCCTTAATAGTGGCTATTTGGGGTAGTTCGGGGGTGTGCTTTTCGGTAAGGGTTTAGGGTTCAGGGGTTGAGGGGTCAGAGGTTCAGGGTTTAGGGTTTAGGGGTTTAGGATTAGGGTTTAGGGGTTTAGGGGTTTAGAGGTTGAGGGTTGAGGGCTAATTTGAGGCAGGTGCGGGATGGTGTGCTGAAAGGCAAGGGAGAACGCAAGGTGCGTGGGGAGGGTGTGGGTAGGGTCGCAATGGCTCGGCATGACGTTCGACAGGCTGACGGCCTACCATCGCCTGAATACACTCCACCGGCAGGACCAGCTGTTTTGTCGCAGTTTGGGCGCGGCCTTGGGCTGTGGGCGTTGAATCAGGACCGAACCAAGTGAACTTGACGGACGCACGGCTCCTGACAGATGCGATTGGATCACTGCTGACCTTGGATGAGGCCTGCCGAAATGAAATGCAACGTGCCCTTGCGCTGGTTGTTTTCGACAGCATGCCTTGCGTGAGCTGAGTCTACGAAAGCACAGCAGGCCCCACCAACTTTTTCTCTTCTGACGACCTTGGATCCTACGCTGACGAACGATCGCATCGTTGTCACCTTCGCCTTGAACGAGGCCAGGCGGCCAGGTCATGTCACCATAGTGGAAGCGTGGTTGGGGGTTCTTTTTGGTATTTTTTTTATGTTTTTTTTGGGGTATTTTTTGTGGTGTTCGGTTCGGTGGGTACGCGAGTCAGTCAGTCAGCCGGCCAGGCAGTCAGTCAGTCAGTCAGTCGGTCAGCCAACCGCGCGGTCAGTCAGTCAGCCAGCCAGCCAGTCAGCCAGCCAGTCAGTCCGTCTGCCAACCGAGCGGTCAGTCAGTCAGTCAGTCAGTCAGTCGGTCGTCCAGCGGTGAGTCGGACAGCCAGTCAGTCCGTCTGCCAACCGAGCCGTCATCAGTCTGGCTGTCTGTCAATCAGTCTGCCAGTCCGTCAATCCTCTAGTCAGTCGGGCTGTTGATCTGGCGTTGCACCTGCAACCAGTGAGCATGGGGTACCGGAGACTCGGAATCGCCAAACGAGGGGGCGCGTTTAAGATAGATGATGAGCCGTTATCACCAAAAGAAGGGGCGCGTTAAAGACATATGTTGAAACGAAACCGCCAAAAGAGGGGGCGTGTTCAGGATATTTGGTGAACGGTTATCGCCGAATGCGGGCGCGTGTTAAGATATCTGGTGAACCGGAATCGCCGAATGAGGGGGCGTGTTGAAGATATGATGAGCCGTTATCACCAAAAGACGGGCCGTGTTTAAGACATATGGTGAACGGTCATCGCCGACTGAGGGCCGTATTAAAGATATTATATGGTGAACCGGAAAGGGGTGTGTCTAAGATTTTTTGCATAATCTATGGTGAACCGGAATCGATAAATGAGGGCGCTTGCTTAAGATGTGATGAACCGCCGGTCCTCTTGCAAGTGCGTTTGCAAAAGGGCGGGGCTGCGCCGCCCCCCAGACCCCCCCCGGCTTTCTCAAGCCCTGTTTTTCTTTAGCGAACTTCGTACCATCAAGAACGCTATGGCCATTTGCGATGGTCGCAGCACGTCAAGCACATAACTATTCTGAGACTTTTCAAATCCCGTCCCAGGGGCCCAACCCCCCTCGCTTTATGTTTGGGCCACGCAAGCTAAGATATGTGGTGAACGGTTTTCGCCGAATGAGGGAGTGTTAAAGACGTATATGGTGAAGCGAAATTGCCAAATAACGGGTGTGCTTCAGATATATATATATATATAATATATAGATATAGATATATGGTGAACCGGAATCGCCAAATGAGCGAGGTTGTTTAACACGTATCATGAGCCTTTATCGCCAAATGAGGGGGCGCGTTTATCATGTATGTTGAACCGTTATCGCCAATTGAGGGTGGTGTGTTTAAGCTCTAGGCTGACCCGGAATTACCAAGCAAGGGGGGGTGCTTACCGCTTGCAAGTGCGTTTGCCAATGGGGGGGGGCTGCGCCCCCCCAACCCCCCCGCTTTCTTCAGCCCCGTAACTTGCTTTAGCGAACGTCGTGCCATCAATTGGTCGTAGCAAGTGAAGCGCCTAACATATATGAGACGTTTCACAGCCCGTCCTAGGGGCCCGACCCCCTCCCCCCTGCTTTATGTTTTGGCCGTGGTGAATGGTTTTCGCCGAATGAGGGGGTCTTGAATAGATATATGGTGAACTGAGATTGCCAAATAACGGGGGGGGGGCGTGCTTCATGTATATATACATATATGTATATGATATATGACATATGGTGATCCGGAATCGCCAAATGAGGGGCTTGTTTAAGACGTATCATGAACCGCTATCGCCGAATGAGGGGACAAATTTAACATGTATGTTGAACCGGTATCGCCAATTGGGGGGCTGTTTCAAGATATAGGATGACCCGGAATTCCCAAATAAGGGGGCGTGCTCTAGATATGGTGAAGCGGAACTACCAAATATGGTTCAAGATATATAATGAACGGAAATAACCAGAATCGCCGAATCAGGGGGCGCATTTAAGATATATGGAGAACCGGAATCGCCAAACGAGGGGGCGTGTTTAAGATATGTGATGAACCGGAATCGCCGAATCAGGGGGCGTGTTTAAGGTATATGATGAGCTGATATGAGCTGTAGTGACCGAAAGAGGGGACGCGTTAAAGGTTATATATATATATAATACACATATACATATGATGAGCCGTTATCGCCGAATGATGGGCGCGTTCAGGATATATGATGAACCAATATCACCAAAAGAGGGGGCATGTTTAAGGCCTTGGGTGGACGGTTATCGCCGAACGAGGGGGCGTGTTAAAGATTGGTGAACCGGAATTACCAAACACGGGGGCGTGTCCAAGATATGTGGTATAGTCATATCTATGGTGTACCCCAATCGCCAAATGAGGGCGTGTGCTTAAGATGTGATGAATCGCCGGTCCTCTTTTGCATTGCGTTTGCAAACCGGGCGGGGGGGTTTTATAATTCTTTGAAATTTCCAAGTGTTCCGGATCCATCATAGGCAAAGAGGGGGGGTTCCCGGTTCGTCAAACCGCGCAAGCTCGCTTCAAACATCATTTTGCCAGCAAAAACAGAATCCATATGAACGTGATGCATACGTACATTGGGTTTGTAACTGGGGGGCTGCGCCCAACCCCCCGGCAACCGCCCGCTTTCTTCTCATGCCGTGCATGGCTTGCCGTCAAGAAGAATTCCGTCAATCACATAACTCTTCGTCAAGAAGGAATTGCGTCAATCACATGTTTCTTCTTGAAAGTTTCGAGTGTTCCAGATCCATCATACACGGTGCAAGTTCTCGACAATCCAGGCCCAGAAAACCATAAGAAATACACAAAAAAGTTCAAAATCAGGCCCCTCCGCGTGACTCTTACAGGGTTTTCGGCACAGAAAACCATAAAAAATACCCAAATAAAACCATAAAAAATTAAAAAAAAACCTGGACCCTGGAAGCGGCATGTCCGGAAAGACAGAATGGTGCGAGCACGCGCAGCGGCAGATATCTTCACATTTGCAAACCAGCACAGAGAGACAGGGAGGGAGAGAATCTGTGTAGAAGAAATAGATGAGAGAGAACACTTGAGGAGCCCGATAAGAGGCCCTCGAAATCAAACTGCACTTTTCGGTTCTTGGACCGGATCTTCATGCGGCGTGCCTCGTGCTCAGGGTGTCAGCTTGCCGTACCTTGAGGCCAGATCCTGCGCAAGCAAAGCAAGCGAGAGAGCGCAGAGAGAGAGAGAGAGAGCGAGAGAGTATGAGCTTGCCCTCGCGAGGGCGTGGGGGGGAACCTGCCTTCCTTTGTCTGTGTGGAAGAATAGAGAGTGCTTTCCGTGGGTGTTTCAGTGCCTGGCCCGTGCATGTAGCTCCACAAGTCGGAACACATCTCTGCTGCGAAGCATTCTGCAAGCCTCTTGGCCTGGCAGGCTGGCACCACGTTCTGCCGGCCCACTCGACGTGACTCAGGCGAAACAGCTCAGGACATCTCCATTAATCGAATCATCAGCGCGGGATGGTCAGCGGTCGACGATGGCAGTGGCAGCGAGCACACGATCGAAATAACCGGCCTTGAGAATGTTATGCTGAATCAACTGGAGCCACTTGATGAGGCAGGAGTCACGCATTATTTGCCGGTTGTCAGTCACTTGCCGAGCAGAGTAAAGCCGCGGAAGGCACAGCAGTACGATATCTATTGCTGGGCGAGGGACAACGCAACTGACATGCAAGGGTTTTCCAGGGCGAACTTTATGTCGCAACCTGGCGGCTGTGAGACAGTTGAGCAAAGTACAGCAGGACTATCTTCCCTTGATATGCGCAGCTGGCTTCGTACAGGCATGCGTATGTGGGGACGGCTATCAGTAATGACACCACGCCAAGCGGTGGAAAGATCGCCTCGACCCCATATTGAGTTTGCTGTCCAAGCGGTTGTTGAGTGTGGGTCTGTAGAATCTCAATGTTTGAAGTCGCTCAGGAAGCTGTGTGGATCACTGACAGCACTCCTCCGACGTTGTACTTTGTTCGGGCAGGTGGTGTGAAGACGGAGGATTGTAATGACGTGACTTCACATGTGAGCTCAGAGGGACTGAATAGAAGATCGAAGGCCAGTCATAGCCTTCCGCAGGACACACTGCAGGTTACTCTGCAGCTGTCGGAACCAGGGACGATTTGGTGTCCGGAGCCAAGCCTTCATCAATCAAGCATCGTCATAAAATCGCTCATACTTGAAGCGAGCCGGCCTCGCTGAGGTCAGGTGGCCGAGCCGGCCAATGCTTCCTCAGGCTCTCCGTATTGCAACGAAGACGAGATCAGCTCCAATCTTCTCGATGCTTGCTACTGGGAGAGCTTTGTCAAGGGCTCCAATGCCCCCAGCACCTTCAGCGCGGACGTCCACACAGCTTTCGAGTATGTCGAAGTGGAAATCAATCGCATCTGGCGGAAGAACACAGCATCAGAAGATCCGCTCCTCCCGGAGACGGGCTCAGTGAGTGTTTGTAAGGCTTAGAGATGTGTCTGAGGGGAATCACCTGAAGAAAGAGCAGGAGACGGGCTACAAGATCTTCTGCTACGCGGAGGATGACTGGCCCACGAAAGCACGGAGTGTGACGACATCTGCTGCGACCCTGGCATAGACAACACAGACAGGTAGAGAGATGCTTGAAGGCATGCAGCATCCTTATAGGTCTTCTTCAATGAATCTGGGCTGCAGCCGCAACAGAGCAGCCTCGCAGCTGTCACAGCATTCAAGGACCACGGGTCGTGCACCAATGCACCCATTGCGCTCATGCAATGCAATGTGCCAGTCTAGAAACTGTTGTCCCAACTTGGCTTGCAAGCACCTTTCTCGCGAGGACGCTGTCGGGCTTCGAACGACACTGGACCTGACGCCACCGAACATCAACGTGTCAAACCCCACAGCACCGTCCGAGACGGCGATTACCGTTCTCGTGTCGCTGTCGGAGGCCGGTACCGCTTTGGGCTCAGCTCAGCTAAGTGCAGAGGTTGTGTCGCGACTGCGCTCGAGAGAAGATGTGGGCGCTGTCTGCCCGACGCTGAGGCCTGGTGCAAGCCCGTGAGGGATTTTGCGGATGCTCCAAGCTTGCTGGAGATTCTGAGCGCGGGCTTCAGTGCCGCCATGGCAGCGGAGCCCTACATGGCGACGGTGATGCTCAGTGGTGAAGATGCCACCGTGCCCTTGGTTCGAGGAACAGACTACAAGGTCGGGTCGCTCGGGTGAAACAACCTCACATGCGTCCGGCAGGTGTCGAAACACCACAGCTACGATTTTGTGCTGCTTACAGTTTTGCAAGGAAGAAAAGAGACATCCAGATATCGCTTGGTCTCAGTCCACCGCCGGACATGACGATATTTTTTGCTAAACGAGGGTCGGTGCGGCAAGATTTGGGGAGGGCAGTACGTTGGCTGCTTCGACATACTCCTGTGGATGGCAGAAGATGATTAAGTTTGCGGTGTGGGGGATGCGCAGGCAGGGATCCCATCGATACTTGCGTCCGACGTGGGGGTCCTTTGCTGAGACGATCGGCTGCGACGACAATCAACCACGGAAAGAAGCAAGCGAACTGCCCCCGCCCCCGCTCACGGACTTTGCGCCGGAGGGTCAGTCGCATGACGGCCCTCCGGGAAGGTCCTCAGAGAGGAGTCCTCTCGAAACTGGGTAATTAGCAGACTGCGGCCTGTTGGTCCCCGCTTGAGATCCGTGTGAGGTTTCGCCGGACGCCAGCAGCGCAGAATGTACCGCAACATGAGAGTGAAGCGACAGACGGCAAACATCATCAGCCGTGATTGGCATTGATAATACGGCAGCTGAGTCTCGTGCCGGCACAGGTTTTCTGCTACGCAGAAGATGATTCGTGCCGGGAGCCTAATTCCGTGCGCTAGTGCCAGAGCTGTCATTAACAAGCCGTCATCGGTAGGTCTGTTGTACCTTGCAGACTGTTTATCTTGCATTCAGGCACTGGCTGTGCCTATGGTGCCGGCATCGGTTCCGAAGCGATTGCAGAAACTCGAACGAGCATCCGCACGCTGGACTCGCCATATATCTTGACAGTGTTGGTACATGCGGAGATGCAAACACACGAGAAAGCTGGAAGCCTTTCCTAGAGCTGTCGTAAGTAGACTCCTTGGGCCACTGCCCCTCCAAGCCGCAGGACACAACGCCTCCGCAGTTGCGAGTGGTGAACGTTCGTTCCATTGCTCGAGACCAGATTCAAGTCACAATCCAGGCCTAATGGCTGTGCCTTGTGCGCCTTTCTTTCGTCTGCGACCTCGGCCAGGCTGACGAGGGCGTGCGCCTTTGGTGTGCAGTTGGCCCCTTAATTGGCTTCTTTGTCTGAGCTTGCATTGCAGAAGCTCGTTGTCCTTGCAAGGCATGGCCAGCCGACCTGCCTCCGACCGATGACCTTGGATTTCCTTTGAATGCAACAAACTTCGAAGAGATCATCAAAGACTGGGCCACGAGTCCAGGAAGATGCATGGACTCTCTGGGCGTAGCTTGTGGAAGCTTTTGGGTCTACGACTTGGATGACCTTGAGGACTGCGTGCCATAGCTGGCATGACCGCACAGAGAGCCACTGTTGTGTTGTATGGTTACTGACAGGACTCAGCCTTGGATGGCATGACGTCTTTAGCATCGTACAGGGACGAGAGAACTTGGAGACACCATGAGGACGTTGTTGTTGTACTGAAAGGTCTTTCGGAGCAGACCGAATACAGCCACCTCTACTGCTATGCAGAAGATGACGAGGACGATGGTCCGCACCTTACTTGCCCCTCCGGGGAATAGGGCCGACAAGCTGCAGCACTTAACGACATCTTGCCTTACTCAGCAAGCCGAATCGAGTGAGACCTCAGCAGCTGAAGAAGGGCGTCCGTTCTGAAGTCTGTAGCCAGTCCGTCGGGTAACCTTGCTGGTGTCAAAGCACGTCTCTGCGATGCCGGCTAAAGGTGGCCGCTAGTTGAGGTCTTGGGGCTGCGGCGAACAAGATGACTTACGACACTGGAGAGTATTCCAGCCAGGTTATCATGATTCATCAGGGTCTTGGCAACGTGACCACGCTCGATGAGACCCCGCCTACTTTTACTCAGCTGAGCATACAGGATCCGACGAATTTCCCGGATCGCATTGAGATCAGTTTCGCTCTGAACGAACCTGGAACAGCATACTGTCGAGTCACGCGATCTGATTCCGGTGAAACGGGTGCTGACATGTACATCGCTTGGATTCAGACAGCTGCCTGGTCATCGACACACGATGGGTCTACTTTGCCAGCAACGATCGAGATCAGCAAGCTGGAGAACCTGGATCCGCTCCTCACGAATCGGGATGATCAAACGGTTCCCATTCTGGAGGCCACCCGTCTCTGCAGGAAGTGAAATGTAGCAGCAGAGCAAAACGGGAACATCCATAGCCTTGCATAGAGCAGAGGGGAGCCAAAAGGGTTAGTATCTTCCTTCGGAGGCACAGCAGTATGACGTCTACTGCTGGGCCATGGACAGTGCCGTCGACACTGCCGGACTGGCAAGACCAAATTACATGACGCAGAGCTATGCGATCACGGAAGTGAATTCCACAACCTCTCCGGCCGGAGGTGCCTTGAGTCAGAAGGTCCCCGAGTCTTGGGGGCCCAGTAGGCTTGTCCCTGCAGGTTGGACACGAGGTGTCTGGGTGGTAGACTCCACCCCTCCGCAGATCATCTTAGTCGGTGCTGAGGCACACACTCTCTTCCCTCTCCCCTCTTCCCTGTCTCTTTGAAAAGCCCAGCTGCCGAGGCCGTCTCCTCGTCAGAGCTGCAAGTGACGCTTCAGCTCAACGAGCCTGGCACGGCTTGGCCCTCGGTGCCGGCTTTTCGCTTCCGCACTCGTGGGCTCCGATGCTTCACGCAAAGGTTTGGTGTCAACCAGGCAGGCCGTGGCCGTCCCAGGTCGGTGTTGTCCGATGTTCGTACGGGCTCTTCCGTCGCAGGTGACACCTCGGGCGATGCGACGCAGTGCCAGAGCTCTGAAGTGCAGAATCTATCTTCCACCACCGATTGCTTCTGGACCACGCTGATACAATCCAACGACTTCCGGGCGGATGTTCATGAAGCTTTCGTTGACGTCTCCATCAACATGAACCTTCTGCATCCGCACCAGGGACAAGTGGCCAGCCTCCTCTCCCCGGAGACCGCATACGAGATTTTCTGCTACGCTGAGGACGACTGGCCCACGCAGGTCAATCGAGTTTAGAAACAAAATCAACAACACATTCCAAGCTGTCAAGGAGCTTCCTGTTTGGGGCCTTTCGGTCTTGAGCTTGTGAGGGGTCCCCACCGTGTGCGACAGGCCAATGCTGCGGCGAATTCCGTGAGCTTCGTGTCGGTGACCAGCCCCAACAACGTCTCCTTCGATGACTCCCAGCTCTTGAGGCAGGCTCTGTACGAGATGCATCTCTCTCTGACCTGTGAGAGCACTGAGAAGGACTGGCATCGGCTTGCTGCCTACCCTGGATGAGTCACCGCCGAACTTCACTACCCTGTCGATTGCAGATCCCACTGTGCAGAATGACAGGCTGGGGTTAGGTCCTCAATCGTGAGCAGACCCACACTCATTTTTGAGCTTGCAGGATTGTGGTGGTGTTTTCTCTCAACGAGGCTGGCACGGCATATTGCCTTTGGCCCAGTTGTAATCCAGGGGCACTGTAGACTGGTGGTGACCTGCAACTTGCCAACAGCGCTCTAGAGACCAGGTCGAGCCACTCGATCAGACTCTGGTGAAACGGCCTCTGTCATGACTATCAACCGCATAGTCAGTGCTGGCTGGTCAGCAAGCAATGATGGTTTGGGAAGCGGCATGATTGTCATGACGCATCTGGAAAACCTGACACTGCTCAACTTGCAGAGTGAACCTATACTCGAAGCGACGCAGTACGATGTGCCCCCCAGCTGAAACTCCTTGGGTTTGGTCGCGCATGTGCTATTGCGTATGTCATATGTCTCTTGCGATGTCTTGCGAGCGGCCTTGCCTCATTCTCGCATCTCAGGTATTGCTTGGCGAAGGACAGCGCCGTTGATGGCAAAGGCCTAGCTCGGGCAAACTGGATGCAACATGACTATGTCTCCAGGGCCGGTGGCTTAGACCAGAAGGCTTTCATTGGGCTTGGGCTTCTGTAGCAAGACGATGACCAGCCCCCCTTCCCAGGCCGTGGCTTCTCCGAACAGCCCCGAGGGTGGGATGACAGCGGGCGTTTGGGTCGTCGACACAACGCCGCCGGCCCTGCTCCTCGTGGATGTCTACGCCGCCGGCCAAGCGACGATCCACCTGCGTCTGCAGCTCACCGAGCCAGGCACGGTCTGGTCCTGGCCTTAGGGAAGAAGAGCTGGTCTTCCCGATGTTGGGTCGGCAGTCTGACCACCCTGCTTCGAGGTGTGCTCCTCTGGCGACTGACAACGCGACCTTCTGCAGTCTCGATGATATGGCAGCAAACATCACTGCAGGATGTGATTACGAGAGGTTCATCAAGGACCAGCAGCCCTTGCAGGCAGGAACAGCACGGTGCAGTCACCCGCATGTGGATGTGAATCGCCCCCCAACCCTTACCAGGCGGCCTCGAGCGCCGAAGTCTCTGAGCCCAACAAAGATGTTGAAGTGAAGGCGGGTCCCGTCCCGCAAGTGACCTCCAGCTGAGAGCTGCCTCTTGTGTCGCATTCCGAGGTGGACCGAATTGTTACCCGTGACGGCCTGGCCACCTACGCCTTGGAAACGGAGCAATCATACAATGTTTTCTGCTTTGCACAAGATGATTGGCCATTGCAGGCAGTGACTCAGCAAGCGCTTGGAGTGTGCCAACCCGTGCCTTCCTTGGGGGTCCTTGCGCTTGCAGGCAACGGGTGCCTTGGTGCAGTCGCCAAACTTCGTGGCTCCAGGGGAGGCGCTGAAAATTTCCTTATCGGCTGCAGAAGCCTTTTCCAATCTGGTTGGCAACATCACAACGCTGGACGAGACACCTCCCAGCTTTACCTTGCTGCACGTAGAGGACTGGATGCCGAGCTGTTTTCAAGAGGCGTGCATGCCTGGCTAGATCAATTGCCATGACTCAGGACCCCACTGCCAGTAATGACCGCATAATCATCACGCTGCAGCTCAACGAGCCGGGAACGGCCTACTGCCGAGCAGTCCGATCCGACTCTGGTGAGGCTCCAAATGACATGCACATCACTCGGATATTGACAGCAAATTGGCCAGCACAGAACGACGGACTGAGCAACTCTACGATTGAAATCACTCAGCTGGAGAATGTGGACCCATTGTCCACAAGTCGTGATGACGAAGTGGAGCCTATCGCAGAAGCTGTCCAGTACGACGTGCATTTTGGCTGCAACGATGCGATACATCACCAGCCAGAGATCCCAACAACTTTTGCCAATGCCAGCTGAGTAGCTGAGGTATTGCTGGGCCGAGGACAACGCGGTGGACAGTTCCGGCTATGCGCGGCACAACTACATGGCAATCGAATACACTCGCCCCGAACCCAGAGAGTCCCTTTGCCTGCCATTGCCCGAGCTCCAAGAAAACCAAGGCACCGATGCCGTCACATCGACGCAACCGCAAGGTGGCCGCAGTCCAGGCTTGCGTTGCGTCCTCACATGCGGTGGAGTTTAACATTAAGGCTGTTTTGCGTGTGTATTATAGGGCTTCTTCTGCAATGTGCACAAACCTGATATCGTGTCGCTGTCTTGCCTCCAAGCTCCAAGCATGCATGGGATGTGTTGGCATGGAAAGGCGTCTGGGTGCGGGACACCACGCCACCCAGAATGGTATTCGTCAGAGCAGAAGGCATCTCCCAAGACACCTTGCAAGTGACGCTGCAGCTGGACGAGCCAGGAACGGTTTGGTGTCCCTAGGCTTGATTGAAGCATTGCAAGATCGCTGGAGCAAGATTTCGGCAGTGCAGCTCTGAGGTGGCGCAGTGCAGACGGACACGGATCCCGCCTATTGCATCCATGGGTCATCCCCAAGTGGCAGCTTCTCAGCGGATCCAGGGCCCTGTGAGTACGAGGCCTTCCTAAAGGCTCGCCTAACTTTGGTTTCAGCGTGGCACAGCCAAGCGGTACTTGTACAGCATCGCGGGCGCCAGGGTGATGCGAATGTGAGTTTCCAAGAAGAAGTCCATGAGGTGGGGCCCGTCTGGTCCAGATCCCGAGATGCCCCCTGTGGCCCTTGCAGGCCGGAGTCTCCATTCAGGTCGAGATCAACAAAATCATCCGCACAGATTCAGGAGCCGATCCTCTGATGCCGGAGACGAACTATCACATATATTGCTTCGCTGAAGATGATTGGCCAGCGGATGCCATGGGTGCCACGATCCGTTCACAGTCCTATACCGGCAACACGGCCATACCAAACAAGGTTTCTTTGAACGATGTCCTGAATTTCAGTGACAGTGCAGCTGGCGAGTTTGCTGCAGAGAGTGCACGTCATCAAGTGTTTGAGACAGACAGACAGATAGACAGGTAGACAGATAGACGGATAGACGGATAGACAGAGAGAGAGAGAGATAGACATATATACAGAGGAAAAGAGACAGAGAGGGATGATGCGTGGGCCTCACATGCCTTGCTTTCGACGCTGGGTCCAGCGATCATGCTTGCCAGGCGTTGACTTGCTCTTTGTGCCACGCACACTGGACGAAGCAGCGCCGAGCTTCACACTTCTTGAGATCCAGGCCATGGCGCTGTTGTTGCTGGTAAAGGTGGGCTCCCTGCAGAGACTTTTTTACCAGGATCCGACAGCGCGGAATGATCAGATCCAAGTCGTTTTTGCTCTCAACGAGGCAGTTGACTCCGACAGTTTGGTGCGAGTTTCTGCCCGAAATTGCCTCAAGAGTTGCCAGTTCAGGTGGGAACCGCCTATTGTCGACCGGTCCGTGCTGACAGCGCAGAGGTGACGCGGCTGCTTGCTGCTTGCTGCCTGCTATGCTGCATTGCAGTGCGAGTCTGCGAGCCTGTCATGGCCAGCGAGCTTGCGTCTTTGTCTCTCTCTCTCTCTCTCTTTCTCCCTCTCCGTCCCCTTCCTGTTGTGCACTCCTGAAAGTATGAATGTCCGTCTGCGTGCATGTGTGCAAGTATGTAAGTATGAATGCAAGCATGGATGGAAGGATGGATGGATGGATGGGTACAAACAAATATTCACATCATATATATATATATATATATATATATGTATAGGCATATATGTGTATATATATATATACATATACATATATATATAAACTCACAATTTCGCACACGCACACATGCGCACGTACACTTCTGTATATGCATGTGCACAGCAGCCTCCTGGCTGGCTGGCTGGCTGCTGTCTGTTTGTTTGTCTGTCAGCGTCGGTAGATACAGAGCTGAGTAGGTGCATGGGTGGGGTGCAGAGGTAGGCAGGCAAGCAGGCAATTGGGTAGGTAGGTAGGTGCATCTGTCGGTCCGTAGGTTTGGAGGTCTGCAGGTTCGTGGTTCTGTATGTCTGCATGCATGCATGTATGTACGTAGGTATGTAGGTACTCACTTGTATATAACGTATGTCTGTATGTACGTAGGCACGTCTGTATGTATGTCTGTATGTATGATTGTACGTACGCACGAGCGTATGTATGTATGTATGTATGTATTTATGTATGTATGTATGTATTTATGAGAGGGCCGCGCCCGAATTGGACACTAAGCCCCAAATGCGATTAGTGCGAGACGTGTGCACTGTATAAATGCGTTATGTACGTATATCTGTGTATCGGTATGTATATGTGCACAAGCTCATGCAGACATGCCTAACTTATACACATTTAAAATGACAGAGAGACACACGTTCGCGTTCGTGCAGTGCATTGCAGGCGGCTTTCCCACTGGGGATCAACCGCATCGTTTCTGCTGGCTGGTCCGCAGCACATGACCCGTCAACATCCGCGAGCAGCAGTCTGTTGATCGCTGGAGTGCAGTCGTCGCCTCTGGAGGACCTGCACCACCGATAATGCCCATGAGCTCTGCAGCACGAGCAATTGATGGGGAAGGGGTCCATGATCTCACGTACAAGATGAGCACAGGAACCAGTACACCCAAACTACGGAACTTACTGGTCACAAGGTTGTGCTTGAAGTGGGAGTCGGCAAGTAATATTTGTGGGTTTAGGGTTTAGGACTGTTGCCCATCGCAGGTCTTCCGACCTATGGACCGGGTAGACATAGAAATCACTACCCAAACAACACCACACGGACAATTAGCTACTGAGCTTAAGGATCCATCCAAGCTTCCTTAGGCAAGGAGCATTATTCGTAGTATGGATGAGTCAAAACTTTCAGCGGAAAAAGGGGTTAACACTCTGAGTAGGTTTACACACTGCACTACTCAATCAACATACTTTCACTCAAGCTGAATAGCAAGCAAACACATCGACAAGCAACATACAAAACCAACCAGAGATGTTTGTTCTCACGGTATCTTCCAGAGTGCTAGGTTCAGGTTACGGACCTAAGGACGACTTGCCAGCGTGTCTCGAACTTGGCTTTACACTGTTTTCAGGAGCTCGACGAAGCCAGGCAATATGATGTTTATTGCTGGGCTCAGGACGCCTGGTTTGCTCAGGAGTTTCAATCGTGCAATGACGCCTCTGCTCTTGCAGGATGAAGCAAAGAGCAATTTCGGATTTCCACGGCCGCAGTTCATGTCGCAAGCATACGTGAGCAGCATTGAAAGCATTTAGAAGGTTTCATGACATGTCGGAAAAGCTACATTCAGCGCGAAGCCGGCTAGGCAGCGATGTTGGCAACGTTACAGCACCCCAGGGAGGGAAAACTACCAATGCGATTGCCTTGGTTGGCCCTTGTCATCATCTTGTGTTCAGGAGATCGATTTGTGTTCACGCCTTGCCAAGTGAGGTCTGGACGCTGGACTCCACTGCGCCAACGCTGCTTTTCATTGACTGGGATGCCGTAAAGGATGAGGAGACTCTGCAAGTCACCCTACAATTGGATGAGTGACTCGCTGGCATCTGCGTTGTTGTCTTGTTTTGGCCGTGCTGCCTCCGAATGCAGCAAACTCCTCCCCAGCAAACTCGTACACCCGTGTCGACGCGAGTTTTGCGTGGTGACTGCACAAGGCCAGGGACCGTGTGGTGTCAGGCTGCAGAGGTTGTGGCAACCAATACCAGTCATTGTGGTGATCTCGAGCCGCTCTCCAGCAATCGGAAGACTAGGCGGTCACACGCATCATCGGTCTGGCAAAGAGGTTGCAGGACTCGGATCCCATGGCGGACTGCTACTTTGAGCCCTGACTGGAATCGGAATGATTACAGTTTTATTCATAGAGTGGGAGCCGGATTCCACCGTTAGTCACAGTCATGCCACGGCACTGCAGGAGAATTACATAAAGGGCAACTTCTCCCACGTCTTCAAGCAGGAAGACGGGAACCCAGACTAGCTTCTCCACAGAGGCAGCGCAAATTGCCGCACTCAGGTCCACACGGCCTTCAAGGACGTGGAAGTGGAGGTCTGCAGAGAGAGAGAGAGAGAGAGAGAGAGAGAGAGAGAGACGGAGAGAGATGTCTACCTGAATCGCGACCCTAAGCCACCCCCATGTCTGGACTCTCAATCGCCCATCTCTGTGAGTGCCGGCCTTGATTGAAAGACCGCAGTGAATCCAAGAACCGAAACGTTCGACCACCGTTGACAAGCAGCAACAAGAATTTGGATCCCAAGCCACACCATCTACTTTGCCCACGCAGTTGACCAATCGGAACAGGTGAACCGCCTTCCTTCGCGAGATGGATTCACTTCGATTCCACTTTCTCGCAGATCAGGCTGCCGTAGATCCCGAGCGCAGGGGGTTGCTGCTCTGTAGTCTTGTCAGGATACAAACTCTTCTGCTTCGCGGAGGATGACTGGGTCGAGGAGGCAGTGCTCTCAAATCTCAAACTTCGTTCTGACTGGCTCTGCTTTCACCTAGAGACCCAGAGCTGAGGCCACCTTCGGCTCCATCAACTTCGCCGCCCCAAGCTCCCCAAATAAGGTGCGACAGAGGAAGGAGAGAGATACATGTGGCAACTGGCCCTGATGCAGAGATCCGTGCAGGTGACTTTCGCGTCTGTGACGGCCTTCAAGGATCTGGTGGGAACTGCGACAACGCTGCGCACCTCAAAAGGAGGACTGTGGAATCTCTTCCGTGCCAGCTTTTCCTCACCGAGGTTGGACCTCACGCCACCGAATCTGACTCTGATCGACGTTGCCGCAACCGAGGACTCCATTCGACACACCAATTAGGCACGCTTTGGGCTCAGAGTGCAGAGCACCATGATACCCTCCAGGACAGAATCGTGGTTTCTGTGTCGATGGACGAAGCTGGCACGGTGTGGCCACGACCCGAGTTGGCTTTTGTGGAGATTTGCCCGGAGAAACATGACTGGCTAAGCTTGAGGTGCCGTGCCTATCGGAAGGGTGCTGCGATGCCGCTGGCAGCTCGACTCCAGTCTCCGGTTTTCGCATCTGTTGTCATCACCCATGGGCAAATTCCTGACACGGCATGGGCTTTGGTGCCTTCAGCACTCCTTTTGCGGTAGACTTGGCTTGAGGAGAGACGAGCACAGGCAGAGACAAACAGAGACGGACAGGCAGAGACGGACGGAGATAGACACCGACAGAGACAGATGGACAGACAGTGCCACAAACAGAGAGGCAGACGGACAGACAGACAAGCAGACAAGCAGACAAGCAGACAAGCAGACAGGCAGGCAGGCAGACAGGCAGACAGGCAGACAGGCACACAGACGGACGGAAAGAAAATCGAACAGCAGACAGAACAGACAGACGGAAACCGACTCGGACGAGAAACAGGCCATGCACAGACCGACAGCGACAACCGCTGGTTACATGGGGACCAAAAGCAGAAGCCTCTACCAACGCAAGTCCGTGACACTGCGAGACATTGCAGGCATGAAGTGACCACAGACAGAAGCCGAAGAACAGCTGAACTAAAGGAGCCATCGGAGGATCGGGATCTTCGGCGTGCCCGGATACGCAAGTGAAAAGTGTCGGGTGTAACGAAGTATAATGTATAGAGTATAGAGCAGGTTGAACCGATATCACGAGACTCGGGAGGCCCACGGCCCATCCGTGTCGTGTCATCTCACGAGAGACCTTTGAACACAACAGAAAGCATCAGTGCGGTGGTGAGCTCTTCAGTCGTGCCAAGGCTCCGGAGATCCTGGAAACAGGATTCTACGTGGAGTCTCCCGCAGAAACTGTGGCTGAGGCCGTACAGATACCATGACATGTGCACGAAGCCGTACTCCTTCATGCTGTGTGCTTGCGATGTGTGGCGGAGATGTCTATCGAGCGTGTCACGGATGCACGACTCCAGGTTAACATCACGGCAGAGAACGCAAAAGGTGATCCCTTGGCGCAAGGAACAGATTATGAGGCCAAGCCCTTAAGTACAAGTCGTTCGTGCTCGGAGAGACGATTGCGAAGCTTTTTGTCCGACGACTTGCACTTGTACGTACTTGCATCTAGGTGTACTGCTATGCGGAGGCCTTTGCGATTGCATAGCGCAGCTGCAGCAAGCAGACACGCGTGGCAGCAACGTGGAAGGATGTCCCCTGCCTCCGCTGCTCGGTGGCAGCTGGATCATCCGTCGAGGACCCTAGCACACGCGGCCATTTTGGATGGTGTCCATGTTGGTGGAAACAGGAAATCAGGAAGACGCAAGCTGGCATCCGCACTCTTGATGCTGGCGCCCTCGGCATTGTGCTGCAGAACGTCGGGCGGTGTTTTGCAAACCTGCAACGCGGCGTAAGGTCCTACCACCTCGGGTCACAGTCCTGTTTGCGGAAGCATTAAGCAAGGACACCATCCAGCCTGGACCCTCAGACTACTGCGAATGTACGTCGCTTGCTTTTCGCTTCACGGGTGGTTTGAGTGGCGTAGTCCCAGTAGTCGTAGCGATTCCAGCCCTCGTTTGCTGGAGATGATTTCACATCGTTACGCCATCGCACGCTTCGAGTCAACGGTAAGCTGAGCTAATAACTATGGAGACAGTTGACAAGTCTCGTAGGGACTCGTTAGTCAGATTGCGTCGGATGTTACGGCAGCAAGGGAATGCCTCCTCGAAGTTCATTTTAGATCCTTGGAGTTAGAGATTGGCTTAGATGCTGGAGCGGTCCATGTCGTTCCCGTTGCACAGGTTGACCCTTCAAGTGGACGAGGGAGCCAAGCTGTGGTGCGCAGTGCGGGTCTTGTTTCCGTGGCTGCACGCCAGCCCAAGAGTTGGTCACACAAAGATCTGGTTTCCCAATGCGTGTTGTTCTCGAGGCTTGGGATTCCGAGCCTGCAGGTGGCTTTCTTTGCTGCCTCTGCTCGTGTTTCGGAGCAGTTCCGAGAGCTACTGCAGCATGCACTCGTGACATCTCGTGACTGCAGGTGTGAGCACAAGTTTCGAAGGGATGATCAAGGGTGCGAACTGCACTGAAAGTCATCCTCCGCAGCGGCCGTGTGGCAGCTTCTGGATCTACGACCTCGATGACGTGGAGGCCTCTCTGCCATGAATGGTTTCCGGCAGACATCATTCGGAGAAAAGCTCAACCCCTCCGGCCAGGACACACCTTTGGATGGTGTGTCAACTCTCCAGGACATTGCTGGCTTATACCAGTACGGCCGGGATGCACCCCGGGGGGTTGTCAAAAGGGGGCACGGCGAAACAAGCTGCCGCGTTTCAGGTACAGCTCACTCTTTTCGGCCTGACCGAAGCGACGGTGTATGATCACATTTACTGCTTCGCTGAAGACGACGAAATTGACGGTTTCTTGGCCGAGTCACAGTTGCGTTCTGGGTGTGCGCAAGCTGCTAAGGTCTCGGGTCGGCACCGAACAAGATGTACTACGACACAAGCGATGCTCCAGCCGGAACGGAGTCCACCAGACTTGTCACTTCCGTGAAAGCGGCAGTCGGATCTATTGAGACCTTGGACGAGTCACCTGCGACTTTCACGCAGCTCGAAATTACGGATCCCACGGTGGAAGCCTTAGCGCCCATTCTGCGCAGAGTTGAATGAGTTGAAACTGTTGAGGCTGCGTGCTGCACAGTTGCTCAGCATGCGAGGCTGAGGAGGGTCTCATCACAGTGAGCGTTGCTCTCAACGAGCCCGGGACGGCATACTGCCGCGTGACAAGGCCACGGGAGTGGTGCGGGCTTGGGTATTGCTCATACATGTTCAGACCTTGCTCTTCGTACACTTGAGGTCTGATTCGGGAGAAGTCGGCTCCGACATGCACGTGAATCGGATCCTTGCTGCTGGTTGGTCCGCTGTTCACGCTGGACCACCTGCAGATGCTGTGACCATCAATATCACCGCGCTGGACAGCGATGTGCCTTTGGATGTCCCTTCTGTCCCCGTGGAAGCGGCAACACAGTACGACGTCTACTGCTGGGCCCAGGTCCGTAGCTTGTTCTTGCGTTGCTTGTCTTACTGGAAGATCGGAAACTGTTTTCATGCAGGACAATGCCGTGAGCACCCTGGGCTTCGCGCGTCCGAACTACATGACGCAGCAGTATGCCACTTCTTCTGTAGTTTCTCCATCGTCCCCTTCAGGGGGAGCCACTGCTGGAGTTTGGGTCACAGACAAGACTCCCCCTACCATCATCTATGTCTCCTCGGAAGCTGTCTCCAGCGACACGGTGCAAGTCACTCTGCAGCTGGATGAGCCTGGAACGATATGGTGTCTTGAATGAAATGTTGCCGCTCCGAACTCCGAGCTGCTAAACGTGTTTCGCGTCTCGAAACGAGGTGTGCAGCTGCTGAGCCGGACTCAACTTCGAACTCTCAGAGCTGCAGGGAAGGTGAGCTGCAGGCGGCGGGCGGAGGGCGGAGGGAAGAGAGAAACGGATTCTTCTTCTCTTCGTTTTTTTGCCGACGCTTTCATGCTGAAAGGACTCGGAAGCTGATCCAAGCATCCAGCCATGCTACTTCGAGACTGTTGCCAAGGGGACCTATGCCGACGGAACTGTTTTCAAGGCTGAAGTCTCACAGCCCTTCAGGGATGTGGACATCGAGATCAGCAGGACTTGTCAAGGGGACTTTCACCTCGATGCGTCACAGCCGGGATTTCTGTGGGACCAGGCCACATCGTGACTTGTGCGGATGTCAGGATTTGGGATCGCAACGGCACCAGCACAAGCAAGTTGCAGACCTTTGCTCAGGAGGTGACTCGTCGGCCTCAGTTGTAAACTCCTCGCTGCCTCAGGCCGGAAACTCCCTACAAGATCTTCTGTTTCGCGGAAGACGATTGGGTGGGCAGTCTCCTCCTCTGTGGGGTCTGCGGCATCTGCGGCCCATTCCTTGTGCAGGTTGTGCAAAGTACGGCCGGCGCGGTCAGTCCAAACTTTGTGGCACCGACGAGCCCCAACAAATCGTCTGCAGCCTTGCAGCTGTTTTCGTACCATGTCCATGCAAGTCTCATGCGAATTCGTTTGCCTTTCCCAGGCCCTTGTCGCAGGGCCAGTCTCTCCTGGCTGCCATCGGGACCAGGACATGTCTGGACATACACCGAAGTACAGTGTCCAAGCCGGCTGAAGCTCGACAGCTCGAGGACGACCTTGGATGAGAGCCCTCCACGCTTTACCAAGCTGCTCATACAGACTCTTGGCACGGCAGGCAGCTGAGCTGTATTCAGCCGCGGCTTGCCGCCCATCTTAGGAACCCCACGCAGAGCAACGATCGCATTGTTGTTGTCTTCGCACTGAACGAGCCTGGTACGGCATACTGCCTTGGACCTAGCTTCTGTTTCCATGTGGACTTGGAACAGATTCCACTTTTTTGCTGAGGTCGAGCGAGACGTGTCGACTCCGCTGCGGCTGCAACATCAATGAAGATACCCGACATCCTTGCTGCCGGCTGGTCTGCAAGCTTCTCAGGGGCCGATGCAACCATTGAAATGACGAAGACATCCATGCCGCGAGCTTGGTGAAGAGAGTTGTTCCACTGTGCCGAAGCTCCGCAAGTGTTGGCGATGAGAGCAGAACATGTTTTGCTCTCGTTCTGAGGCCACATCCAGGTGTTGGGGCTCTCGACACGTCGACAGCCGACTTCGACGAGCAGACGCAGTACGATGTCTTCTGCTGGGTCTGCGCCCGAGCACACCGAGAGGATCCGAGAGGTCGGTATCGTCCCCTGAGGCCCATGATGATGCTGTTGATGGCAGGGGATATGCAAGACACAACCAGCAGACTGAAGAGTATGTCCCGACCACAGCGTCTGGATTGGATGACGGTCTTTGTTTGGCCGTCAGGGCGCTCGCTGACGACACTTGCTCAGGTGAACACGGAACTGAACGGGGGCGAAGTCACCAACGCGACGCTGGAAGGTGGCAAGACACCAGGAGATGAGCTGCTCTGCTCCCTCACCTTTCGAAGGGACTCGAAAGCAGCTGTGGCCAGGAGTTTGGGTGGCAGACACTACACCTCCCACCATGCTGCTTGTACAGGCAGAAGCACTCCGCGTGCGGCTCAGCATTGTCGCACGGAGTAGTTCACCTGTGGAACTGCAGCAAGGCAGGGCGGCAGGGCAACGAGAGATTTTTTTGGGCCCACTTTTCTACTTCCTGGTGCCCCGGACGTGGACACCTTCCCCAAAAAGAAAAGGTAGCGATGGAAGGACGCCAAAGGACACCTGTAACAGACGGATGCATGCGCGAGGAGGGGGCGGAGCCCGCCTCTGACCTGGAGAAAGCAGAGGGAGAGCTTCAGATCCAAAAGCAGATAACGTAAGTTCCACTCATGTTAATTTAGCAGATATTTTAGCATGTTTTCTGATTCTGGACCCGAGGTAAGCAACAGGAGTTGCATACAACATAAAGCATTGCCTCTTGGTGGGGGAGAATCACGCTCGCTGTGTTGAATCATGTTGCTGCCTAGCAGGCACGTGGGTGGGTTTCCCGGGGTGTTCATCTCTCCGAGGGAAAGATCTGTACAGGCACGTCTGAGTTTTGCTGCTGGGATGACTCAGCAGGCGAAGCATCAGCAGGGGTTTTGGTGTCAGACAAGCGTTCTGCAAGCAGTTTCTGGAGCTGCCGGGACACAATCCTGCTCAAGCCCAAGCCAAGACAAGCTTCTTCTGGACGCTACATCCAGCAGGCTTATAGGCAGCAGGATGGCAAACAAAGCACTGGGGGTTGCGGACTGTTCCGATTTTACTGTTAAACGCTTCGCATGGGCGGGCCACTGCCACAGGTGAAGGGTAGTTAGGCACAGCCGCAGAGACACAAAAAGGGACGGAGAAAAAAGGAAGCGAAGGGCGGAGGTAGGGGAGTCCCAGCCACAACCTCTGAGGACTTCAGACAGGGCCGAGGGATTTTGTTTGTTCGACCACGTGCACTTTTTGTCCATCTGGAAGAGCATGAAGTATCCAGCTTTGTGCAGCACCTTCAGCACAATCTTGCGAGAATGCCAGGGAGTGCCACTCTTCAGGTGCGGGGAGCTTTGCAGCTTTCTGTGGTCTTGGGTACTTAGATGAGTCTGTGCCGTGTGTGCCTTGCTGTCTGGCAGCCTCCGTCCTCTGCCGAGTAGCAGGTGCGGCTCCAATTGAACGAGCCCGGTACCGTTTGGCCTCGTGCTCATCTCCCCAACATTGAGCGTAGTTGCGCTAGTTGACACGGTAAACGTTTTTGTCTACACTAGAAGTGTTGCACTGTCGGCGAGTCCGAGGTGTGCTGCCACGGGCAAGGGCTCTCCAGGAAGCTACTGCTTGGAAAGCGAGCTGCAGTCAACATCATCTTCTGCAGATTGCTTCTTCGAGGACTGCTTTGTTTGAGCATGTGAGCATCGCATAGTGGCTAGCATAGTGCTGCTGAGTTGAACTCGAATGAGAGCATTGCGAGACAAGAGGATTACATCAAAGGCAACGCCTCAGACGGCACATCCTTTAGTGAGTATGTTTCCGAGGCCGGAGAAGCCGTCGTGAATAGAAAGCAGCAGAGATGCTCCAACATGCAGGCCTTCCAGGACGTGGATGTGGAGATCACGAGGATTCTACAAAAAGATATGGCAGCTGGATCACCGCTTCTGCCGGAGACGACTTATCAGATCTTCTGCATGGCAGAGGACGACTGGAAAGAACAGGCCAGCAAAATGACGAGAGACGGAAAGGAGAGAAGGCCTCAGAGAGAGAGAGAGAGAGACGGAGCGAGAGACAGAGAGAGAGAGAGAGAGGGGTCAAACCCCTACACCATCTCCCTGGCGAAGGAAAGACAGAGAGAGAGAGAGAGAGGGAGAGAGAGAGACACGGAGAGAGAGAGAGAGAGAGACAACCGGTCCCCAAGCCCAGGAGAGAGAGAGGGAGAGAGAGAGGGAAGAGACAAAGAGAGAGGGAGAGAGGGTCCATCTCGCGAACCCTTCGTTCGCGAGGCGGACAATGCCAATTCTTCCGCCGAGTATGTGTCGCCAACAGGCTGCTTGTGCAGTTGGACTTGAAGCATTATAGCTGATCAGTCAACCTCACGTCCTGACGGCAAGAGCTAGCATCTCCAAAAGCTGAGGCTCACCAGCTACAACCTTCGTCACGGTGCAGACTTTCGCGGACAGCATCGGTGAACTCGCGACGCTGGATGAGGCGCGCAGTCAATGTCGTCTGTTTGTAAGAAAATCGGATCTTTGCTTTTCGTGGGAGGCGGCTGTAAAGAGGTCTCGGGCTAGGCTAGTCCGTCTTCCGCTGGCAGGCAGCTCCCAGCTTCACGTTGCTGGAAATCCAAGATCCGAGCGCTGAAGAAGGACTGTGGTTGCGAGATGTGCGAAGCATGTAGGGGAATTGCACGGTACGCAGAGGCTGAAGGAGACGTGTTTCTGGAGATTCCTTGCTCGACATGTTCTGTCCGGCATGCTCAGGCCCACGCCGTGCAGGCCTCCAATAATCTTGTCCCAAGAGCATTCCCAAGCAATTCCGAGCTACTACTCTGCATCGGGATTCTAAACCAATATAAACCAATCAAACTTCAAGACGGAGCCACTTCTTAAGTCTTCAGTGTGGCATTCGTTGAATGCAGGAGTCCTGGTCGTAAACTTCGCTCTAAACGAGGCTCGTGTGTGGTTGCATGCCGACGATGTGGCTAGTCACTTTGGAAGACTGAAACATGTTGTGGTTTCGCGCAGCCCCAGGCAGGAACGGCGTACTGCAGGGCCACCCGCTCAGATTCGGGCGAGTCTGCGGCGGACATGCCGATCAACAGGCGAGCCGTTCACAGCAGCCAAGTGTTTTCCTGCCACACTCCATCCCATCAGGGTTCTGACCGCCAACTGGGTGGGTGAGTACGACGGCAGCAGCAATGTCACCATTGTCATGAACAACTTAGAGAACGTTGATCCCTCTGCCACAAAGCGCGACGATGAAGTCGCATCTTTGGGGGCTGGAACGCAGTACGATGTTTACTGCTGGGCGAAGGACTGGGCTCAAGTGGCAGAGATCAATTTCTTTTTAAATTTTGTGTGTGTGTGTGTGTGTGAGGTGTGTGTGTGTGTGTGTGTGTGTGTATGTGTGTGTGTGTGTGTGTGTGTGTGTCCAACTCTGTTTCCAAGAGACGTGAGTGAGTTAGGCAGCAGGGGGCCGGTGCTCTCCCTGGGGGTCACCGGCCAACGAAGACACCCCCAGGGAGGGGTGCAAACGTACCTGCAAATCAGTAACCCTAGAGCAAGATTCGTACGAGCTTCTGATTGCATGTTCTGACTTTCCCTTGCAGCTTCTGACTTTCCCTGACAGCTGCTGACTTTCCCTGACAGTATGCACCGACAGATCAGACCTGCGACACGATGTGTCAAGTGTGCTTCACAACGGCATTCCCTATGGGCGCCGTGTCTCCCAGAGGTAGCTCTGGCGCTGACTTTCCCGATTGACTGTATAAGCATTGGATGACTTTCCCTGATTCTATATCCGTGCTTGCAAGCTGACTTTCTCAGTGAGTCTTTCCCAAATGCCTTTGCCGAAACCTGAATGCTGACTTTCCCACTGACTTTCTATGATCTGATTGACTTTCCCGAATCTGACTTCACCGCTGACTTGTCGCAGGTCTTCGGCTGCAAGTTGAGTACATGAGCTGTACTTTTGGTAGTTGCTGATCAGTTTGCAAGTGCTGCAGTTTGAGACTTCGTTCAGCTTTGGCACCAGGTGTTACCTTGGTCAGTGACTCTGCGATCGGCAAGAGCAGTGCAAGTGAGTGCGTGTCGTCGTGCAAGTATTGTGCAAGTGTAAGTTTGGCAAACGTTTTTCTTCTGTGGTCAATGCGTGCATGCCTACATGCGTTCGGAGTGCGCATCTCGCTGCTTTACTGCATCGCAAGTGTCGTGCTAGTGCAAGCTTGAAAACGTTTTTCTTCCTTGGTGAGTGAGTGCATGCCTACATGCTTTCGGAGTGCGCATCTCTCTGCCTTACTGCATCGCTTGCTTGTAGCGTTTTGTTTGAACAGAAGCGAAGCTGGTGGAACGAGCTGTGGTTTCTGGTGGCCCGGTGGAGCATTGGAGCTGCTGGTGGTGGAGCTTTGGTTTCTGGTGGTCTGGTGGCGATCTGGACAAGTGAGTGCGCATTGTCATGCAAGTGCTGTGCAAGTGATTGCATCGTCATGCATGTGCTATGTACGTGAGTGCTTCCTGTCAGTAAGTTCGAAAGAGCAATGAGCCCGGGAGAGCTTGTGTGTGTCCACCCCTGTTTCGAAGGGTAGGTAAATCTGAGTCGAATGAGCAGGGGGCACTCGTCCGACTTTTCGTCAGACTTTGCAGTGTCCGACCAAGCTGGAGTGATTGGTTCAGTACATGGTTTTGCTTGCTTGTGCGACTCGTACACTGCAGTTTCGCGACATGAGTGCGGTTTGCATATGTTGCAATGCGTAAACTCTGCAGTTTCGTGACATGAGTGCGGTTTGCATATGTTGGAATGCGTAGACTCTGCAGTTTCGTGACAGGAGTGCGGCTCGCCTATGTTGGAATGCGTAGACTTCAGTTTCGTGTCATCGGTGCAGTTCGCCTATGTTGGAACGCGTAGACTCTGCAGTTTCGTGACACATGAGTGCGGTTCGCCGATGTTGGAATGCGTAGACTCTGCAGTTTCGTGACATGAGTGCAGTTCTCCGATGTTGGAATGCGTAGATTCTGCAGTTTCGTGACATGAGTGCGGTTCGCCGATGTTGGAATGCGTAGACTCTGCAGATTTGCGACATGAGTGTGGTTTGCTTATGTTGGAATGCGTAGACTCTCTGACATGAGTGTGGTTCGCCTATGGTGGAGCGCATAGACTCCGCAGTTTCGTAGACTATCTGCTTTGAGACGCTGCTGGAAATGATTGCTGAGAGTATTCCTGCCATGCAGCCCTATCCGATTGAATGACATAACGGAGAGTCTAGCAGTGCAGGTTTGCCGTGCAGCAAGTGTGAGCGCATACTCGTTTTGTAATGGCAGACGAGGTCATTGATTGCAGTCTCCTGTGCATGGACTTTCTGTAGAGTGATGGTGGATGCCCAATTGCTTTGCATCCTCGGTTTTGAACAATAAGAAAGCCCAGCACGATGCTGTATATTGGCTCTACAAGCGTCTCAGACTCTGCAGTTTCGTGACATGAGTGCGGCTCGCCAATGTTGGAATGCGTAGACTTCAGTTTTGTGTCATCAGTGCGGTTCGCCTATGTTGGAATGCGTAGACTCTGCAGTTTCGTGACATATGAGTGCGGTTTGCCGATGTTGGAATGCGTAGACTCTGCAGTTTCGTGACATGAGTGCGGTTCGCCGATGTTGGAACGCGTAGTCTCTGCAGACTGGTGACATGAGTGTGGTTTGCCTATGTTGGAATGCGTAGGGCGTAGACTCTCTGACATGAGTGTGGTTCGCCTATGTTGGAATGCGTAGATTCTGCAGTTTCGTGACATGAGTGCGGTTCGCCGATGTTGGAATGCGTAGAGTCTGCAGTTTCGTGACGTGAGTGCGGTTCGCCGATGTTGGAATGCGTAGACTCTGCAGATTTGTGACATGAGTGCGGTTTGCTTATGTTGGAATGCGTAGACTCTCTGACATGAGTGTGGTTCGCCTATGTTGGAACGCATAGACTGTGCAGTTTCGTAGACTTTCTGCAGTTGCAAAGAAGAGTCTGTTTGCCAGTGCTGCTGCAAGTGTATTGCAAGGGATGTGCAAGGAACGCGCAAGTGATGTGCAAGGGATGTGCAAGGGTTATGCAAGTGATCTGCTGGCAGCATGTGTTGTGAATGTTTGCAGACACTGTTTTGATTCATGTCCTCAAGGCACTCTCCAGGTCTAAAAAGACTTGTAACGTACAGGTAGCTTCAAATTATGTCGGTGTCCAGCTTTGAGAGCGATGCTGTCTCTGTATCGGACGTGCACTCGTCCGACTTCTCGTCAGACTTTGCAGTGTCGGACCAAGAACATGATCGACGTGCAGCAAGGGACGTGCAAGTGATGTGCAGGGGATATGCAAGTGATGTGCAAGGGACGTCCGCGGAATACGCTTTGGTTTCTGGTGGTCTGGTGGCGATCTGGGTAAGTGAGTGCATATTGTCATGCACTTTCTCCGTCATTTCTTCGAGCCTGTCTCTGTAACTCTTCTTGTTCGCAGTCGTCTAATCAAATCATTTGATGACAACGACGACAACAATCCATAGACTCTGACTCTGCAGCTTTGTGACATGAGTGCGGTTCGCCTATGTTGGAATGCGTAGACCTTTCGGTTTTGTGACTTTAGTGCGGTTCGCCTATGTTGGAACGCAGTCAGTGTCGTGACATGAGTGCGGTTCGCCCATGTTGGAATGCGTAAACTTCAGTTTCGTGACATGAGTGCGGTTCGCCTAGGTTGGAATGCGTAGACCTTTCGGTTTCGTGACTTTAGTGCGGTTTGCCTATGTTGGAATGCGTAGATTCTCTGGCATGAGTGTGGTTCGCCTGTGTTGGAATGCATAGACTCTGCAGTGTCGTCAGTATTACTGATTGCCTGCAATGCTTCAACAGCAACACATGAGCGCTTGCACCTGTTCAGCTTTGCTTAGCAAGTGTCTGAGATGAAGTCCGAGTGCCTGTTGTGAGAATTAGTGAGCCCGATAGGGCTTGTGTGTGTCCAGCGACCTGGGTGTCTGCGTACACAGCTGGCGTGCCCCTAGTTTGTGTTGTGTGGACAAAACCAGGTTTTTCTCAGGTTCAGGTGACAAACTAAATGCTCCTTGTTTTTGCATGTTGCCCCAATCTGCATGACTTCAGAGGTGATCTTGCAAGCGCTTTCAGTCATCTGTCTTGCAATGGGCCTGGAGACCTGTAACCTAGAGTGACAGCTTGCGCGCTTTCAGTCATCTGTCTTGCAATGAGCCTGGAGACCCGTAACCTAGAGTGACGGTTTGTATGCTTTCAGTCATCTGTCTTGCGATGTGCCTGGAGTTCCGTAACCTAGAACTTGAAATCTCTGAGCTGACTTATCAAGCTGGCTTCTCGAGCTGACTTGAGACCTGTGACACATTGTGTCAAGTGAGTGCTATCGTCATGCACAGTCTGTGACATCCAGCTATGTTCCAGTGGCACGTCCGGTGAAGGAGTCTGCGACATGTTCCAGTGGCATGTGCGTCATGCACAGTTTGTGATATTCAGCTAGGTTCCAGTGGCATGTGCGTCATGCGCAGTGTGTGACGTTCAGCTATGTTCCAGTGGCATGTGCCATGAATGAGTCTGCTATGTGCCAGTTGCATGTGCATCTAACTGACGCGTGACATGAGTGCGGTTTGCCTATGTTGGAATGCGTAGACTTCAGTTTCGTGACATGAGTGCGGTTCGCCTATGTTGGAATGCGTAGACTCCGCAGTTTTGTGACATGAGTGCGGGTTGCTTGTATTGGAATGCATAGACTCTCTGACATGAATGTGGTTCGCCTATGTTGGCATGCGTAGACTCTGCGGTTTCGTAGATTTTCCGCTTTCAGACGCTGGCATTTGTATGTCAACCGGTGTTTCGAGCGGCTACAATGTGCCCGGCAGGGCTTGTGTGTGTCCAACCCTGTTTCAACGGGTATGCAAATCTGAATCGAACGAGCAGGGGCGAGGGCCTGTTGTCTGGCTTCAGTATTTTAGAGAGTGTTTCTGAAGAGCATGTGCCGTGAATGAGTCTGTGACATGTTCCAGGGCATGTGCGACATGTTCCAGTGGCATGTGCAGTGAATGAGTCTGTGACACTCAACTGTTCCGGTGGCGACATGTTCCAGTGGCATGTACATCATGCAAAGTTTTTGACATTCAGCTATGTTCCAGTGACACGTGCGGTGAATGAGCCTGTGACATGTTCAGTGGAATGTGCGCTGACTGAGAATGATTTGTCAAGTGAGCTGTGGCAACTTCATGCTATTGGTTCACAGCATAAAAATCGGTGAGTGAGAGCATGCCTACATGCTGTCGGAGTGCGCATCTCCCTGCCTTACTGCGTTGCAGGCGCGTTCTTCAAGTGTGTTATGTTCATGTCGCTGAGGAACGCTATCGTTGTAAGCGAATCTCCCAAGGACAAGACGTTTTGATAAAAAAATCGGTGAGAAGAACAGCGCGCAACGACCATCAACACTCCACGGAGCCCTTCGGGGCTTGTGTGTGTCCAACTCTGTTTCCAAGAGACGTGAGTGAGTTAGGCAGCAGGGGGCCGGTGCTCTCCCTGGGGGTCACCGGCCAACGAAGACACCCCCAGGGAGGGGTGCAAACGTACCTGCAAATCAGTAACCCTAGAGCAAGATTCGTACGAGCTTCTGATTGCATGTTCTGACTTTCCCTTGCAGCTTCTGACTTTCCCTGACAGCTGCTGACTTTCCCTGACAGTATGCACCGACAGATCAGACCTGCGACACGATGTGTCAAGTGTGTGTGTGCAGGCGTGTACTCTGCTGCTGCGCCAGGACGAAGCCACAAACACCTTTGGATACCCGCGACCGAATTTCATGGCGGCAAGCTACGTCGCAAGTCCAGTTCTTTCTGCGACTGCTCCAGCTGGAGGCTACACACGGGGTGTTTGGGTTACAGATAGAACGCCGCCCACAATGTTCTTCTCCGCCTTCGACGCTCTGTCGGAGGACAGACGGGTCTGCCGGCTGTCTGGTCTGTGCAAGATGGAAAGCCTAAGACTGGGAGTCTTCTGTCCAGGAGTCTCTTCTCGTGCAGCTTCAACTCAGCGAGCCTGGTACGGCCTGGTTCCATCACACAGCCGTCAGCTGCCGTGCGCGGGTGTGTGATGCCGAGGTCTGGTGTGCGGCAACGATGCCCAACGGTGGCTCTTCCAGTTATTGTCGACCGAACGACCTCCAGGACATCGATGCTTTGACTGCCTGCTACTACGAGGATTACATCAAAGGCGGGGTCCACCGGAGCAAGAACAAGTCGTTCTTGTCGTCTCGTCGACTCCAGGTTCAGCGGGGCAGGGCACGGTGTTCATGAAGGAGGTCTCGACTTGCATCCAGTCATCTTCGTAAGATTTGAGAAAATAAGTGTAGTCTGAATCGGAGGTCTCCGATGCGTACACAGATGTCTGGGCCTCTGGCACTGCCAGCCGTGTCGCGGATAAGCGATCGCGGTGATCACAAGACCGTTTGTCGTAAGGTCTCGGTGGAGATCGATCGCATAGCACTTTCTGGCATTGGCGGAGCTGGATTGGGGGCACCATTGCCCGCAGAGCACCGGCCTCACAGCTGGACTACACTCAGAGCTGAGCGTCATTGTTCCTGGATCCTGTCAGGACACAGTTTTCTGTGCTGTGCTTTGCGCAAGACTCGTGGGACTTGCGCAGTCAGGACGCTTTTTCACAGGGTTCCGCTGGCTGAGCTTGATTGCATTAGAGAGTTTTGAATTCACCGTCCAACCTGCCATTTATGCCCCGACTCCGACGGGAGCGGGACGGAAGGGACAGAGAGAGAGAGAGAGAGTCATCGCGCAACCTACGCCATTCAACACCCCAGTCTGCAATCTGGACGGACTCGGTGGTCGATGACTGCCGTGCGATGTGCAAGAGATGCATCTGCCAAGAAAAGCCAAAAGCCTACTCAGGCCTACTCGTCGCGGCGTGAGACGTTCCTGCCTCTGCCAGGCCACGGGTCCCCGAACTTCGTTGCACCAGGTGGACCCAACAAGGTCACCCTGGCGCAGGCGCCGTTGCCGTTGCTTCTTTTCACGGCTTGATTTGCTATTTTTTCTGAAATCTTTTCGGTAGGTTCTCTCGTTCGTCACTGCAGCAGAGAGCCTCGGAGCTGTGGCCACCACGTTGGACCTCACAGCGCCCATGCCCCGGAGCAACGCAAAACATGCGGACAACTTTGCGCCCGTTGCCCTCTGAGGCCAAGCACGACCAGCTGGGCCCTCCATGCGCCTCCCGACTCCGAGTCCAGTTTGGAGATCCTCTTCACAGTGGACGAGGCTCGGGCCCTTTACCGTCCCTGTCCCTGGATCAAGTCTAAATCTCCCCGAGTTTCACCACGATGCGACGAGTTGCTGCTGGTGTTTGGGTGGTTCCTGTTGTGGTTGCTGCTGCGTCTTCTTGTGCTTTCCGCTGAGCAGCTTAAGAAGGAGGAAGGGTGCGTGACACTGCATTCGACCACGGCTTACAAGGGGATGGCCACACAGCAGAGGGTTTTTTATTTCATGTCACGCCAGTGTTAGATCGGAGCTTCAGATTGGCTCGATGTTCGGTGGCTCATCGTTGCTGTGAGGCGGCAACGCTGTTTTGCCTACCTCTCCTCACAGGCTCGGATGGCAGCAGCAGAGTCTGCATTTCTGCAGTGGGTTCAGGGCTAGCTTGAAGCCCTCCTCCCTCCTCCGCCTCCTCCTACCACCACCACGACGACTACTAGCGATTGAAGGGTCTCGCTCTTTGCATGCGCCCCATCATTCCAGCATCAGGCCAGCGGTTGAAGAGTCCAACGGGCGTGCCCCACTAGTCATGGCACGAGCTTCAACAGCCCAGCCACAAAACAGGCGTGTCCCTTTGGGCTGTGCATGAACCGCGCGATAAATAGCCAAGCCAGGTTGCCTGCATTCGGGTGTGGAATGCGACCCCGACCGAGATTAGAAGCTGAGAGGTGCGGAGACACCACACATCAGCACTATCACCGCAGAGGGATATTCTGCCAACTGCCCGGCACCGAGTTCTGTCGCGAGCCGGTTGCCAGAAGAGTGAATTCCTTTGTGCTAAAAGCTGAAAAGTACATGGTTGTTGCGTCGGATACGAGAAGCCTGTCAACAATCAAGGTATGTAACAGGTGTGTGGGTATAGCGAATGTTGGCACCAAGCATCCGCTTATGCGAAGCGTCATCAAGCTGCGAGCTGACTGTTTGTTTTACTACCTGTTCTGTAGGTTCATCCCATGCTGCTTCTTCTTCAGGTTCCGCTCCCTCCTTTGATGCTGGCGACTGTCTTGGACTCAGTGCGCGTGCGCTCCATGCATATGCGCGGAAAACAGTCGGCCCGTGGCGCGGGCCGTGGTACCGCCCTGCAAGCAGGTTCCAGCCTGACCTTGGCACTGCCGGGGCTGTTGCGTGGCACGGGATATGATGTTCATTGCCAGCTCGAGGAGCGGAAGAGGGGGCATTTGTCTGGTCGCAGCTTCAATCTCAACCCATACGCAGGACGACAACATGCAGCCCTTGCTTTGCACTGAGTGGTGTGCTGCTTCAGTGGCATATCGTGTGCTTGGTGCTGCACCCGAGGCTTCCGAACCGTCGAGTTCTGCCTGTCCTTTCTGCTAGCGTCAACGACTTCACGCCTCCGCAGATAAGCGTAGTTCGAGCCAGTGGCTCTGAGCCTGGGCTCATCATCGTGTCTGGATCTCAGGCAAATCCACAGAGAGGTTTGAGTCCGAGAGGATCTCTGTCGCCAGGACATTACAGCTTGATGAGCCAGGTGCAAAACAACTCCTGTTGAAGTGATTCTAGGCCTCTAGGCTTTCTGCAGCCAGGTACGGTCTGGTGCTTCAGCCCATCAACCGTGGGACAGGCTATCTCGCCAGGATGGGTGCCCCGGAATGCAAAAAGGAATGTCACGCTGGAAGGGGCCAGGCGAGTGCCGAGGCGAGTGAGGTAAGCATGATCCAATTAGGTGCTTGCCCACGGCTGGCGCTCGGAGACAGCTGCCGACGCAAACGTGGATGTGGAGGTAGGAGGTTCGGGGTCCGCGATTTCACTCGGCTTCGGAGTCGAAGAGCCCAGGTCACGGTGTCGCGCCGTGGCACCACGGAACTGCAGCTGGTCTCAGCCAGCCTTGCACCATTGCACCAAGAGAGCGCAACATGAGCCAAGACTTCCGCGAAGCGCAGCCACATGTGCCAGGAAACCGCATATGAGACCTATTGCGCTGCCCAAGACACAGCCACCAATCCCAGCTGCACGGATCCTGGCTGCCCAGCGGTTCCCAACCTGAACACGCCACAAGCTTAGCTCCGGAAGCTTGAGGGAGGCTGAGAGAGGCGGGAAGAAGCTTGCGAAATGTGTGAGAGCGAGGGAGAGAGGGGACAGAGAGACGGAGATGTGGGGATCTATCTGCGGTCAGTGTTTGTGTAGCATCGGCTCCCCCTAAGCTAGCGCCGACATGCGCCGACAGGCGGGGCTCCTTTGGGGATGGAGGGCAGTGATGCCAATTAAGCCCTACTTGTAGCTGTGGGAAAGAAGGAGAGGCAGAGTGAGAGCGGTTGAGTCAGAACACCCTGCTGTGACCTCTCGAGGCTTGCAGAGATGCAGCTTGTACGTGATGCAGTCGGGCAGATCATCACCCGTGATGTGGACCCACCCACCTTCTCTCTCCTTGGAGTCCAGCCCCCAAGACGCGCAACTCATCCCTCGTACTGTCGCAGCGTTTCAGCTTCTTTCCGAGGCCAGGGGTATCAGCGAGGACATGCTGTCTGTCACTCTGCAGTTGAACGAGCCCGGCACAGCCTACTGTGCTGCGCTTGGACTCATCGTTCGCTGTGCTTCGGCGTGTGCTTCACCTCGGTTCCCTTCCAGCCGATGTGGCATTGCAGTCTGAAGGCCGTGCTACTCGCACCGATGGAGCATCTACAGCGTTGCACATTTCTCATATAGTGCAAGCGGGATTCCTTGCCACCAATGATGTCTTGAGCTGAGCACTTGCGGCTGGGTTGACGGCAGGTGTAAGGCCTTGCACGCTTTTGTTGCTTCAAGGCGATGGCACCTTCAATTATCAATATCCACAAGTTGGCCGATCGTGCGACAGAAGCACCGTTGACCCGGGCAACAGCGTATGACATCTTCTGCTGGGCCAAGGCACTGAATCTGCGTTGTAAGGCGTCAGGTGCTGAACACTTTCTTATGCGTATCTGTGAAGGATTCAGCGCAGCTCCACTCCTGTCGGCCTCAGGGGACCAGCGCTGTCTGTAGCTTTGAGGCAACCCCCCTGCAACTTGAAGTGAGACAGATCTGCTCGTGCTTCAAGCATTGAATCAGACTTGTGCTGAAGGGGTGCAGCCCGTTGCCCGGAAGTAACAAACCGAGGAGAAGGGGCGGGGGGGTTGGAGCTGTCGGGGCTGTTGGTTTGGAGTTTTCGGTCGGCAATCTGCAGAACTCGTCCCGGCGGCCGTCTCTTGGGGGAGGTCAGAGCATGCCCAAATAGCGACCATGCCATGTGCCTCCTCCGGCGTCTTGAGCCTAAAGGATACATCATCTTGCTATGCTGATGATGGTCATGGTAGAAATGACAGAGATGGTCTTTTGGCAATGAGCTCCTCATCAGATTGCCCCACAAAAGGCGCTGGTTCGTGTACGCACAAGAATCACCCGAGACAGGTTGAATACTGTTCACACGCGCTTCTTCATCATCTCAGCTCGTGCTCAACCTGTCCGTCATCGGATGGAAATCCTCAACTCGGTTTTTGGAAATAGTCTGTTCCCACGCAGCAGCTCTGCTCCGAATCAATTTTAGTCAGAGAGTTCCGCCAATCTGGAAAACGACAGTTCCTCTGCCACTCGATACAAGATCCAAAACTCCATGCTGGGCTTGATTCGAAGGTCAAGGACTCTGCTCATTTGATGGCAAATCTCAGGAGGCTGCTTAACATACCAGTTCGGGACCCGAGCACTGCAGTTGACAGTCGATCTGGATGCAACCAGAATCCAGGACATGTTGACGAATCACTAGGGATTTGGATGATTACCATTGAGTTCAACCGAAATCCCCGATCATAGATTCGATGGTTGAATTCGTGGCCGGCCTCGACCGCTGGACGGCGTAGCTACTCCTCCTGCCGATTGCAATATCTCGCTCATACTGCTCAGTCCACAAACGGCAAGCATGCTGATGCCACTTTCCTGGCCCACAGCCTGGACCTAGAGGTCTCTGACGCAGGTAGATGACTCTTGAGCTTGGGCCTTAGGCAAAGGCCCGACAATTCAACGAATGGCCAAGAAGTCACACACACACACACACACATGCAGACACGCACACACGTACAAAAGCACCCGCACACGCACGGACGGTTCACGAGAAAATTTTACTGCCATTGCCAGCTTCAAAGGACAGGTAAGGAAATTGCGACCCCTCTGCGAAATTTCAGTTGACAGTCCTCGGTGCCACCGTTGTTGGTGCTGCTGCTTGTATGTAATTTGGGTGGGGGGCTGCGGCTTTATTGCCCTCAGATTGGCTTTAACTTGTGCTATCAAGTGTATGCGCATGTTTCTGGCTTTTCCAGGCCTCTCCGAATTACATGGTCGCGAGCTCAGATAGATTTTGCAGGGGCCTGGGCTAGGCTTGGGCCAGGCCTCAGGTAGAATGAACGTCCCAAAACTGCAGCGCTCGGTGGTGTCACGTGCATTTTTGACTTAGGAGCAGAGCTATGTGCAGACTCGTTTCTCTCAAGCAGTCCATCCGCCGGATCTCGAGACGGGTGCCAGCGGAGGCCTTATAGATATGGCCGCCGCCTTATTCAGACGCTTCTGGTCAAACAGGCTTCCTGAATGTCCCGTGTTTGTCCAAGGTTCGCACCTGGGACACTACGCCGCCTGTTCTAACCTTCGTATGGGCAGAAGCGCGATCGGAGGACCTGGCACCTGACATGTAAGCCGGGAGGGTCACAAAACGTAGGCACATTTCGACGTCGAAGATCACCCACTAAGATTCAGCCCACGATGCAGACCTCCAGTTCTGATAGCCTGCTGTCCCAGGAGTGGTGCATGTTGGGTTTCCGCATGCTGCACCCATCAAGGATTCGATTACTGCAACCCTTCAACTTGATGAGCCTGGAACTGCGTATTGTCGCAGCCTTTGCTTTTAATTCGATCTGCCTTCGCACGCTTTGCTTGGCCGTGTAGCCTTGAAATCGCGTTCAGACGAACTCAGGCCGAGCTTACGATGTGAATCCCGGAAACAACGCCACCTTCGCAGACGTCGTGGGTGCGCCGGGCGGACCTTTCAGGTGGGGGAACCGGGCATGGGCATGCGCATGCTTCGAAGATCTTGGATCTGTCCTGGCCACCCTTTCAGTTTCGACCTTCCGTCGGACTCGCCACTGCGAAGCTTCACGGCCTCCGCGCAAAGAAACTTTGAGATCACCGTGACCGGCCTGTCTCGGGAGGTGTGTGGAGCCCGAGTTTGCATTGCCCTGCGCAGAATGCCAAGACTTCCTTATATGATTTGTGAAGGTGCTGTACTTCGTCTACTGCGTGGCAGAGGATGATGAAGCCACAGACGGGTGCTTTCAACGCAATGCCACGGAAAGTCCGGATTGTGGAAACAACGAGGTGGGGTTTGCTCGGTCTACAGATTTTTGGTAACCAGAGCCTTGTTGGCAGGCAGCGCCGATTCTCACAGAACCACTTGGCCGGTGCGAAAGCCCCTCTTTTGTTGTGCCCAGCTTACCCTCTTCTCTTCGGGGCAGGTATTCCCTGGATCTGACCCCGCCGACTCTTCTAGTGCTGGACGCTGTGTCCTACACACAGGCAGGGCAAGCTTTACTTCGCAAGCTCAGTTTTCGCTTTGCCAACTCTGCTCTGCAGGATTCTGTTCGAGTCACTGCCTCGTTGGACGAGGCAGCGCTTCAGTTCTTCTGAGGCCTGGATTCTGTACGTCGCCACGGCTCCTGCAGGCAGGCACTGTGTGGTGTGCCGCCGTGCTCGACCTGCAGCCTCCACCTGCTACCAATGAAGTCGTGGCTTTGCTGGAAGTTGCTTCTGCCTGCGTGGTGTCGCGTCTCCGATTGAAAAGCCGAGGTGGCTGCCGGATATCTTGCGAGCATAGGGGCCGTGATTTGCTCAGCCTCTGGAGCCTCCCTGGTTTTTAAGCAGATTTTCTCGGCAGACCCGAGGCTGGAGTTCTGGATGTGACCATACAGAACTTGATGAGGAATCGGGATTAATGGCCAAGCTTCCTCCGAGACATATGTGATGTAGTCTCTGACCAGGGACACAGAATATGACGTTTACTGCTTCGTTTGCGACTGAGTCTAGATCGGGAGTGCCAGCAGGCGGTGAGGTGTTTGACACTGGCCTTGAAGGCCCGAGACGACGGCACGATGTCAGCGGCGAACAGTACGTTGGAGGTCAAGCTCTCAAAGAAGAACTCCATCTCGTGCGCTCCGTGCTCTCGTTCCTGGGTCATGCAGAGCCCGATCCGCTTGCACCGCCGTTTCAGGTACTCAGACATGGTGGCAACCAAAATGGACGCCCACGTCATCTATGATTCGGAGGCACCCCGTCTTCTTGCCGTGCATCCTCCACACAATGCTTTCGGAGCAGTGGCCCCAGCAAAGAGAGACGCGGAGTCCAATTGTCCTCGTGCCGGTTTCCCTTGAGGTCGGTGCTGAGGTCAACATCAGCCTCACATTCAACGAGGACATTCAGGATCCACCCGCCGCCCCTTTTGCTTGCAGTGTCTGTGCTTAGACCCTGGGAGTTTTGGCGAGGCTGGCAACGGGACCATCGAGCTACTGGCGACCGGCGAAGCTTCTGAGGGAACCTTACTTGTCAACGCAAGTCGTCGAGCTCGTGCTTGCGTAAGATTTCTCCCTTTTGAAGGTCGCTCTGGAAGCGGCGGAAGTTTTGATTGTGAACGCGGCCATGATCATTGTGCCTTGTCGATGCTTTGCACCACTGGGCTCTCACTCCACTTTGCAAGTAGCCTCAGCGAGCCGCTCCGCCCTTGCTCAGACTGGGTCGATGCACGGTGGCTTGGCCTTGGGCAAAACCTGGCGCCTGCTGGTGCCAAACGGTGCACTCACAGACCGAGCAGGCCGGCGCCCAGCCTGCCACATCTCTGACTGGAGCGCACCGACAAATCATTAGAAAAATCAAACAGCTCGTAAGTGGCATCTTCCTGCGACAAGCTTAGCATGTTGTGGCTCTCGACAAACTTTTGGCCCGAACCTGGCGTTCAGCATGTTTTCCCGCACCACAAACCCTCTCGACACACCTTCATGCAGAATCCGGGCTTCAAGTTTAGAATCCTTTGGCCCTTGACCATTCTCCACCAGCCCGCGCGAACCCTCGAGGCCCAAACAGGACCCCTAGGTCGAAAAGCGCAGGGAAACGAGGGAAAGGTCCGCGTGGCAGCGCATGCGATCTCCGAAGCTGCCCGCTTTCTCAGGCAATGCCTTTGCAGGCGTTTCGGATGGCCAGTATGCTTTGCAACCATGAAGCCCTGGGCTGAGCCTTGGAGCCCTACCTGCTGCTGAGTTCGTCGGTTCTTTCACTCACCTTAGCTTCAAGTCTACATATCCGAGGTGGAATTGTGAGTGTGCCTGAGGCAGATGATGAAACACTGGGCTCCGCGAGGACAAGGATGTTAACGTGAGCCAGGCACATGACATGAAGAAGACAAGCAAGGACCCTGCTAGCAGACGTGTAGACTTCACTGCATACCATGGTCCCAGCTAGCTGTCAGCACGGGCGGTTCTTGTTTGAAAGGCCATCCACAAGTTCGAGACCAAGAAGACACCGGTATCGGGCTCAGGATGCAGCATGTTCAGAACAGACCCTGCTCTGGCTGTGAGTCCAAGTTGCAGCATGCTCAGAGCATCCAGCATGTGTTTTACGCAGAGTCTGCTCCCACAACTTGAAAGAGTGGATTATTTCCGTTCAACCTTTCCCTCCTCTCGCTCTCCTCGCCTTTGAGGTCCACATCCCGATCTCCGCTCAGCTTGAGTGACGCCGGTGCAGCATGACGCAGGGCTACCCGAGATGTCCCGGACATGTTGGCCCATGACAGAGAAGTTGCAGAAGGGAGTTCCTGCAAGAAGAGCAGATCTCCACGTGCGACAAGTGCGTGGCCATGTAGGAAGCGAGAGCCAAAGTGCCTGCACGGAGCGCTGATGCCGTGTCAAAGAAGCGGATGTGAGCTGTGACTTCGCATCGCCGACATCTGCAACACAGGCCAGCCGCACGGCCATCTGCAGGAAGTGGCTCAAACCTGCTCCAGGCACAGCTCATGCCCAAGATCCCTGGTGCGAGCGGCGAGCAGATGAAAGCAGGTCCATGAGTGGTCCGATGGTGAAGTAGCCAGGATGCACGAAATGAGCGAAGAGGCGATTCGCGAAGCCGTGCTCTTGGAGACACTTTCGCGGCTTCTTCGCGAAAAGATCGGTGCCGATGGCGCTTCCCCTGTACCTCCGTGGCGAAGACCTCAAGCAGAAGTCGGAGCCCCTTCTGTCACTTCTGCCAACGGTTCAGCAGTACCACCGGAAGAGCCTGCCGCTATACCAGTGACTGCAGCAGACGTGATCGGTGCTACAGAAATCAAAAGAGAGGCTCCCCTGGAGAAGTTCATTAGAGTATTCGGGCTTGATGAACTGGCGGCGAAGTGCCTGTTGAAGCTCCAAGACGACGAAGCTGCTTTCGTGATCGAGCTCCCTGACGAAATTGATATGGCACTAGTGACTTCCGTTGCAAACTCCTCTGTCCGTGTGTCGCCGTCTCGCTCTCGCGCTCTCTCTCTCTCTCTATCTCTCTCTGTCTCTCTGGTGCGTTCTCGCTGCCTCCCTTTCGCTGGCCCTCTCTCTCTGTCCTGCTTATAAGCCTGCTTGAACGTTGATGTTGAGATGCGACGATGAACACTGCCAAATGACAATGTTAGCAGTCGTGCTTCTATCTGGGGGCTACTGATGGTTGACAGGTCCTCGAATGCTCTGTTCATGTGCCTTTTGAATGATTGCCACTAGCAGCAAATCTCTCTGATCTTGTAGGTTTTGTAAGAACGGTCGGCTGGAACTGCCGGCCCTGTGGAGGGACAAGTGGGCTTAAAACGGGGGTTTTGAGCGGCTTTTCTACAAAAGAGGAAAGCTCGAGGCCGGGTCTTTGCAGATTTCTGCAAAAGTCTCCCGGGGCATTGCTCGGCACTCGGCCCTCGGCCCTCGGCCTGCAGCGGAGCTTGTAATGATTACCCTGCAGGCCTACACGGGCACATGATCGGACAGAACAGCGCACGATGTCGAATGTGCTCGAAGGACGCAGTAGCAAGCTTGGATTGTACGGAGGGGCAGTTGCACCGGCTGATGAAGCGACTCCCAGAAAGCATGGCCAGACATCCGTGGGCCGGTGGTGGCGGAGGATGGGGCGGCGCCCATGGCGGTGTCGCGCAGGCTGGTGAGATCGCCCGCTGGTTGCGAGTCCTTCGTTCCCGTGGAGAAGCATCCGTGATGATGTGCCACTTTTCGCCGACAGCATTGTGACGCTGCACTGCACAGGCCGCTGGGTCGCAGCCTCCTTCGAGAAGCTTCCCAGTGTGTCATCCTGCTGCGCCGACGAAGAAGATGCAACTCCCCGGACTGGATGTTGGCGGATACGTTAACGTGCCGCAATACGCCTCAAGATCGGCAGGAGGAACGCTTTCCCTCCCACCACTTCCATTCTTCAGACTTTGCTTGAGTTCCCATGTCGTTGTCTCAGTTTGAGCACCTCCGGTATGATACTTAGGGACTTAGGATATTTATACGTTCGATTACGTCACGAGGCCTCAGCCTATCAACACAGAGGCTTCAAGAACACGTGGATGAGATCGAAGCTCTTCCGAGGGCTCAGAAGTCCGACTTCTCGGTGCGAGTTTAGGCACAGCGGACTCCAAGAGCTGGATGAACGAAGTAGGCCCGATGCTCGTGCAAACCCATGGTCTACAATCCGCCGCCATGACTGCATCAGCCGTACCAAACGGATTTAATCTGCAATGATGCGCTAAACAAGACTGTGTCGGTCGCTGGATAAACGGGGATTGCAGCTCGATCGGAGGACTGCTTCAGCTCAAACCGTATGTGGAGGCGTCGTAGAAAGAGCACCGACGGCAAAACGAGCCTCTGCAAGTGAAGCACTGCTACCCAACGGACTGTCGCTGTCGGCGAGTGCCTCACGCCTTTCGCGTCGCGTCCGGGTAGCACTGTTTGCTGTTGCTGTTGTGGTTGTTGCTGCGATTACGTTTGTTGCTGCTGCTGCTGTTGTAGATGATGCTGCTGCTGACGATGATGAACTTGTTTTGGGCGATGACGACAGCGACAACGATGGCGACAGAGTTGGCGATGGACATGACGACGACGAGGATGATGATGATGATGATGACGATGCCGACAGCTGGCGTTCTTCTTCATGATGTTGATGGTAAGGGTGGTTGCTCTACTTTCTGCTTGACAAAACTTGACGTATTGGGTACGTGCCGGCAGATCCCGGTGGGGCTCTGTGGGTTAGCTTTCAATTTCGTTTTGCACAAGTTCGTCCACAACAGCTCAAGTTTTTAGCCGAGGTCCATCCAGCATCGTCTGAAGTATGCGAAAAACCCGTCGGCAGTGGTGATGATCGCCATCAGAGGCGTTGCAGCCAAAGTCGGCCGAAGATACTACGGCAGCCGTGAAACGGCAGAGGGTGGAGAATCTCATGAAGGTGCTGGCGAACTCAAGATGTACTCGCCCCAAGGTTTCGGTTCTGTAGCTGCACCGAGCTTGGACAGCCAACAAGGATCGGTGGCTCGCCGGAAGATGAGACTGAGACCGCAGTGCGCTCCTCATGTCCCCGGGTCCCTGCTCTGCAGAGTTGGGGCCTGATGGCAGCTCAGGCTCAAACAGATCCTTATCTTGCCGGAGTCAATGACGAGGATGAGGAGGAGGACGAGGAAGAAGAGGAGCACGTCGTAGATGAGGAGGTAGGGTTGGGCGAGCTTCTTTGGCTAGCCAAGATTGTGTCTCTGCGCAGGTGGAGCCCGTGTCACGGCAAGGCGGGGAACCGAACTCAAAGTGCCCGCTCTCACCGAATTTTTCCATAGCCGCTGTTGACAGGTGCCTCGGAGCCTCCGCTGAAAAAGCCAAGGGTCTCGGATGTCCCGGCCGGGTACCAGGATCGCTTGACCGTTGAGGCAGGGCGTGGCAGGGCGCTACGCCCCTAGGCGCTCTTTGCGTGCGTTGGGAACAGGTTTGGCCGAAAGCATCGCCGGAGGAGGCGCATGTATCCGCGGGTGACTCGTCTGTGTGGTCGGGGCTCAAAGCAGGATCCGGAACCTGACGACGCGGAGTTGTTCTTTGTGGACACGGGCATACAGCAATGAGCACTGCCCATCAAAGCCGGTGAGGGAGGAGACCAGCCATAAGAGCTGCCACGACACTCCAGGCCTCTTGGCCTCAGAGTGTTCTCCGATTCGGATCTCCCCAGAGACCAAGCGACTTCTGCAGTTCAAAGTAACTGGCGAGCTTCCACCGTTGGGAGTGAATGCAAGAGAGGCTGTTGTGGATGTGACATAGCTGCCACCGGGATCACGACCATGCTCTACATGTTCATTTCTATCTTCATGACGCCAGGCGTTTTGGTTCAAGACCTTTACAGAGTGGCACATTAAGTGCCACGAGAATGCAAGTGCAAAGGCATCGCTTGCCGCACTCTTCGCGAGTTGAGCTCAAGCAAATTCCGAAATCTTTTCAGACATGGATGGCCTGGATCTCAGATACTCAGTCTGCTCGACTCCGATGCATCCTCGGCCCGCGGTACTGTGAACTGATACCGAAACCTACAGCTGTCCTTTCCATCGTTTTCTTTCATATTGCGTGCCGTGCCGGTAATGTAAAGGACATAAAAGATGATATGATTACACACCCCATCCTCCGAATAAAAAGTGATATGTGGTGGTCGCCGTGCCGTCTGATGTGCCCGACACTTTGAGTCCTACCGGGCTCAATGCTCGATGACCAAGGTATCCTGGCCTCAGCATTTCACCCCAGACATCGTGCATCTGCCTCGCAGCTACGTCGCAAGTTGCGGATGCGACCTACGCTGGTTCATGCTTGACTCCCCGTGTCCTTCCTGAGGTGATGCAATTCAGCAAAAGCGGTGCCTGAAGGCCATGCCTGGCTACATAGGGCTCCGGCTGTAGTCTTTTACAAATTGCCAGGCACATCCATTGCCAGGAAGACCCGTCTCTTCGCCACAGGCCGCAAATCTGAAGGAGTTCAAGTTTCAAAGTACAACATGACACTGCGTCTGGTTGCAAGTGCATGCGAGGTGATACTGTGGCATTGCAAGCATCCGCATGGCCTGTTCTCGATGTTCTCCCTAGCGCTTGGACACATGGAGACTTGCGAGAAGACGGGCGCCGCCCTACTGGTGGATTGGTCGCTTGTTTGGAAAGAGGACAAGAAAGGACCGGCAAATCCCTGGCCGCAGCTCAGGTCTTCGGAAGAGTTGCTCTACCGAGGCCCTCCTGGAGAGCCCAATGTACTTGCCCTACAGTCAGACGCATGATTTCCGCATGCCTTCGGAAAGGGAAACGGGCGGCAAAAGCAAACTCCGCGAGTTTCCTCCTGTTCGGCCGCCTCTGGCTCCCAAAGGCTCCTGACCCGCCTCCCAATGCCGCTAGTTTGGGAAAGCAAGAGCCGAGAGCAAAGCACCAAGCGATAATCGAAACAAATGCACAGAAACTGCCAACAACGAGCGTCGCAGATCTTGTAACCGTGTGTTTCTTTGGTTATTGTTTTTGCTGCAACTCTCAGTTCGGTCCTCTTCCCACGTTTCACCCGATCTCCATCACAAGAAGTTCTTCACTTGGGGTCATAAAGTGTTTTTACCGAAATTCGGTTTGCGCACGTGTGAACCCCATAACCGCCTGTAACCGACAAACGTGCTGACAGGTCGGATACCGCGAGATGAAGTAAAACTACCGCAAATGTGCATCCACATTCATCCAAGTCTCAGGTAAAACAGCAACAGGCTTTCGAGAGTTATCCTAAGTAACTCAGAATCACAACAAAATCTTGCAAGCAAATTCCACCCAATACGGTACTCCGCACAGAAGTGCAACTGCGGACAAAGCTGCATTGAACCCACTGTCTCACTCTCAATCTCTGCCTTTGACCTTTGTTCCCTGAGCGAGTTGAATGCAGCTTCTGCCCCTCTCCTCCTGCACGATACCCATGCAGGTGGTACCCCTTATAGTGCCCCTCATGCTGCCCTTCTCTCGCCTCAGACTTTCTTCCGTCATCCTCCAGAAATTCAGCCCGCAGTGACCGTCTTTGGAGTGGTGCGGATTTGTCTTGTAAAGTATCAGTGCAACGCCGGACTAACCGATGATCCGGTCAATGTTATGCAATCGTTTCAAACTTGGGTTGTCACACAGGTTCGTGCAAGTTGTAACCTCTATGAATGTCTAGGACTCCCAGTTGCCAAGTTCTTTGCCGTCTGAGGTTTGGAACGCCTTCTTCTGCCAACCTGCAGAATTGAAGATGCCCCAAGAGGCGAGCAGTTGAGGGAGGCTTCTCCGCGGTTTTTGCGAGCATGGGAGGCACTCCGTGCTGCCGTTGACAATGGACGGTGCCTCTGCGATGACCTCCAGAATATGCGCCTGAGTTCAAGCTTGTTCAGCAGGTACACCGAGACGAGCAGCCACAAAGTGGTCTACGGAAACTACCGCGGAGTTATCCAGGACGGAGTGATCGCCCCCTGTGTTTCGGGTCCACAGCCCTCGATGCCAGCTTGATTTTCTGTGTGTTTTGCGGCTTGCAAGCCCGACTCCTGTAGCAGGAGGCATCTTACAGTCATACAAGCGAGCATCAGCATGTGGCTTCAGTTCTCCAGCGAACTGTTGCCGCTGTCGCACGCTGCAGGGCTACGGAAGCATTCCAGCCCACCAGGCAGCACAAGGACGTGCTTTGTGCAAGAGAAATATCGTATTGCGTCCAAAGCCGCTTGGTTTGCAAGCAGCATCGCGGATTCCATGGAGGTCTGCAGTGTGAAGGGCCGCTGTATGCCGCAGCCATCGCATTGCGCTCTGAGGTTTCAGCAAAAGTTGCAGACTGTCATAGACTCGCTGCCGTTTGGTCGTCTTTTGGCCGCCGGCTCCCCGTGCCTCTGAGAATCGCTGTGTTTCTCGCTGCAACGCATGAGGTCCACATACGCCGCAGCGACAAGGGCTGTGAGGCCAAAGCCAACTTCGAGCTTTCGGACGACCGTCTCCTGCAGCGCATCCTTCAACAGCCGCCTTCCCAGCCCTCGCTTCCTCGCGCTGTGTGCCTGAGTCTTCTGCTGTCTGCTTCTTGCAGGTGCCAGGCTTGGGGAATGAACGGCATCTTTCTCTGCACTGACGATGCATCTTTGAAGCAGCGCCTGACGAACGCCCTCGAGCGGACAGGTCAGGACCCGGGCGTTTCTTGCTGTTGTACATTGTTGTAGTCTCTTCGCGGACCCGCGTTCAGAGTGTGCTTCTTCAGGCTTGTCCGTCTCGATGTACGACTCAACTTTGCCCACAGATGGCACCAAGGCCACAGGACACTCATCACACGACTTCGTCGAGCATTCCGCATGAGATAGCATCAGAAGCCGGTCTATTTTTGAGCCGTTCGTCTTTTGCCTTTCCAATTACGTCTTGATCAGCCTCTGCTCGCGGAAACTGTGTCTCTATACAAGTTGCCTCAGAACATTGTCAATACCACATGCCACTGACCCCCAGGCCAGTGTCCCTGCGGTTGCTTGTGTTTCTCGAGGTGAATGTGGCTGCGAGCGACAGCGAGATATAGTCTTGCAAGAAGACTGCATGAAGATCATGAAGACTTTCGACAACCTTGAGACATGTACGGATCCCTGCTGTACAGGGCAACACCGAAGTCGAAAAGAGATCCATGCACTGCGTGCAATTACTGGGCCTCGTCAAACCACTCGCCGTACCAACCACCGTGCAATCTGTGGGGCATTGGGAAATTGAGCCTGTTAGATATTGCGACCATCGCGAGTACTAATTTGAGGATGATTGCAAAGCCCTGCGCCCAGATCAAGCACGATCATCTAAGTATGTCTAAACGATGTTTCATGACGCTGGTCTAAAGATCTGCATCGAGGAGTCTAAGCCTTGTGCAAGCCAGGCTTTCGAGAAATTGCAACGTGCGTCTGCTGCGGGGAGTCCGCGAAGACACATGCCTTGATTTCCTTAGACGTTGGCAGTTGAACTCTAAGCCTCAGCCCTCGCAAAGCATCCGGACAAACGTGAAGAGAACAGCGGCCGCCAGTCAGGCAGACATGGCGAGCTGGCCAACAGCGATTGAAATCTTCAGAGTTTGGGTTTTCTGCAAGGGCACAATTTCTGCTGCGTTATGTGCACTCGAAAGCTGAGTTGGAGGCAGTCCACTTCGACAAGACAGTGGATGCTTACAAAAAAGCAGAGGTCCGCTGCATGCTTCACCCAAGCAATCTAGTGCTTGACACGCCAGGACGTGGTGATGGAGGCACTTCTGATGGCGAAAGGCTGTCACGGCTTGCTGTCAACGCGTTCGGCCCAGCGATGCTGGCAAGAGGGCCTCGTGACTCTAACTGCCTGTAATCGAGGTACTCCAACGTGTCAGCTGCCGTCGTTTACCTCAGCCACGACAAATACCCGTGCCCTGCACAAAGCCAGAGAAGCGTCTCTTCGTAGCCGGCGACATGGAAAGAGCACCACAAAGAAGAAATTCGACAAGACTGGGAGATTCGGAATGCTCGAATGCCCCAGCAACCGTTAAAAGCACACTGCGGACGCAACCTGGCCTTCCACCCGCTTCAAGAAGAAGCAAATTAGGAACCGGTACGGCGCGAGAGCTGCGAGAGGTACACCACATTTTGGGATCCACCCGAGACTTCGTGATCGGCAAGAACACAGGCCAGTGACCACCAAGCCCACTCGGTGCACCGCAGCGTTCGGGTTCGCTGCACCTCGCGCATGCAGGACAGTGGTGTCAAGAGACCAAACTTGAGCTTCTGTGCCAAGATATGACTAGACAGATGAGGCGTTCGGGTCCTACTTGGGCCAGGCGCTGCAAGGTCGTGTTGCAGGCTATACTTGTCCAGGGCAGCAATATGCATCAGATATTAATGGCGCGAATCCTCATCTCAAAGTTGCCTTCAGAGTGCAGATAACGCTTGTTTCTGTACAGTCTGTGCCGTTTCGGCTGTGTTGCCTCGCATGGGCATGAAGGCACGCTGACACGTCGAGTGGATTGGAGATCAGATACAGAAGAAGCTTAAGCCTTAAGCAGTGCATACCTTCAAGATGTGGAGAGAATCACTCGTCGTTTGCCTCAGAATTTTCCAACGGCCGACTTCAGTCAGTAAAGTCGACCCAGGCATGTTGTAAGCTTCATGAAGCTAGACTAATAGGGTTCTTTGCAAGTGTGGTTTGCTATCCCAAATGGCCTGCTACTTTTCGAAAGTTGGGCGGCTAGACTTCGTGTCACCAGCCAGCTGATGCCAATTCGAAGTGGGTTTGCATACCGCGTGTTCCAGCCCATGCTTGCAACAAGTATTTATTGTCGCACACTGCCGAGATCAACAACTGCACGTACTCTCAATGCGAGTCGTGCTTGATTTGGATGCCTTCGGCGAGCCCGGCAGGCATGAGAGGCTTCAGACAAGATACGTGCAACGTTCATGCCAGTGCTGACAGATGGTCGGGGCTGCTGGAAGAATGTACTAACCTCGCAGCAGCGCGTGTATCAACGAAGCCTTTTCATGCTCCGTCCAGCTACCTAGGATGATCCTATGTGGCTGACAAAGACTTACACTTGCAAAGACATTTCGTCAGCTTGTCACCAAAATAATGCTGATCTCTGACAGTTGTTGCAGCAGGTTTACCAGCGATTGCGTCGACCGGCATTATGCTTCGCTCGACGAAGCCCCGAGCTCGCGAGCCCTTACAATCCTGTGCAGCTTCTTACAGGGTCGGGTTGACACCAGGAGATCCTGATCCGAACATGAGGCCATGACTTAAGAATGTCGCCAGCTGCGAAGGGTTTGTGAAATCAGGCCATGCTCGTCCCGCGCAGCTTTTACTGACGTATTGAACTAGAAGAACGAGTAGTAAGTGACATTGTTTCGACACCACGTTCAGCGCGGAAGTTGATATCGAAGTTTTTCGATGTAGCAATTGCTTGTTGCCATGGCGGCTGCCTTGTTTCGTCACTGGCAGATGTTGAGCCGCAAGGCGGCTGACATGCCAGGATCTTGCGGTCTAATATAACTAGAACTATATTAAGGAACCCAAAAATAGTATAGGTAATTATTCAGACCCCTATATTATCAATGTCTATAATTTTGTTTGGGCCAGTCTGTGATCTTGTTCGAGTATGCAAGTAATCAGTGCGATGTGGTTTGCCGCTCAGCGTCGATTTCGTCAGCCGAAGTTATGAGCAGCGGTTCGTCGCTCTTCAAAGTGTGTGCAGAACATAGGTTTTTCCGCAGCAAAGTTGCAGTCGCACTAGCTCACTAGCCTAATGCCTTCAACCTGCAGGTGCTGTACTCAGACTTTGTCTACTACACCGGCCATCATGATTGATTCTGATCGCACGGTTTCTCCGTCGAAGGCCACCCGGAAACTTTGCGATGCAATCCGAAGCTGTACAAGGTTAGCATAGATACAGTTCTTCTGATGCTTTCAAGTACTTCTGATTATCGATCCGAGCGACTATCGAGCTTGTCCAGGCTCCCCGGCACTTTGAATTGGCAAGGACAGGTATGTACTCTGCAGGACCTTTCTGTTGTCGTGTTGGGCTGGCATAGAATACAAACAAATGAGGTTTTAAGGGCTTAGTGCTACAGATTCAGGCCTTGCTGCGGAGGCCTGACCGCACGGGAACGGATTGAGCAACCTTCGATGCATCGCCTTGCCTTGCAGGAGCTGCCGGTTGCCTCTGTGGATCGGTTGAAAAGCTGGCGCTGCCTCCAAAGCCATCCTCCACCTGGAAGCTCCGCATGGGCAGAACTGCTCCTGGGGAGCTTCACGCATTCCTGTACAGCATGCGCCTAGCATGCAAGGAAGTGCAACAGCCCGCTGGAGCTCGATGTTTACAGGAATGTCAAGCTACTTTGGATCTAGAGGGTGTCATCTCGTGCAAGATTCGGCAGCGCAGGTCTGCTTGACTTTCTTCGATCCCAGGAGGTTTCAGGGTCTCAGAAGGAAGAAACTCTCTGTGTCTTAGCCGCTGTCATGACAAGGCCATCAGCAAGCTGTGGGGCTGCATAACAAAGTGCCACAGCGGGCGCTGAAGCTTCCATGTTTTTGATCTTCTGCTCCAGATCTTTGCGGATCTGACCCAAAACTTGCTTGGCGAACTAATCCGAGCTGAGCAAGTTCTGGGTTTATCGCAGCAGGCGGTCAAGTCTATGTAAGGCGTTGCAAGAGTTCGGGTGACCCAAGCCGTGCGCCTGTTTGCGGGCAAACCAGGTCCACTCGGAGCCTGGTTGCAAGATGCTCTTGATCCGTTCGATTCGCCCAGTGTGCAAGCGCTCGGCTAAGTCTCTTAAGTGAGTTTACGGCTGCAAGGCCCCCAGGGCCTCCAGTAGTCCTTCCCTCTTGTCGTTCAGTCGGAATCCACGGGCAATGCATCCATCGCTGAGCCCAGTCTGCCGACCTCAACGTGGCTTTGCTGCCAGTGTAAAGAAGGCTCGTGGGTTCTTTTAATGGCGTTCTCGCTTGAGCCAACCTACCACGATGACGCCCGCTCTTTCCCCATCCTCTGAAATTCCGCTTGTTCTAAATGCTGGGATGTCGTCACGGTCACAGCATTCAGATGCCCAGACTCCGCCAAAGCGTTCGGACTTCTTGCCGGCCATTCGCTGCGGCTGAGTACTCAACGGTTGCGGTCACATGACGTGCCCTTCCGAGAAGCTGAGTATACCTCGGCCCCTGCTGCCGATGAGAGCGGGTAGCCGAACTCTGGCTTTCGCTGTCGTATCAAAGTTCGCAAATTGGCGCTGTGCACGCTGCGAGCTTCAGGGCCAAGTTTGCTCCTGTCACCTGCAGTCGGTCATTGAGCAGAAATCACCGGCACGTGCAGCATGGAACCTTCGTTAGCCATCCCAGTGGGCATGGCAGGCGCAATGAGTTGCAGCTGTCAAGTTACAATGCCTAAAACTACGGTTTTCCGGTGCTTCTGAAAGCCCCTTGCAGACTGACGCCGGCAACTCCCACGATGGCTTGCTCATCCACAGCTGTCATGCTTGAATGCCCCCGCCCCGTAGGAATGCGGTGAAGCAAAGTACGTTGTTCCAGCGTGTTTTTCGAAAACCTATGACCATATATCATATACATGTAAACTCCGGGTGGATGACAGTTGGGATCTGAGTTTCTTCTTGAACATCGCGGGCTGCTCGGCCTCGGCCTCCCGGCTGATTCAGTCCGTTTGCTGAATCTGCATGCGCAGTCCAAAGCATGTGCCGCACGGCAGCTTTCGCGCGTCGATGACGTGCTTGCATACGGGGGGAGTTTCCGATAACTAGGGGTACCACAGTAAGTCGACTTGTATCGGTTCTGGGCTCGGAGGGGTAACGCCCGCACTAATTCAAGCCGGTAGGAAGCCTCCGGTCTCTAAATTTTCCATGCCCTCCTGTCGGTGTCATGTGCCCATACACCTCACAACTAAATGCCCCAAAGAAGGCCGACGCAAGAGTTCGTGGGAACTTCTGCTCGTGATTCCCCTTTGCGCTCAGTTTGTACCTTGCGACCTTGCGCTTGCCAAAGCCTTTCCGCGAGATCGAGGAGTTTTTTTTGAGCGTTTGCCGCATTTGAACGGCGGGTCCCCGCTGCTCCGAACGGCGGACCCCAAGACAACAAACGTCAGGGACGTGACTCGGACGTGAGGGAGGCCCTTTCATTGGCCCAGCGGCCCAGCGAGGTGGCCGGACTGCGCCTTCGTCTTTGAATCCTGATGCCCTCCTCCCTCCTCACGCTGTGCCTCTGCCCGCCTGTTGAGTCTGGTGTTGCAGCTCAGCTTGCTGTGCTTCTTTCTTCTACCGCGGTCCTTCTCCGTGCGGCTTCGCGCCTCCTTTCAAGGCAGGTTTACTCAGTCTGGCTTTGCAGCCTGAGCCTTCCGGGGAGCGTCAATACTCTTGAAGCACACCTTCGTTGGTGCAGGCCACGCTGCCTATCATTTTGGAGATTGCTTCGCGGTGTTTGCCTGCAGAGGAGATTCGGACAGCTGTTGCGCGGGGAGACCAGCCCTCGTCACGATGCTTCGTGACTCAGGCCTCCCGATTGTCTCGTGCTCTGCCATGCCATAGCTCACTGGTAGAGCTGCCGCGGCTACCGCTTCCTGGTCGTGTCCGCCGTGGGTTGGTAACGTTGTCAGTGGCAGCCTCTGCTGCGAGCTCGAACTGAGCGCAATGGCAAACCGCTGCTGTCGCTGGGGCCATGCGTCTTTTCGGGTGTTTCGGCTTTGAAGTCGAAGATCTACCTCGAGTAATCCAAGCCACCAACCGAGGCCGAGCTCGCAGAGTCCGGCTGCAGCTGTATTCCACTCTGTGCTGTACCACGGATTCCGGGCTAAGAAGCGCTCAGGGCGACGAGCGCCGAGACAGGTCAGCGTAGGCATGGCCGGGTGCGCCGATCTCTTCATCAGATTGCCAGAGCAGGACACCTCGGACTGCCCGCGGTGCATGCGCTGTCTCCTCCGCTTGCTGCTTGCTTGGCCTTACTTTCATTGTTGTCATTGCCGAGCCGTCCATCCCGCAGGATCAACTTGTAGCTCTCAAGTGCTTCGTTGAGAGCCTTGTGGCTCAACGGTTACTTTCCTGCTTGCCATGCATCCTTCTCCTTTGCTCCATGCCAGGAGAGGCGCGCTGAGCCGTCATGCAAGTGAGTGTAGCACCTGTGCCACGTGGTCAGGCCGAGGCCGCGGAAGATGCCAGGCTGCTGGAGCAGACGCACCAAGTGCCGCTGCCCGTGCCCAAGCTCCCCAACCCCTGCCAGCGTAGGGTACTGGCCGTCCTGGCTGTCGCCGTTGGCAGCTCGCCGAGCACTTCGCATTCTCTCACCTTCGCCTCCTGCCGAAGACGGCGAGAGAAAAACGGCAAGGCCGTTTCCACTTGCGCCTGCGCCTGCCGCTCGCATGCACCGAACACGGACTACCCTTTGCTGCGAAGTCACGGGTCCTGCGTTCCGCCCAGACAGGCGGTGCGGCTTGCACTGGTCAAGGGGCTGTCGCAAGACTTGCCGGTTGAGTCACGGTAACATCCTGCATTGCGCTTCTTGCATTTCTTGCATGCTCGCACCGCTTGCGCCTCGGGTGATCGCGGCCTTGCGATGCGGGCGGAAGCCAAAGCTTGGCCTTGACCAGTCGGCATCCCTTCTCTCCTTGGAAGCAAGGCGGCCACCGGTTGCTTCACATATCTGCGTGGTGAGCTTCCCACTCTAAGGCCTTCCACACATGCTTGTGCTTGAGCCCGTTCCGCATCTCTACCAGTGCACACCTAATGCTCGCCGGTCTGCAAAGATTCAGGATTGGTAGCGTGGCATCACATGATGCTGCATAACGACGGTTTGTCAAAGGCTTCATTGCAGCGTTCTATGCTTCTACTACACATGCTTCACGCGTGCACCCAGGTCATGCTGTGCCGAGTGATTGCTTTCCCTTGCTCTTGATGTTTAGATTTGACAATACACGGTGCCATTTGCAGTGCACCAAGCCCTATTTTCAAGTAGAATGTGGCTTCGCGAGCATTAATGCTGAACTGTTCGATGTGCAGCCTTGCTTGCACATTTCGCGATCCATCGAGTTTGTATGCAATTTCAAAAGGGCGGCTTGTGGAGACATTTGCGTCAGCACTCTTTGTTTTGACGTTGTTTGGCAGTTGCATGTCACGTGCGGGACCGAAAGGAGCATTTTCTGACGTCCGATAAGAGTCCTAGTAACAAGTGTCTGAGAACGCCTACGCTGCTGGCTGCAGCTTTCGGCTCACAGCGCATGGAAGTGGATGTTCAATTGTGTTCAATTGTGGGAAGCAAGTGTTTGAATGGAACGCAAGGCAGTGGCACAGTTGACTGTTGGGGCTGTCAGTGATGTCAGCGACACAGACGGTTCAGCAAATTGCTTAATAGTTACTGTGCTATTTCGCATCATGGTTCCCATCCGAGCAGGGTGCGGCATTGCGCCGGATTTCACAGCGGAAGAGCGATATGTTCGGCATCAACGAGGTCTTTTTGCCACTCGACCTGTGCTGACCAATTTGACAATTTGGTCACTGTGTTTCATCCAGTCACACTTTTGAGGATTTCTGGAGTGTGGAGGCAAAGAAAAGCCCCTCCCTGTCAGGTTGCGATGTTGCCCAGAACATTGACGGCAAGTAGCGCGGTCTCTGCAGCTCTGCCGTGTTGAGAGTCAGTGGTTACATCGGTTCGTTGCTCGTCCATGTGACCTGAACAGCCCTTTTTGTCGTTGCTTTTGTCGATCGCTTTCCAGGTTGGCTGGAGGCAGCAACATCGGTGTCTGGGGAGAGTTTGCAAAGCAAAGGTCGGTGGTGCCCAGCCATTGGTCCAGGGCAAAGCGCTGTTGCAAGCACCTGCTCCACAGGCCTGCCCCACAAGATGAGAATACTCGCGGACGCATTCTCGTACCAGGTTTTGCCAGAGAGCGCATGTGTCCTGTGTGAGGCAGTCCTTCATCCCCAGCAGCCGGCTCAATTGCAGGTGGGGTGCACGTGCTGCTTATGCATGGCGCTGTTGGTGGTACTGAGATTCAGTTTCTATGAAACCTTTCAAGAAGAGCAGATCGTTCCGTTCAAAACTGGTTCTCGGCCGCTTGTCTGGGCCGTAGGAACTGGCGCGTCCAATGTACATACGTCTCAGTCAAGACCCACAGTCCGGCGTTATTCACACTATCAAGCAGCTTTATGACTTTAATTTAATGGTATTTCCCAGCTCAAGTAGTAGACTTGACAGGTTTAGCAGGCAATGTGCCGGGTGCAGACCACTTGACTTGAGTTTTGGTTAAAAACGATGGGTCTTTTCGGACGGAGAGTGCCAATCCAGGACGTGCAGCGGGACTTGCACAGTGTCGTGCGCAGCCTGCAGAGACAGGCATGTCATGCGGCGTCGCTTGTGGTGGCTTAGGTCTCATGGTGGAGTCTGGTAGAGTAAGAGTGTACACGACATGATTGTGCGGAAGAACATACTGTCACCTGGTGTGTCTTTAGAACATGCCTTTGCCGCGCTTCGCGCGGAAAATGCCACGAGTGCTTGCCAGGTCGATGAGCTTCAGGCCCACAGCTGCAGAGCTCCAAATGACAATGTGCAGCTGTAACTCCTCAGCGGATGTAGGCTCAACCCCAACGTGATCCGACCGACAGTCCAAGGAATGTCGCAGTCGTTCGAACGGTCACAGTAAAAATGTTGCTTGAACGACAAGCTTATGCATGCAGACTTCATGCTTCAAAGCCGTCTGAGCGTTCGCCAGCTGCGAAGAGGAAAGAGAGACCTGTGCATTGGAGGACATGGTGCGCTCTCTGCAGCAGCCTGCCAGCGAGGCCGCAGAACGGCGGTGGATTCAAAAGTAGCCTTTCAAGGGGCAGAATATGAAAGAGCGAGAGGGAGAGCCTTGATGGACCCCAAAAGGGCAGTGGTAACACATCTCATGCGACAGCCTCCTTCTCTGTAACCAGGAGGGAAGGGGCGCCCAGTGTTCGGGTCCGACCCTGCTCGGACTCATGCCGGGAAGGTAGGAAGGAGAGCCCTGACGGCTACTATCACGGCATTGGCCCCTTTGCGGTTGCGGGATAAGAGGCGAACGTCAGTCCTGAGCGTAAGAGGTTCGGTTTGGTCAGTGGTCTTTGTCGGTGTCAGCGCAAACATACATTTCATGCCGACTTTCTTGGCGCCGGATGCCGGATGCTAGGTACTGCGAGGGAGGGTTGTCAGGACCAGCCTGTAGCCAGCAAGAGCTTCGACGGTTCGCGGATCGAGGGATCAAGATCCGACTGCAGAGCTGCCTCAACAAGCATTCGATAGTCGTCAGGATAGCCGGACACGCTGTAAGGCTTGCGATTGCAGTTGTCGGTAGGGGCAGATAGCGGAAATTGAGGAAACCCTTGAACCGAGAGACTCGTTGGAATCAACAAAATCTTAGACATGGATTCTATGGTCTTCGTCATAAATCGCAGCCTTGTCGTCTTGTGGCGCATAGGTTCTTGAGACTGAAGTGACTGAAGCCAAGCTCCTCCATAGGGTCACAGGGCCCCCCTGCTACCAGCACCCGAGCCACAGCCACAGGCAGAGAGATCGAGCACCCAGGCCCGAGAGGCAGCCTTTGCCCTCTCGCGTGCGGAAGCGTCAGCGTGCGGCTTACTGCTACATGTGGCACAGTCCTGTCGGTCAGGCATCACCCTCAGCGAACTCACTCATGGTGGCTCGCACGCCTTCCGAAGAAGTCCGCCTGCCACGTTTCGCCTAGTGGTTGAACAGCAAGCAGCAGGCCTGTTTTTCAACCTGCGTCGCCGAGGCGCTCCTGCAAATGTATCGCCAGAAGCGGTCGGAGGAAAGCCCAGAGGCCCGCCCACGTGCACCCTGTGCAACGGACAAGGACGCAGAGAGCGAAAGAAGCGCAGCTTGGCCGCTTGGCCCGTTCCGAGTGCGCATTCTCCGCAGCTTGGCTCGAGCCTCGAGCCGCTGGAGAGCCCGCTGCGTCCCAGAGGAGGGGTCGGGTCCTTGGCCTTGCTCGGTAGGCCCTCGCCGCACTGGTTCCTTAATCTCTTGCGATTGGCTATCGGCTAGCGAGTCTCTTGAGATTGGCTACTATATCGGCTAATTATCGAGTTGGAGGCTTGGTAGTGGAACACTGCGATCAAGAAAGGATGAATGAGGATCTCGAGGGCTTATTGTCGAACTTCCGTGCCTTCATCTTGTGGCCAGCATGCCTCAAGACCCTCTTGGTCCCAAGTGTTCGAAAAGAACCCGTTGACGTGCTGGCCAGATGGGCCGCATCCAAAGATCATGAACACTTGGCATAAGTTGCTGCGCACATCTGAGCAGAGATGTGGCAGGGAGCTTCGGTGAGTCGCAGTCTTTGTGCCATCGCTGGCAGCGCCGGCGGGAAAGTCGGAAAGTCTTTGTTGATTTTGACGGTGTAATTCCTTGCCTCATGTCTTGATCACAGGACATGGAAGGGCCTCACTTTGAGCCGCCGAGGAAACGAGGTGCAAGCTGTTTGAGTCAGGGCCCGTTTTGGTCACTTGGTCACTTGGTGGCATGCAGGCGACTTCCTCAGTTCACGGCCCAGGCAGGGAGTCGACGGAGAGACTGCGTGCGAGAGACTGCGGAATGATGTCCACAAGCCTCTGATCGCGTGCAGATTACATGGAAGCCGCTACGTTGATGCCCTTCCGGATGTTGACCAGCAGCTAGAGAATGCAATCGTGCCTCCCTCGGAAAGTAGTTTTGAACCGCCGTGCTTGTAGGCTGCTTCCTGATGACATCTTGCTTTGTTTCGTTTGCCGACTTCGGCCGTCGGGGCGCATCACATCGACTTCATATGCCCTTGGAACAGGTCATGGGCGATCTGGCTTGGGTCAAGGACCCCGGACTCGGCGGTATCTGGAGCTCATACTCTGCTCTGAACTCGCCTTGCGAGGACTGCATCAAGAAGGGTGCAAACGTGAATTGCCGACTAGACGAGAAGGGCTTTACCCCTTTGATGCTGGCCTCGGAAGGCACTTTCTTTCGGGGTTCCTTGTCCCTTATCCCTTTTGCGGCCCGAAGTCCAAAGGTGGCTGGGCAAACATCGTGAGATACCTGGTGGAGAACACCGACGTAGAAATGGACGCGGTGGATTCAGGAGGCCTGTTTCACTTCTTTGGGGCGGCCTTCCTTGCCATTCCTGTTACTGCTGCACGGTGAGAAAGTTCTTCATAGCAAGTCGGTAAGCCTGGAAAGCATTTCAGTTATGGTTGCACTCGATACACAACTTTCATGCAAGCGGCAGGCGACATGTTGATGGAATTGGATGAAGTTTGTTCGAACCTGCAGCAGGTTTCAATGCAGCGGACATTGCTGCACTAAACGGCTACCTTAGCTGGGAGGAGCGAGGATTCTTGGCAAATTGAACAGAGACGACGTCAGGATTTAAGAGCTTTCTGAGCTGATTGTGCTTCCTGAACTCAGGTAAGAATGCTGATGTTGCAGACATTGTCAACTATCTGAAGGATCCTTTCAAAGGGGGGCATTGTTGCCTTTGTCTCCTCCTGAGAAGTTTTTTGTGGCTTCTGCAGGACCGAGGCCTCGAGTACACCTGGAGAGGCGCGGTCATCGGCTCGCGCCCCAAAAGAGGCAAAAGCCGGGGTGCCGCCGAGCTTGGACCCGCTCCGTTTGGTCGGTCCTAGGCGGCGACATCGATCGCATCAACGAGTTCCTGGAGAACGGTCAGGATATTGAGGAGCGAACGGGTGGCTCGGTGTAGAGTCAGTCCCCGAGGGGCTCAGCTGAGCGTCGTTTCTAAGTCGGGATCAGGGGCTTTCATTGCATTGGGGTGACCCCAAGACTGTCAAAAATGCTGCGCTCTTTCAGGTTACTACTGCGAGGGCAACCTGCCTCAAGTGGGCCGAGCGATTCTGGTCTAGCCTCTTCCGAAAGTTGCCGTGAAATTCGATCCCCTCTTATGTTTCTCTTGCTGGCTACTAACTGTCTAGCTACTGTTCGTTCCAAGCTGCTTGCTTGAGACATCTCTCGTATCCCAGGCAACTATCAATACACTGCCTTCCAAATGGCAATGAAGTTTGGACGCCAGAATGTTGCCCGCTACCTGCTGTGTGTGATCCTCATTTGCTTGCTGCAGGGGAGTACAGAGTCCAGGATGCAGATGGGCTTGTTGGAGATGAGAGCTGTTTCTCGAGGTCTCGGTGCTGTGATACCCAGAGACATTTGCGAGACGCAGATACCTTTCGACAGTGAGCTCAGGGGCTTCACCTAGTGGAGCACAAGCTCTTGCAAGCAGTCTTCCGTACATGCTCAACTTCGTCAGCCATTTGTGCAAACACACTCTAAGCTCTAAGCTTTAGCTTTGGACTTGGTTTGGCAGAGGCTGCAGTGATGTCGAGTTTTGTCTTGGGTGCAAGCCTGCTGGCCAAAGTCTCTGCCTGATGCAGTTCCTGTCTTTATCGCTGGAGACAAAAAACTGTGTGGAGTGTCCAGCGGGAGGGACCAGGGGACTGGGCAAGTGTAGCAGCGACACGTGCTAGTGATTAAGTGATGAAACCAGCGCTGAAAGCGCTTCCGAACGCGACCGCGCGTCAGTACTCTCAGGTAAGTTCTCCAAGCTAGATTAGATCCCTGCAAGGTCCCGTCTCGACCGCGTCAGCGGTCAAAGGAGAGCCGTGAGAGTCTGGGTCCGGAGGTGGCTGATGTGATCTCGGTCGACTGTGACTTGTAGTGTGTTTTAAAGTCTTCATCGCAATGCAAGGTGCAGGCGCAAGAGAACCTGGTTGAACGCCGCCGGCAGGCTCGGCACAGAGACATGGTAGCACCACTTTGCACATTCTTGTCATCTGCTCTTTGGCTATTGTCTTTGAGGATGTCTGCAACTCAAAAAATTCCTGCAGGCGCCAAAGCGGTCGTGGTCGCTGGGAACTTGCGGAGGCCAGGGTGTTGCCGTGTTGTCCCGTGAAGTCCCGTCTCCGGCTTGCGGGCCGCGCTATGTTGGCGACGTCGCCCAGCTTCCCGCATGACTTGCAGAAGCCTCTCGACTCTTGCATACTCTTGCCCTCGGAGCCATCGGCAGGTCCAAATCTTTGGCAGGCAAGAGAGTGCTCATCGAGTCACCGGGAGAAGTGACTGCATAAAGAAACCCGTGCTCCTCCGCAGGTTCTTCAACACAGATTGGGACTGCATCAGTCACAGGACTGGATCGCAAAAGACATGTGATGTGTCATGTGTCGGATCATGGGGAGGGGACTATGAACTATGAACATATGTGCATTTGCACGGCGTGTTAAAATGTATAGCGATATCTCTCTTCGTTCCTGTGTCGCTGGATGATATTTGCCCCCGCTGAAGGCAAAGGAAAGGGTTTCGGGATTAGGGTTCTAGGGTTTAGGGCTTAGGGTTTCCGACCGTGCCTTCGTCTATGCCCGATGTTCTCGGACCTGTCTGAAAAACATGCGTCTCTATTTCCGGTTTTACTCCTGCATCTTCAAGAAAACCCCAACGCCTATGCTGAACATAGATCCGTGAAAATCCCAGCACCCTATACTGTATATATATATATATGTATATGTATATGTATATGTATATGAATATATATATATATATATATATATATGTATATATGTATATATGTATATATATATATATATATATATGTATGAATATGTATATATATATATATATATATATACAAGGGTACTATATTGCACACATACAGGTGTGTATATGTATGTAATGTACGGATACATGTATGTATGAATGCATGCATGTACGTATAGGTGGATGTGTGCATGTATGCATGCAAGAAAGCATGGATGGATGGATGGATGGATGGATGAATGGATGGATGTAGTAGGTATGTATGTATGTATGTATGTACGTATGTATGTCTCTGTCTGTCTGTGTGTATGAATGTATGTATAGTATGTCTGGTCTTTCTGGTCAGTCTGGTATGTAGTCCGTCCGTTTGTCTGTCTGTCTGCATGCCCCCTCCAGCGTGGCAGGAAGTGGCGAAAACGACCCAGCTCAGCGGAAGGCACCCCATGGGCTTGCCATGTTTACGCCACTGCATGTGCGACAGAGGGCATGTTGTGAAAATGGTGCAGGCCATTACTAAATCAACTGTACAGTGACGCAGCACTTGCAAGCTTCCCGCACAGACGGCCGGGAGCATCCATGTCTTTAAACTTGGGCTACCTGCCAATGTACCCCAGATCACGAAGCTTCCCTTTGTTCTCTTTTGAGTAGCAGTTGGGCGAAGGGCCGCTTTGCAACTGTGTTAAGCCTGTGGCAATCCTGGTTTTATCGAAGCAGTCAGCATAAAGGGCACGACAAACGAGCAAATTCAACATGAAACAACTGCGCCACTGAAACTTACTGCATGTGACGGTTCGCACAATTCAACATGCACATGACATTACTGTAGTTTATATACGGATATATACGTTAATAATATTTGTGTTCAGACCTTGGCATCCATCATATTCATGATACGTCCGCATGTCGTTTGGTCGTGCTCAGACCGTCCTGGTGTCAATCAGAATACTTGAGCACATGTAGCAAGTGCAGCTTGGACGTAGCGGGAGCGAAAGGGGCGGGAAGTTTGGGGGGCCCAAGTACTCGTGGTGCAAACAAAGCCTCTTTTGCGGGGCAGGCGCGTGAACTCTGCGGTGGCCAGGGCCACAGTCAGATGCAGCTTTCCGTTGAGGGGGATGTTCTTGGCAATGGCAGCTAAAGCTGAGCAGCGATCAGAGGTTGAGACAGTCAAGTCGTATAAGGAGCGTGCGACTTCCACGGCTGGTGGCGAGGCCCGCGGATAATGCCTAGGCTTAATAGGCACTCAAGGGACGGAACGATGGCATTATGGATCGGGTGGAGTTGTGCATCCCGTTTAATTGTAGCAGCTTCTGACGAGGCCAGCTGCTCAGGCCGCAGGCTTTTCGCAGAATGCATGGCAAGTATGTACTGCTATCGAGTCTAGCCACGGCACCTGATTACTATCTGTCCTGTCCGCGCTAACATGTCGAGACACTCTCTGAAAATCGTGCGCCCTACTTGGTCGCCCCCCGAACTGTTGGGTGGGGGAGGGGGGAGTTGGCTAGACAGCTCCAATTGATTAGGTGAAGACTACTACTATGACTTCGAAAAGGGTACATAGTAGTACATAGTACTTGTTCTTGTTTCCAGTTTTCACGGTGGCTTGGATTAGGGGGCATTTAGGGTTTAGGACATATCTCACCGTGAGAAGACCCCAAATCTGAGTCGCTTCTACAATGCTGAAAAGCTTTCGAAACCATTGAACCAAGCCTCAGACCTCCTAAAATGGAACTTCTCACTCAGCTAGAGCACCCTCTCCTAGATTCAAACTGACCGAGAGCAGAAGGAAGAATCCACCAAAAAACCTCTGCAAAAAAACAAAAAACGTTATAGTGCCCGTGACTAAATTCTAGAGGGCCGGATTAATTCAACAGGGCCGAAGGGGTTCACTGGTCTGTCAGGTGACGCGCAATATGTCCTGGCGAGAGCCAAGCTGCCTGAATTCGCTTCAGCTTTCGCTCCGTCAGATGATTTTGGCGGTTTCCGTGAGCCCTTTGGATGCCAGGACTGCCCAGTACATTTGCGAAGATCTTCAGACACGTTACGGCTGTTTGGAGGCGGACAGTTGCCTTTTTCCGTTCTTTGGCGACATGATTGGGCGAAGGTGGCTGCAACATCTGCGGCACTGGCCCTGAACATGCCTGGAGCACGAATGGTGCCCAGACAGCGGAAGCCGCCCAAGCCGACCAGCCAAGGTGTTCGGAGCACGATGTCAACTCCTGTTTGGTGCAGCTCGGTGACGGTGAGAAAGGCGGCCCAAATTGGAGTTCTGCACATGCAATGGGCTTTGGACCCCTGGAGGAATCCGCGCCACACCGCTCTCGAAAGTGGCTGGGCACCTGCCGAGCATCAGCTTCGGTGCTCAAGCTTTCGAGGACGACACCCCTGCACTCGCTTCGCATCGCTTCGCAAGCTCATGCTTTTCACTGCAGTGCTTTTCTGCTCGTAAGGTCGCCACTGCTGAAGCGAAACCCCTCACGCGTAAAGAACGAATACAAGCACAGGATCCACAGCAAACATGTGAAATCTCAACGATGGCTTCCTGCCAGACAGTCTGAATCCCCGATCTAGTTGTAACCCAAGAGGCATCTGCACCGAATTTAGCACATGCTCCGCGTGCTTCTATTGACCGCCAGTGCTTCAGCTTCTGCCGCTTCGCAGGCTGCCAGACCTTGCATGCATGCGATTGCAAGCATGCCCAGAACCGTGAATTTAAAAGCAGCTCACTTCCGCTGCATCAGCGAAAGGCATCCCTGTCGGCAGCACTGCTGTGGCGCCGTGGTAACAATGGACTCGGTGTCCATGCTGGCCGACACTATTGTGAGGGCCAGACCGGCATGGAGGGATTGCATCAGGACACTTATTGCCGATGTTGCCCTTCTCCATAAGATTTGCTGGGCCTGCTTCCGTCGAGTATAGTCGCCGCGTTGTTTTTTGGTCGTGCAGGTGAGATAGTTGAGCGCTGCTACAGCCTCGTCGTTGCAGAGTCGTTGGTCCCAGCCGATGCCGCGCTGCTTCCTCTATGCTTGTTCCATGCAGGTGGGATTCGTGGAATACTGTAGGACGGATGTCGGCTGATCTTCTGACTGACGACAGGCAAGCAGCTCCTGTTCCCTTTTGGCTGGGGACTGCTCTACAACGAAGGCAAACTGGATCGCAGTCTATTCGTTTGTTTTGTCAGTTAGCTCAGTTACTTGTAGCTTGTATTTGAGCACATTTCTCATTTGACCGTCGTGGCTGAGTGGAAGGCAAGCAGATCTTGTTGTCAGCTCCGCCCTTGCAGCTTTTGCAGCTTCTGCCCTCAAGCATCTGGGCCATTGAGACACAAGGCCACAAGGGAACCATGCAAGCTGCACAGGGACCGCAGCGGCTTCACGAAAGCTATCAAAATCATCCGAAGGCTTGCCTGGCAAGCAGCAGTAAGTGTGACCAAGAGCGGCACTGCCTGAATCAGCAATGGCGAAGGGCAACGGACAGCTGCCGTCATCTCTGTATAGAAGAGACAGCAAGCAATCATGTGCACAAGTGACGCGAAGCTAGACAAGTCGGCACAAGCGAAGCGCAGTGTCGTATGTTTCGGGTGCTCGGCCTCAGCGGCGAGAATGTGTTGCAGCTGGACCTGGAGGTTCGGAAGACGAGTAACTGTGTAAGCTTTCAATGGCGAGTCATGCCTAGTCACCTAGTCATGCCTAGTGTCTAGTGCAGCAAGTTTGGTGTTGGATGTACCTGGCAGGAATGGAACCAGGAGTGCTGCTTGGACTTTGCCCAAGTCGTCAAGAGCAAAATCCATGAGCACACGGGGGTCCCACACTTTCGGCAGAGGCGCGGCCTTCAATTTCCACTTAGCATGGAAAGGCTCACCTTTCCCTCACGTCTCCACCCCCTTCTTGCCTACGAACGTCAGATGTCTGTAAATACGTGCTTCCCGCAACTAACCAATCCCTCCGCCAACTCCCTCCCAGAGCCCTTAGCCTTAAACACGCATCGCAGTGCTTCGTAGCTGTCGTAATTACAATTCGGGGTCCGCAAGAAGGGATCGGATCTTCCCTGAACCCGATTTCCACAAAGTTCCGGCAGGCTGTTGATGGAAGAGGGGAAGTCCTGGGAGCAGCTCGGAGGCTTGGACAAGCAAGTCAATGACGCTACCTTTCCTTGCTCTAACCGCGAGAAAAGGCTTGGACACAACGACTTTTCGTGGGAAGGAATTAACCCAAAACCTCTTATAAGGACCCTAAACTAAACTAGCCGTAAACCCTGTTCCCTGCAATCTTGTGGTCCGAGTCCTATAAGCCCTAAACTGCCAAATCCTAAACCCATAGAAATCCTCTTCAAGTTGTGCGGTCTGATGAGTTACTCCCTAACGTCTTCTTGCCCCTAAAGTTCTCATCCGTACAGCCCGAAACCTTGAAACCCCAAAGCACCCAAACCCTCATCGTAGCCGAGGACGCCCCCGGGAGGTGCAGGTGGTCCTCAACCAGGCGCCAAGCTTCTCTTTTTGGATCTCCTTCTCTGAGGGTGCAGGGTTCAGGCGTGTCGGAATGGTGTCGGTCTTTGTAGGGTTCAAGGGCTTAGGGGTTTGGGGATTGGAGGGATCGTTTGCGCACGTTGCCTCACCTCCTCTTGACAAGTTGGGGGTAATCGCTGTTTGTGACGCTTTTAACTGACTCAGGTGACCCATGACTTTGATGAGCAGTTGCTAGCCGCTGCTGCAGCAGGACCAACGATGTAGGCTCGAGCACGTTTGCAGCACCACCGTCCCGATGCCACTGAATTGCTCGTGTTTCTTCCTCGAAATGCCATGCGCGGACGATTGTACCCACGGTACGCGGCAAAGATCTGGCGTGGTGTCGTGGTGGTAGGAGAGCAGAGCACGCTCGTTTTTCACTGTGCGAGGAGATGGGGAGCTCGTGGGCCGCCTTCTCAATCGCTATCAGGCTTGGAGCCGGGAATGGGGGAATATTGAGAGATGGGGGGTTGCTCCCAAGCCATTGTTGTAATTTCCACGTGCCACCGGCCAGCCGGCCAGCCCCTCCTTGCCCGGTGGTCCGGCTTCTGTTCGCCTGAGACACGGCTCCTTTCTGTCATACGGCAGATGAGCTCACTAAAGCTTGGCTTTTCATGCCTTTGGTGAGTCTCCCCTGAACTATTGTAGCCATCGGATCACTGTGGTGCAGAATTTCGCCAGGATCCCAATTGTCAAGATGAGCGTGGCGAAACTGCCGTCTACAAGGCGGACGCAGACGCAAAGCTCTCAAAAGGGCTTTCGTTGCCTCAGAGCATACCTAGCCTTCAGGCCAGCCAAGCTGGATACCCACAAATTCTGCAGATGTTGCTAGAAGCCGGCGGTGAGAAGGACGAAGTGCTGTTAGAGAAGTGACGACCTTTGCGAAACCCCCTGCCTTGGAAGGACATAGCTGATCAACATGGAACTGTACCGCTTCACGTTGCAGCTTTGCGAGGGCATCTGGATGTCGTGAGAGCTTTGATCGAAGCTGGTGCAGACAAGGATTTGGCCGACCAACATGGCGCCGTTGCCTTGCACATGGCATCCCTGAATGGTGAGGTGGAAGTGGTGCAGCTTTTGGTGGAAGCTGGAGACGAGAAGGATAAAGTTGGGGGTCTGGGCGCTACACCTCTACATATTGCAGCTGAGCGAGGGCACCTTGAGGTGGTCCGCTACCTGGTGAAGGCTGGTGCAAATTTGCATTTTGCCAACTTGCGGGGAGCAGCCGGCATTCACATGGCCGCTTTGAGCGGACATGTCGAAGTGGTGCGATTGCTGGTCGAAGCAAAAGCTGAGAAGGACCAACGTGACAAGCATGGGGCCAGCCCGTTGCAGCTTGCGGCGGAGAGAGGGCAAGAGGCTGTCGTTAGGTTCTTGCTGGAGGCCGGAGCAAAGACTGACCAGCGTGATCAACACGGCAGCGTCGCTTTGCATGTCGGAGCCTTGCATGGACACCTTGGAGTGGTGAAGGGTCTCGTCGAGGCAAAGGCTGACAAAGACTTGGTTGATCAGCACGGAGCGGCCGCCTTGCACATGGCGGCGCTGAACGGCGAGGTGGAGATCGTGCAGTTTCTAGTCTCGGAGTGCGGAGCTGACAAAGATCAAACCGGTGGCTTAGGTGCTACGCCTTTGACCATTGCAGGTGAACGGGGGCATGTAGAAACCGTCAGGTTTTTGCTGGAAGCCAGGGCCGACAAAGACGCGACCAATCTCCGCGGGGCAGGAGCCATCCACATGGCTGCTCTAAGCGGACATCTTGATGTTGTTCGTTTGCTGGTTGAGGCAGGTGTCGATCGTGACCTTGTTGAGAAGAATGGGGCAACAGCTTTGCACCTCGCTTCGGAGCGCGGGTACACTGCAGTGGTTACTTACCTTCTCCAGTCCCAAGCAAATGTCGACAAACCAGATGGCACTGGTCGCACCGCATTGCATCTGGCTTCTCTATACGGACACCTTGAGATCGTTAAGACGGTCATGGCTTTGTGCTCAGACGCAGACCTGCTGGATGGACAGGATTTCAGGCCTCTCCAGCTTGCCGCAGAAAACGGCCACACTGAAGTGGTGCGCTTCTTCCTTGAGGCCAAGGTTGACAAGGACACGGGATGCTTATAGTCCCACGACCGAACAACAAACATTCTTGCTTCACAGGACAGGGCTCCACGTGGAGTGACTCCCCTGCACTGCGCTGCACGCTGTGGCTGGTGCCTCATTGGGCTTGGCAGGTGGAGTTTTGACGTTCATCGGAAAGACCATAGAGACTCAACAGATGCCTCTATGGCTCTATGGTCCCTGCTCAAAGCCAAACCGCATGCCGTGCGGTTTACCAGGACGACAGCTTTGCAGCCTCAGGTCACTTGGGGGTGCTGCAGCTTCTACTTGAGCTCCGCGGCGACATCGACAAGGCGAGCCAGCCGCGTGACTTTGCGGAACTCCGTGGCTTCAAATCTGAAGCCATGATGTGATCCCGACGCGAGGCTGGTGTGGGTGGTGCGACGTCGCTGCACTACGCTGCGAACTTTGGGCACCTGGACCCTTCGCTCAGAGACTGGTGCTAGTGCCTTATTCATTGCACCACTGGCCGTGCATGGCCGGGCCATAGAGCGTTGTCGGAGTGCAGCAAATGCAGCTTGCAGGACATCGTGCTGAAGTTGATCGAGGTGTGGCATTTCAGCTCCTTAAACTGCCGGCAGCCAGCTGGTCGATGTCTGCTCCGGTCAGTGGATGAAGGGAATCACCTGGTAGCTTGATATTTGGGAATTGTCAGGCAGCATGGGGGTTAAAGCCTTCTTCATGATGCGGAGTTCGGGGATAAGGGAATGGACATAGGACAGTCGAACGAGCGATGAGAGCGTTGGAGAACCCATCTGTGAGGCTAAAGCGCGCCTGGGCGCCACGACAGACGCTGGGCTGGACTTCGTAAATTCTTTACCAAGCAAGTATCAACTTCGATTTTAGCAATTTAGCGTCGAATTTTACGATTCACCAAGGCGCAGGGACGCTCACCTTTGCTGCTCGCAGCGTCACGCGGACATGCAGAGGCGAGGGGACGGGTGCTGTAAAGCAGAGGATGCATCCCGTAAACACCGATCGTGTGTGGAGTGTTTTTACGTCAAGCTTCATTTATCACCGGGGTGCTGTATCCCGGTTCGAGTTTGGCATCTTCGGCCCCTCACGCGCTTCAGTATGTGAAGTTTTCGCGAGCCGTGTTTCCTCCAAGTTATAGTTACATTACTAATATTACAGTACATTGCACAATGCAGCGGGGACTTGTCGCGACGGACCTGCACGCCAAGTCGGCACGGATATTCATTTGGCGTGTGGGTACAGGCTGACCAGAACCGATCTCCCGCACTCCGCTCCAAGAGGTAGGAGGAATCTGTGTACGATGTGCCTTTTCGGAACGACCGGCCCGGCAGATCCTGACGGGCTGTCATTTCCCGTCCACCTTGGCCTTGGCCTCGGTAGAGTATCCTACCGTCAGGAAACGGCCAAACACATCTCCAGCTTCGTCTTGCAAATGGGAGGAATCTAGGCTTCACCCTTATTGATGCAGTCAGACTCACCAAGCAGAACCACTGTTGCATGCATCCTTTGCTGTGTGTTTCGACGGGTGCGGAATGACGCAGACACGGGGGATGGCTCACCGATCTGCGTGATTTTTCCACCCTGGTTCTCTACACCAGTCGCGGGCGATCGAGTGCATGAGGGTGAGCGAGAGAGAGTGCGGTTCCATCCTTCCTCCGGACCGGTTTCGCACCCAGGCTGGTCCATGCGACTATTGAGACCTAACAAACAAAACTATTGGGATGCTCAAGGGGGCCGCCCACAAGGTGAAGAGAGTCGTCCCTGCTGCCGGCCTTTATTGTCCAGCAGCCCCTGATGCTAGACCACCGTCGACCCCTTCTTCCCGCCTCATTAAGCCATGAGCCAAAATTCCTTCCTTGATAAGAACGTGGGGAGGCAGACTGGGGAGGCTCAATTCAGTCTTTAATAATCCGCAAAAGGGGCCAGGCAACCCCACCTGCAGGGGGGGGTGCACTTCTGCAATTTCCTGCAACTTTGAGTCCCTCGGGGGGGAGCCGTGGTTAATGATGAACTTGCTTGGCCTTGCTGCTTCACTCCGAAGCCCTCGATCTTTTCATTGAAGCATGTCGGCACGTATTGTCGCAACAAGGTTTTGTGTTAGCATCAGGCGAGGGAATGATGCCCTTGACGTACCCGCTCTACTTTCCCGTTCCTCATACTGCTTTCTGTCGAATCGCTCAGAGCCGCGGAACAGTCCCACCCACCACGCCGAACCGCGACAATGGACCTGAGGGGGGCGTAGGACAAGGAACTGGTTGTGCGAACTTGCGCAGGGGAATCCTGCCACGGCCGGGGACCCATAAGGGCTGCAGCAAGCAAGAAAGAGAGAGACAGAGAGAGATGAGCCATTTTGGCTCAAGTACTGCACCCTTTAGAGGTTGTGGCCCTCTGGGGAGCCGGCACGTTTTCTCGCAGCGGTGCTTGAGTCCTATATGCGCAGCCGTTCTTCTTACGTGGCCCTTGGGCGCCCTCTCTGCGTCTTCTTCAACTGAACGCGGCCCCTCGCAAGAGGGTGGCCCGCTAGTAGGGGGGCAGAGCATACCACTTCCCGGAGGACCTCTCCGTGATCCAGCAGATCTACCAAAACCACGTCCTCGACAAGGGCAAGCTCCTCGAATAACCCCGGAGGAGGAAAAACAGCAAAGGTGGGGCATTCGCGAAGCCTCTGCCAAACCCAAGAAAGTCAACAATACTTGGCAAGACACGTACAAGCACGCCATCGCCAAAAGAGAGCGCATAGCCGAGAAGAAAGCCAGCAAGCGCAACAGGGGCGAAGGCAGCACAACAGAGGAGACAGACACTGAGAGGGCGGCGCAGTGAGCCAGCCTTTCTGATGTGACAGGGGATAAGTGCGGCTGGAGCTTTCTTGACATGAAGTTTTTGGTGGGGTTCCTTGGTTTGGGGGGATAGCCAGCACTGATCCGCTCTCGTTCCCGCAGTCGAATAGCTCTGTCTTTTCGCACATATGCACGTACAGCAAATCCATGACCGTTCATCCAAACAGTGTGTTTTGGAACTGCCGGCAAAGCTGCGTCCGGGTGTGAACTTTTTTGCAGGGGCCGACCATGGCTCTTCTGGGGCAATGGACAAAGCCCCTAATGCTAGGTTCTTTTCAGCGCACCTTCTCGCAATTGTGCTTTTGGGGGACAGGAGGCTACAATTCACTCCAATCCGACCTTGCTGCGTATGTCTGAGCCTGCACGCAGCCATGGGGGAATGCACGTTTTTCCTCCTGCTCCCGGAGAAGGCTGGCATGCGTGTGAGGGGGAATGTTCTTTTAGCTGCACGCAAACACCTGCTTGTTGATCTGGAGTCCGGGGGAAACGCACGCGAGCCTTCTCCTTTTCCTCGTATAGCCGAGCCTCCTTCGGCGAAACTGAAGGGGGAACCGCAGGTGTGCGAACGCGCATGAGGAGGGTAGCCTGGACGCTGCTGCCCGCCTCACACGAGGGTCACTCCCCCTCCTTTCTTACCTCACGAAAAAAGGAAAAAGAGAAATGCAAAGGGCTGGGTTTTAATCCCGGGGGCTGTGACAAGTCCCCAAGCCCGGGAAAGAGAGAGAGCGAGAGAGAGAGAGAGAGAGAGATACAAAAATATATATATATATATATATATATATATATATATATGTAATATACATTTAAGCGCCTTGGCTGATGGGGTTCGCTTTTCCATCCGTTTGAACACAGCACACACTCTGTTTCCTTTGGTGAATTTTTTCCGCCCAGGCTTCCCATGCAATATCGGGGGCGCTGACGCGTGGGGGTGGGGGTAACTCCCTCGCCCTTTACCCCTCCGAACGAGAGAGAGAGAGAGAGAGAGAGAGAGAGAGAGAGAGAAAGACAGACGGTCAAAAAGGCAGCTCATTCCTGCCAATCCCGCTTTGCGATAGCGTCCGAAGGACGTAAAACGAAGTCTAGTTTAGCATGCAATCAAGTTTCACTTCAGATTGTATTAGGTACCTGACAGTCGTCATGATATCAGTACCATCTACAGAATCTACAGCAACAGACGGAAACATAGAATGAACATTTGCCAGACACGATTACACAAGTTTCGCAGGCCCTCCCAAGGACAAAACCTGGAAAAGCCGGACACATTGAAGTAAGGTATGTGCAGATTGCCATCCTGTTGCTAGGCTCAACCATGCTCTCGCGCCTTACCCACGTGAACGTTACCCATGATCACGAACCTGGTGGCGTGGACAGTACCATGCTTATGGGCACGAAAGATGCAACCAGCAATTGGGTGTGATCATGGTTTGGAACCGGATGCTTTGACAAACGGATGCATGCATGGACGTTGTAATGTTGGGTGAACAAGCGTGAAATCGCAGTGTATACCGCTTGCAGCTTCATTCTTTCAGACATAACACTGTTACGGGATGATCCGCAGAGAGTTTTTTCGTCAATTAAGAGTTCAGCCCCTAACACTAGTACATGATTGATTCCTGGTGTCCCCTCGAGCAACGCGCGGTGCAAGCAATAAGCACCGTGGACTCCACCTCAGCAATTTCTGTATGCTTCTTCCCTTGCCGTGCATTGTTGCAGAACTGTAGAACGGGCATGAAACGGGAATTGGCAGGCATTCACATATGTTTTCAACGGCTATGCCTGCAACCCGAGAACTCGCAAAGAAACCGATGCAACCACAGACAGCGAGCTGCAAGCGCTGCAAGGAATTCAGTGGAACATATACCGCGCAAGCTCGGCTCCCGTTTGTTTTTTGGAACATGTTCCTCAACGCATCACTCACATCGCAGTTCTGTTGACAGGACAGAAACATTCAGAAACCTCCATTCAGGGCATATGGATTCAAGAAAACGCGAGTGCATTAAGAGGCTCAGCCGCCCGAAAAGTTTTGTCCCTTAATTGGCACTCCATGAGCTTCGCCCGCCTGCGAGGTGGTGGCTGCCTTGGCCAAGGCAGGGGGGCCCCGGGGATTTTATTCGAGAGTTGCAAAAGGATACTCTGAACGCTGTTCAGGCCCGTGCCGATCTGGAGCAGGCAGCTCACAACAACGCGGCTTGGCAGCTAGCACTTCACGTGCAGCAGAAGCAGAGTAGATGCTTTTCGACCCGTCACAGCATTTGAGATTCTCCGGCTTGAGCTTGACTTGAGCGGTTGACTCAGGAGACCCCGCTGTATGCTGCGGCGCAAGCGGGCTATGGAGAGGCAACACGAAGAAAGCCGAGTTTTGTTTGCATGTTGCCGCGACATTTGGCGCCCTGTCCGCTAGGTAGTGCGCGTGCTGTTGAACGACGACGACAGCTGGAAAGGCACCCAGCCGCTACGCGCCGCATCGCGGTAGCTTGGCAGCAACGCTTCACCAGATCAAGGCGACGTCAACACCACTCCAATCAGCATCATATCGTGTGCTCGTAGCATCAAACGGGTTTCGTGTTGTATTGATGCAAGTAAAGTCATGTCTTAGAAATTCGTAACATCAGGCGGATGTCGTGTTGCATTTATGCAAGCGCAAGTCTTCATTCATGCAGGTGTGGACACATGGACGTTGATGTGGTCGGCTTCGACATGCCACAGGCAGAATCCTCATGCTGCTGTAACTCCCGACATGCATTCTTGACAATTGGATGTGCTGCAACCAGGATGGCCAACTGGGCTCTGTCCTTGCAGCAAGGCCGCCCTCAGGCATGATACAAGATCTGCTCAGAGGATCGGCCTTCGGTCTGTTCGCCGGGCCCTCTCCCCGCCTGCAGGTCCCCAGCGCATTGCCGGTCGTCGCTGACATTCTCTTGAGATGCTTCTGAGTTGCACTCGGACAGTTTGCTAAGTTTCAGGGGGCGGTACGGTAGTTTGTAACAGCCACCGAGGAGACGAGATGGCATGGGATACCGAAAGATGCACGGTTCACCTTCTTCCCGCGGGATTTTCCAGCTTGCTGGTGATTTGATCTGCCCGACAGCTGGAGCGGAGACTCTCATTATATTATATGGAAATATATTATTATACTATAACTATAATTTGATAGAGTGTATTGGAATATAATACACTGTAATATACTGTACTAGGCACTTCTTTACCAAGTAACATGTAGGAGCATTGGGGAAGCTTCCCTTGAAGGCTTGATCAGAGCACCAGGCGCAGCCGTGGCTGCGCTGCACAAACAGAATTCGCCAACTCACCAGCTGACAAGCTGCAGTCCCGGGAGCACCTTCGCCATGCTCTTACTGTCAATGCTGAAACCGACATCGCCTGCTTGTGAACGGATAGATGGCGGATGCACATCCCTGGTTTCAATGGAGCTGTAAGATGTGGCAAACAAGACCACTCCGGCTTAAAGACTTCAGGGCCCTTGGAAAACTCCACGTTGCTTCCTCTTCCGCAGCTCATCGGAGCGTGATGCTTTGGATCCAGGGAGGATCAGCGATGCCTGTGCCCTGGGCAGGTGCACCGAACTTGATGTGGGAGCATGAGCAGCTCGATCCTTGATTCCAGGTCTGTGCTTTGCAGGTGTTCTGCCAGACGTCCTGGCTGCGTCTGCGTTTGCCAGGGTGTAGCTGCAGCGAGCGATGCAACTCAGCGCATGGGTAAAGACACGCTAACAGGCTGCTAGCACTTAAGAAGAACACATTCCCAAGACCTGCTGTTACCAAGGAAGATGGTAGTGGCAAGACGAGAAACTACATCGTGTTGCGCTTCTCGACTTAAGCAGAACGAGCTAACGTGTGTGCAGTTTGCCCAGGGCCGATTTGGTTCTGGACATGCCAGTATGACTGGCAGTGTGCTGGAGGTTGCAATCCTGCGCTTTCTAAAACATTATTATGCCCTCGTTCGTACTTCGTGGTCTGTTTGGTTCAGCTTCGTGCGTCCCCGCATTTGCTATCACAGAGACTGTCTGGCAGAACTGAACACGGAAGCTGAAGCTGCGTCTCTTGCAGTTCCTTTATGCCCATCTCGCCTCTTGTCGTCTTCAGGTTGTATGATTTTGCTACGTAGCCTTTCGAAGTCAGCGCCGTTTATGCCCTGTCACAGTCTCTCAGTTGGCTTCTCCAAACTCGAAAGCATCCCAGAATAAGTAGAGGCCGCAAAGATCCGTAAACCATGCTCTTTGTTTGTGCCATCTTAGCTCTAAAGGCCTGGTAAGCCCTAAACCCTAAACCCCCGAACCCCTAAACTAAACCCTAAACCCTACTCTACCATGTCATCTCTTCCTCTCTTTCAGCGCAAGAGTAGCGAGCTTGAGCCGGCAAGGTGCCTCTCGAGAAGTCGCCGCAGGCCAAGCCCGGAGATGCCCCAATGTCCTTGCTTAGGCTTCAGAGAGCTTTAGGGTTTAGGGCCTAGGGGTTCGCCAGCATAGTTGGGGCCCTGAGCAGTTCGGCTTTGAAGCAATTTCTCTTCCTAGGGATCACCCCTAAGTGCAAAATCGTAACCCCTAAGTGCAAATCGCCCCCAAGTGCAAAAACGTCGCCCCCAAGTGCAAATCGCTTCTGAGGCTGGCAAGCCAGAATTGCCATGACAAAAACTGTACCACAAGCCCAGCCGCATATCGCTGCGCAAAGCAAAAAACTACGCTGGCGTAGCCTCTACAAGTTAGCGGTTTAGGGTTTAGGGGTTTAAGGTTTAGCGGTTTAGGGTTTAACAGCTGCTACAAATGCAGAAAGTATAGGCTTGTGAATGATACTAGTGGTGCCAATCATAGTAGCATGAGTCGTGGTAGGAGTGGAAGTGGAAGTAGTAGTAGCAGTGGTGGTGGTAGAAGTGGTGTAGTAGTGGCAGTAGCAGTAGCAGTAGCAGTGGTGGTAGCAGTGGTGGTGGTAGCAGTAGTAGTAGTAGGAGTAGTAGTAGTAGTAGTAGTAGTAGTAGCAGTAGTAGTAGTAGTAGTAGTAGTAGTAGTAGTAGTAGTAGTAGCAGCAGAAGCTGTAGCCGCAGCAGTAGCAGTGGCAGCAGTCAGTAGTGGCAGTACCGGCAGTAGTGGCAGCAGCAGTAATTAAGTAGGAGGAATAGGGCGAGAGGAGGAGTAGCAGTAGGAGTGGGAGTAGGAGGAGGAGGAGGAGGATGAGGAGGAGCAGGAGGAGGAGGGGGAGGAGGGGGAGTAGGAGTAGTACGAGTTGGAGCAGCAGTAGGAGTAGGAATCTGGAGCCGATCAGCGACCAAACTCTTGAAAACGTGCGAGCAATCTTGGTCCACTTGCACCACTTGGGGGGGGGTGACCGGTCATCTTGCCAATCTTGGTCATGTTGACTGCTACCGCTTGCACCACTTCGGGGGGGCAGAGGGGCAATCTTGGTAATCTCAACCTCCCCAGGATTGGCAAGATTAGCAAGATGACCAAGATCTCCGTACGACTGATCGGATCCAGATTCCCGACACAATGAACCGTTGTGCCTTTCATTACTTAGCCTCAACCTCCGCCTCCTCCTCCTCTTACTCCTACTCGGACGGTAGCAATGATGGTAATCATCATATCCTAATCGTAATCATCTGAATGCCCTTTTTGCCAGAGGCGAGGAGTTGCTGCTTCCTCGCGCTCGAAAGAGCCCACGGCCACGGCCACGGGACCGATGCATTTGGAAGACGATGCTCGAAGGTGTAGGGACAGTCTTGCGACATGCAGGACTTGCTGGGTGCCGCCCTGCAGAAAGCATTGCAGGCGGCTTGGAGAGTTGCGGAGGAGTGCCCTGCCTCAGAGCATTGTGCCAGGGAGCTGTACCAGCCATCGCAGCCGCGGAGATTGCTGCTCGTCTCTGTAGCTTATGCTTAGCTCATGCTTTCCCATGCCTCAAGAGACAAGAGGTCCCAGCTCGCTGTCGTTCTCTAAGGACCTGGAGGAGCGGCTTCAAGGGGATATCTTGCAAAATCTTGCTTAAATGGCTTCTTGCCTTCGTGCAGGACGTCCTGAGCTACCCGTCATCCTTGGCAACACGCCTTTCTGATGTCCATGGCCTGGGAGCGCCTTGGACTTAGGGAGGTGTGGAGATGGGCGTTATGGGATATGTTCGCTGCCATTGGCCTCCTTGTAGTGTTCATCTGAACTTCAGGTCTACGCGAGGAAGGCCTTTGCCGAGGGAGAGATCGTGGAAATTGCTCCAAGTATCCTCTTGATGGAGAGTGTGCCGTGGCTTACTTGAGGGCGAAATCATGTGATTATGTCAATGTGTTTGGTCCAGGATTTCCGATCGCACGGAGTTAAGGAGTTGGGACGGCTGCTTGCCGATTACCGGTACTCTGCCGAGCGGCTGCGTGCAGGGCTGTTCCGCTGCTCAGCTGCAAACGGCCCGACAGGAGACAACGCTGCCTTTAATTTTCATTTGCAAGGTTGTGTCGATCGATGCCGAGCAACCCAGGAGTAGTCTTGGGCTGTGGGAGCATTTACAACCATGCGTCAGTTCCAAACTTGGCAACTTGGCACGACTAGGTGGTCTCCGTGGAAGTGCCAGACTGCACTCCTAGACCTGGCCTGGGAAAGGCTTACCGCCGCGTTCGAGTGGGAAGCTGTGCGCCATCACAAAGCTTGAGTGCAGCCTGGATTGATAAGAACAGATAGGAGCAGCAGTCTGAGTAGTTTCTGAGTAGCAGGCCTTCTTGCTTCCTCTGGTCCAAGCTGAGATCTGCTACGTTGCCAAACGCGACATCGCTGCCGGGGAAGAGTTGTTGCTGCCCGGTCTGAGTCAGTGGGGGAGCCCTACGCTTGCCTTGCCAGCTGCCAAGCAAGCGAAAGCAAGGATCTCTTATGGCAAGACGTGGTGGTCCTCTCGAGGAGTCTTTGATGCCAAGCAGAAGCCACAGCTGCTGCTGCCGCCGCCTTCATCGCGCACTGCGAAGGACCGGTGACCGGTCCCTGCTGTCGACTTTACATGAGCTCCACGCAGTGCCGCAGAGCCTCAGCCAGGACTCGGACCCTTTCCGGAATGGCAACGCGAGGCCGAGGGATGCCGGGATGCCAGGGGGCTCAGGGCTCCCGTCAGCCGAGACTTTGCAGCATTGCAACTTTGCAGGCTGCGCCGCTAAGCCGCTTGCAAGTTGCCGGCGATGCAGCGGAAGAAAAGAACAGCTTCGAAGTGCATTCATCGCGCACTGGGTATCACTGCCTTCTCCGTAACCCTGACAACTGGCAGGATGCTCTCCTAGATGTCCTGCAGGCACGGTGACGGTGCAGAACGCAACTCTAGGCTGCACTTAAAGCCTGCAAAATAGAACAGAGCGCCTTGAGAGCTGCAGCTTTGCGGCTCGATGAGGAGAAAGCAGGACTTGCAATGCTTTTGCACTTCACTAGCTGCTAGCTGCTAGCTTCGTCAGCGACGTGTCCATTCCTTCAGTTATCCCCTGTCCACCTTGAAAAGTAGCCTTGCGATGGGCCGAAAGCGCATTCGGTGTCGATTCGCGGGCTGCAGCTGCTGCGTGCTGACGCTTGCAGGCCAAGCAACGACGTGCTTACAACATCCGTAAACAGGATTAGGCAGAGGGACAGACCACTTCGTCGACATTAGCCTTCTCTTATTGGTTGTGCTTTTCTATTCTCGGATAGTGGGCGTGTTTGTACTCCGTGCTTGATAATTAATGACAGGATGTGCAAGAGTGAGACCCCATTGTGATAGCTTCGTGGTGACATGATGACCTAACTTGCACCCTGTTGCGTGCGCCTCCGCCACTGGATTTTCTGCAACTGCTGCCAACTGATGCTTTCTGCCAGAACGCAAGAGGCTCTGAAAGGCTCTTTGACCTTGCCACTGGCAGGTCTGACTTTGGCGTCTGCATTCGTTGCGGCTCCCACTGAAGTCCCTCGCTGCAGGCGCGGGGGCAGACAGCGTGCTTGGGGTTTGCTTTTTGCCCGCGGAACCTGCGAACAGCTCGTGGAAGGTTTGCGTTGTCATGGCCAATGTTGGGGTGTGCAGGGTAAATGCATGGGGCCTCGTTCACCAAACAATGAGTCAGATTCAAATTCTTCTTGCTTTCCGCCGCCGCTGGTGCCGTGATTCGGTAGACAACAGAGTCGGCCTTGAACATGAACCAGGGCACATATTCCAGCGAGTATCAACTCATCAACAAAGCAAACACGCACAGACTACTCCAAATTCGGCCACCTGCTGCTGCTCTTGCTACGTAGGTTGTGCAACACTGCTTTGCATGGAAGTGTTCCAAGCTGTGTGTGTTGTAGGAATGAAGGGCTGGAGGTTTCCGAGGTCGCACATGTCAATACAGATTGGCAAGGAGCAGTGCTCGCTTTGCTGGTGGCGACAAGGCCCGCTGGCTGGTGTGCCATCCCGAAATCACTTGGAGGCTCACCCTGCATCCATCAGGCGCCGGCGGACGATATCGTGGACTTGCGATCTGCAGGACCTCGGCGGAACGCGCTCTGAACGAAAGCTTGTAAGGACGGTAGAGGCCAGCAGAACAGGAAGACATTTTGAAGCTTTGCAGCTCGTTGGCCGTTGTGCTCGACAGATACCATTCTGATGTAACAATCCAGCAGAAGCTTTCACTGCCTCCTTTGCAGCCATTAGCCATTGACACAAGGTGGGGTCATGGCATAGCTCCGTGAAACTGCTTGCGAGTTGGTATGCTGGTTTGAGGTTTGCTTGAACGGACTCTGTCTGCCACTCTGCGTGCATCATGGCAGAAACAGACGGAGACTTCATGTTCTGTCTCGACTCTGTCTCTCTTGAATTTTGCTACATGTAGTAGCCGATGCAATGAACTTTGCAAGCCGAAAAGCCTTGTGGAGGGTGGACGAAGAAGCCTTCAACAGTCAACAAGTGCAGTGATGTGCTCAGTCAGAGAAGCGGAAGAGAATGACACAGAGACCTGGGCGTTTTTGAGTCCCCTCAGCTTGGGGTCTTGTTAAGGAGTTTAGTTCAAGTTACTATAGACCGTTATATATATCATATTCAGGAAACCGTAGAACTTATACTGTAGATTGCGCTATTCTGATGGAGCGCTTCAGGAGGCCTAGCATTGCTCGGTGCCGTCCTGGGCCCTGGGGTCGATGCTATTCACAACCAGGCCGCTGCTGAGCTGTTAATGGCTCTCTGTAGGGTGTGTTTATTGGGCTTAGGGAATTTAGAGGGCTTAGTGCTGGGGTGATCTGGGGTGTAGGATTTTCGGGTTTAGCAGTTAAAACGTCTAGGGCTTGGGGATCAGGACTCTGTTGTCATGTGCGAGCTCCGATCCTCTCTCCTTGGCAACGCAAGCCTCTTTTGAGGCGCTTCTGAGCTACGACGTGCTGCCCGTCAGTGCGGACTTGGTCGTCGGTGTTGCGCGCACTTCCCTGCTCGCAACTCGGACTCAGAATGGGTCGGTGAAATTCCCAGACGCAGAAGGTTTCGAGAATGCTTCAGGTGCCACCGCTTCTCGCCGTAGCATATGCGCTGCTTGGCAGTGTCCTGCCATCCCTGGCTGCATCGACTCTTGGTGACCAGGGAGCACGAGTTAGAACTTGATGGCTTCCGTTGCACAGGAGTGTCTTTAACCGACCATTCAGGCGTTTTGGGTTTATGTAGGGTTTAACATACTAGTAGAGCACACTTCCATAGTCAGCTTAGACAAGTGGGTCCCAACATCAAGACTCCGACCCTTCCAGAAGTCTGTTTACATAAGCTCCATGACATGAGTCAAAGTCAGTAAGTTTTCTGCACGTCGAAGGATACTCGGTAGCGAGAATGCCGGGAATTTGCCACTGCTGCGTGGCCTGAGCCCACTGAGTCGGGCCATTTTGGCGGTGACATCCACCTGCCTGATCATTAAAGCAAGCGAGCTGCTGATCTCTGCAGGAGTTTCTGGTGCCATAGCTCTTCCGCTGCTGATGCTGCTGGCATTTTTTCAGTGGGCCGTCCTGGATGGTCGTCTCTTTGCACTCGCTTTGGCACTTGTCGCTGCCATTGGTGGGCCGCTTGCGGAGCTACCGTTGATGTGGCTCGGTGCCTGGCATTACACGGCTCCTGACTACTGGCCTTTGGCGGCCTTCGGGCTAGGCGCCACGAGCGGGGCAGCTTGGGCTGGCCTTTCCATGACGACCGGTCCATGTTATTTCGCTGTGACAACGGATGCCATGGCCCTCGGAAGACTCTTCGCCAGCTGGCGGAGAGAACCCTAGCCGCTAGCCGTTCTTCCATTCCTTTGAATACTGTGGCCAAAGTTGCCCACACAGAAGGAGTTGCGCGGGAGGGTGCTGCCCAAGCATTTTGCAAGAGCACGATGCCCGACTGCCGGAAGCATCCTTCGTCGAAGAAAGGTAGATGAGATTTCGTTCACGCTAGGATGGCATGAAGGGCCCCTGCACGAGAGACTCAAGCTTCAGCGTCTGAAGAGGTGGGTATCTCCCGGAAATGTGCCCGGCGTCTTTTTCGGCTGCTCGCCGCTCGTGACATGTTGGGGGGCTGCCGGGTAGGCGAAGCCGTGAGATCTCCAAAGTCCAATGCCAGGCAGCCGTCCCTCGGCCCGCGGCCTCCATCGGTCTGGCCCTTGGCACTGAAGTCTTAAGCGATCTGCGGATGTCTGCTGTGAGCTGCCCCTGCGGTCTGCACCGAGGTAGTGGCGTGGGCAGCTCGGCAGAGCTGCCACAGCTTGCCCAGCCTGAGTCTGGGGGCCAAGACTGACAGGGTGGTGGGGCTTGGGGCGGTGGCGGGCAATGTTGGAAGCCGAATGCAGGCTGTGGGCTGTGGAAGAGCCGGCCAACGCGACAGGCGAGCAGTCCGGAGCTTCGGGGAAGAGTGGGGGAAGGGTCAGGGTCGTCTGCGTGCTGTGAAAGCGGTTGCAACTTTCCGGGCTCCTCAATCTCAAGTTGCGCTTGGCACGACCCCGCATTGGGCGCCATGCTTCGACAATTGCTCTTTGCTTGCCTGGCTACCGGTCTTTGCCATACCCCGTGCAACAACAAGCCAAGCTGCGTCGAGTACCTCCAAGACTGGCTCCAGCAGTCTCATGAGGCAGAGCAATCAGCGCAACGGCATGCACAACTGAGCGGAAAGCCTGGGACGGCGAGAGCCGTATGGGCATGGACGCAGCTGGGGGCTGCGGGTGGAGCCACCATCAATTCGCACTGGTACAGCCAGAAGGATTGTTTCGTGAAAGCCTTGGAGCTGGATCCTGACCATCCAGATGCATGGTCCCACTTGGGTGTTGCGGGGGGTGGCATGGTGGGCTCCAAATTTTTCAACCAGACCGACTGCTTCGTTCAGGTTCTGAAGTTTAAGCGGAACAGTTCAAGCGCCTGGTCACACTTGGGCACAGCGGGTGGTGGCAAAGTCGGCTCCACCTGGTACACTTGGAGAGACTGCTACGTGAAGTCTCTGGAGCTAGACCCCAACTATGCCGACACTTGGGCAAACTTGGGAGCGGCGGGTGGTGGTAAAGTTAGCAACACCTTCTACAGCCAAACAGCTTGCTATGCAAAGGCTCTGGAGCTCAGTCCCAGAAGCTCGAGTACATGGTACAACCTGGGTGCAGCAGGGGGTGGAAAGGTGAAGGCCACTACATTCAGCTCCTGCGACTGCTATGTGCGGTCTTTGGAGCTCGATCCCAAATTTGCCCCGGCATGGTCCAACCTGGGAAGCTGCGGCGGTAGAAAAGTAAAGGGTAGCTGCGGCGGCAGAACGTGCAGCCCGAAGGATTGCTACGTGACGGCGCTGGAGCTTGACCCCAAGTACGCGGATGCTTGGTCTTCCCTGGGGGATGCCGGGGGAGGCAAGGTTGGGTCCACCTGGTACAGCTGGAAAGACTGCAAAGCAAAGGCACGCGCTTGGACGTTGCACCAGGAGGCCGAGACTTGGTACAACTTTGGGCTTCTCGGGAGCGGCTCCATTGGCCGAAGTGAGTGCAAAAGTCCAAAGCAGTGCTTCGAGAAGGCCACGGACCTTCTGGACCAAGAGTTGGATGCTGTCGTCTCGCGGCTGCCCGAAGGTAGTGCGGACGACTTGCGGGACATCGCTATTTCATTGCTGGGTGCTTCGAAAACCGCATTCAAGGATCAATTGACTGCAGTGTTCACGGAGTGCCACCCGAGCGCGCCAGCGTGCCTCGATGCGCAGGACGAACAGCATCAGTTTGCAACTGACCTTGCTCAGCAGATGCCACACGTGCCTCCAGAGACGATTCGCGCTGTCTTGAAGGGAGCGTTGATTCAGATGCAATCCACTAGAAGCAAGCTTGCTGAGCCGGACGACGACACACTGCTGGAAGCAATATGCAAAGCAGAGAGAATATGGACGCGCCAGCACTCCACTTTGAGAAAGCTCGCAGCTGCTCCAGTTGCTTCGCAGGTGGGCCATCATTTTCTTACCTGCACGTGCTCACTGCTTGCTGTCCCTCCCTCTTTCTTTCTCTCTCTCTCTCTCTTACTCCCTCTTTGTCGCTCTCTTCTTGTCACTCCTTGAAGGGTTTCTGCACTTGCACCATCGTGTGCTGCACAGGGCACACTGGCGGGGGGCGATCCCTGCAGCGCACTGCCGGGTTCAACAGGACGCCTTTGGGAAGGCGGCCCGACACCAGGAGATCCGCTGCCTCTCATTGCCTGGATGAGCAGTTTTTCACCCGTGTGACCTCGAAGGACTCAGTGTTGGGGCCACCCGAGCCTTCTTGGCTTTCGCTGCTCTGGCGGCTTTGACGATGGCTTTCGCAGCATCTCTCATGTGGAGGAGCAGCACAGGGCTGGGATGCTCTCTCCGAACATTCCCTCACTGTCAATTGCGTGATCCTGTGATTCTTTGATGTTTTTGTATATTAATTACGTCGTTGCAATGCCTTCACGTGCACAGGAGACAGTCGACTTCTTTCCGCGTTTTGGTGCCCGATGACGAGGTTCAGATGCGGGAGGACAGTTTGGTGTCTGTGTTGTGAATCTGAAGGCACATTCCGCTCCTCCGTCGAATCCTTTTAATTACACCCAGCAGGGTTGCTTAGAGAATTCATTCACCGTCTCCTTGCAATGGTGGCGGCCTGCTGTGAGCAGTGGTCCTTGGAGACCCTGGTCTGTCCTTGCAATGGCTTGCAATGGCTTGCAGTTTTGTTTGTAAAGCGCAGCTCGTTTGCTCGCGCACAGCTCAGCTCCTGGCTGTCGCAGTCGCCTTGCCAAGCAATGCGAAAGAATTTGGCTCATGCCTCGTGCCTGATCTGACGTTTGCCAAGCAGGAGCAGGAAGATGTAGGGATAAAAGAACAGTTTCTATGGCCACCTGCCACAGCCGCAAGTCCTGGGCCTCCGTAACGACATCGAGTCCGTCGTGATCGTGCAACTTGCTCTTACAGCAACCTCCCATCAAGGGAAGATCTGTCAGCATGCAGCGGGCCAGCACTCGGATGCAGGTGTCGCAGTGCAGAAGCCAGAGGTGAAAGTGCCAGGGCCCCCGCCTGCTTTGCAGATTTCAAGCTAGTGCCTCCTGTAAGACTGCATATATGCCTGCTCTCGAGGCAAACTGTGCAGCGACCAGGCCTTCGGAATGCAGTTGAATCGGGCCGTCGGATACTAAAGCCTATAGGGCCTATATGCTTATGAGGGCTTTCCAGGATTGTGGTGCTCCCGGTTGTCAGGCAATTCTGCGAGAGCCTCATCCTCCCGCCACCTCGACTGCACTGGAAATGTGTGGCTGTGGCACACGACATCATGTCACCTCCGCGATGGAACAGTTTGCAGCGATTTCACAATGGCGCTTTCCTCGCAACCCCATTGACATTGGTGCAAACACAGCGGATGCTGGCAAAGCTTGCCTTGCGTGCGACTAGCTCGTGTTTGCATGAGAAAAGGCATTAACTATCGCCAAGACAGAACCTCACAGAAGGAGTTGCGATGCTTGCAGCTATCAAGAACATGAGAAAGTAGCCACAAGTGTCACAAGTGCACAGGTTCTCCAGAGAGACGCGAATCCAAGCTCTCTTCAGGCCTTGGTCAGGAATGAACTTCTCGGAGAGCTCTGCCGTGCCGCATCCCCGACCTTTGCATGCCTGTTTGCGAACTGCAGGGAGGGGCTCCGCTGCCGGCGAGGCCATTCTGTCAAACTGCCAACTGGTTCCGGAAAGTCGTAAGGAACCTTGAGGGTAAGAGGTAGGCAGACAACTAAGCTTCGTCAGGCCTTAAGAGACCCTTATGAGGCCTTGAGTAGGGGTCTTGCCCCTTGTGAAAAAGGGTTTGAGGCTTCCTAGAGCACCATAGATCGGCTAGGTGACTGCAAGTGGTTCCGCGCCGCCGAGGACTGGCTTATTCAGGTTTTTAGTTCGTGGGATATTGGGGTCCTAGGGTTTTGGGCTTTAGGGTTTCAGGGTGTTTAGAGTTTGGAGCTGTAGTGGTTTAGGGTTTTTTGGGCTTGAGAGCACGCCGCGAAAGAAGTGAATGCCCACCTCCGAGGCCGCTTGAAGTCCATTCTAGGGTCTAGGTTTAGGGCTTTAGCGTTTAGGGGTTTAGGCTTTAGGATTTACGGTTTAGGGATTTAGGCTTTAGGATTTAGGGTTTAGGGCTTTGGGACTTAGGGCCTAAAGGGCTGTGGGGGACCAACTGGGTTTAGTTCTTTGTCTTCCAGCTGTATGTATGTTTGGAAACGACAGGTCAACACGATGTGCCAACAGCCCACAGTATGCGGATGAGATCAACTTGCGCTTAGGGGTTTACAGGTCCAAGATGATACTTCAGGATTTGTTTTGGGGTTTAAGGGCACCTTTGGGGTTCAGCGTTTTTTGGTTTCAGCGTTTTTTGGGTGTAGAAGAGGATTTAGAAATTGGATTTGATCACCAAGTGGAGAGGGAATCCACAAGAGTAACAACATGCACGACTGTACAGTACACAATCCTTTGTGTTTTGTCGGCACCCCGGTTTGTTCAGGAGATCAAACTTGTAGGGGGTTTGGGGATGTTTAGGGTTCCCTTCATCTAGGTTTTGATGGCTGGGTTTGGTTTTCAAGATAACTGTCTGGTCGGCGAAGACAAAAGCACGATTTCACAATCCACATTTCCTTTGGAAAAAGATTTTTTTGGCCTGCTGAAATTCCAGAGAGTTAGAACCTGTAGGGACGTGGGAGTTTCGAATTTAGGGTTTTTGCATTTCAGGGAATTCAGGGTTGTTGGGGCTTCAGGATTTCGTGGACAGATTTTCGGACGTAGGGGAAGAATATTTGAGGGCTTTACGGTTCGTGTGGGCTTCAAGGCAACTTCGGGGGTTATTCAGGGTTTAAAGGGTTCAGGGTTTAGGGGTTTAGGGCTTGGAACACGGATGCGGATGCGTGAATTTGATTTGACCGCCAAATGCAGAAGGAACCCAGAAAACTTAAACCACGCGCGAGTGTGCCATATTGCACACCCTGGATGTCCAAGATTTTCGGGTTTTCGGCCTTATAGGGCCTTAGGATGTTAGGGGTTCAGGGTTTTACATATTTAAGGTGTCAGGGTTTTCGGCTTCTCGGGTAGTAAGGTATTAGGGCTGTAAGGCTGTTAAAGGCACTGGGGTATCAGGTTTTCTTTTCTTAGATCTTTAGGGGTTGAAGGTTTTGTGGTTTAGAACTTTGGGGATTTAGAGTTTTAAGGCTTGCGGGCTTTGGGGCTTAGGGCTTTAGGGCTTGAAGGTTTCAGGGTTTAGAGCTCCAGGAGTTCAGGGTTTGTCGGGTTTGAAGGGTTTTAGTGTTTTGGGGTTTGGGGCTTTAGGGTTTGGAGGTGTTGTGGTTTAAAGCTTTGAGGGCTTAGAGTTTTACGGCTTGCGGGTTTGAGGGTTAAGGGTTTGGGGCTTCAGGGTTTGAGGGTGTTAGGAGGTTTTCGAGGTTTAGGGCATAAGGGCTCGAGGGTTTCAGGGTTTAGAGTTGCAGGGATTTAGGGTTTGAGGTGAAGGGCTTAAGGGTTCTGGGATTCAGGACTTTAGGCGTTAGGACTTGAGGGTTTGAGGGTCTAGAGCTGCAGGAGTTAGGGTTTGAGGTTATCAAGCTTTAATTAGGAGTTATTGTTTTTGGGGGTTTAGGGGTTTGGTGTTTTAGCGTCCAGAGCTGTAAGGGTTTGAGGTTTTAGGGTTTAGGTCTTTCAAAATCTCGTTTGATTTGAAGCCTTCGCTCTCCAAGCTAAAGATTGGACGTCACAGAACAGAAAGTGAATGGAACATGAGCAGCAATTGCTGAGGCAGTTGCACAAACTCAGGTTCAAGAATTGCAAGGTGTTCATATTCGGAGCAGGTTTGAGGTGGCGGAGCCTTCCTCCGGCAGCAGATGGGCAGCAATTTTCCTTTGGGCACGTAGTGCGCTTCATAAGGATTCTGCAAGACATTCGGCGCGAAGCCTTTTGTGTTGCAAATACCTGATACCTCAATACATACATACATACATACATACTTCACCGGTACTGTGCTTGGGCGCTTCGAGCTGACTTTTGCAACCGCCTGACGTCTTCGTCTTCGTCGTTCGACTCATGTTCGGTTCGCAGCTGCATTCTGCCAACTGCCACCCTTTGCAAAGAGAAGGGCACCCATCTCAAATGCTTGGCTACCGGTTTCTCTTTTGTGCAGGAAACCTGGTGGTGTGGGGGCCTCGTTGCACCCATCAGATTGCACTCTCAACCCGTGCACCATGGGAATTTTTATAGCAAAACTCTTCTTGTGGCAGGTTCAGATGCAAGAGCACGTGCGGCGGCATTGGCAACACGGCCTGAGAAGCTCTGGCCCTACGACCTCCACTCACGGCCCTGCAAAGCAGTGAAACAGCCGAGGTGACGCAGAGCCCCAGCCTGTGCCGCCTGCTGCGATGAGGTTGCATCGAGAGAAACCTGGTGACTTGTGAGGTGAGTAGGAATCGCGACAGGAAACCTTCCTTGACAAGCCAGCGCTCAGCTTCAGGATCGACGCTTGCGCCGTTCACCCGGCATGTTTCAGGTACAGGGCAAAGCCAATGCTCTGGGTCCTAGGCTTCGCTCTGCAGAGCTTGAAAGTGGGACAGACTTCCGTCCACCGCCACTTTTCAGGCCGGCGCGAGGAGCTTCGGCAGAGCCCCGAGCACCGCCCAGCGCCGTGCTGCAAAGCTTTTGGAAGCAAATCTCCCGATGAACCGCCTGGCTCGAGGTGTTTGCCTGTTTGCTGTAGCTTTGCTGCGTCACCATGGGTTGCTCTCAGAGTGTCACCGTCGAGGAGATTGGCAAGGACGCCCACGGCCACACCTTTCCGAAGTTGCCAGGTACCAAGAAGACTCGCCGGCCGTTAAAGAACGACTCTTGCGTGAAGTGGTGTGATGATGGCAAAGCTGACGAAGTGGCTGATTCGAGATGCATTTTTCATGTAGAGGGTGAGACTCTTATTGAATGCGAGGAATCGCCAGGAACCAGAAGCTACGACTCCTGGCAACATGTGTTGGATGCTGAAGATATGAAGGCGCTTCGGGCGGGTGTGCCGATGCCCATCAATCAAGCCGTGCACCATCGACTCGTCCGGCGGATGGAGTCGTCTCTGCTCGATCTAGCGGAGCATCCAGCTTTTCTTACACGTGAAGTGGCTAGGCGCCGCGTCTTGCAGACCGGCGAGGGCAGAGAAAAACTTGTTGAAGAACCGAGAGGACAGCTGCCTGAGCAGCGGACGCGGACACAACAGCCTCGCACGGATAAGACTGTTTCTTGCTAGTCGCCACGAGCAGCCCTTCTTGGCGTCCTACCACCAGATCAGGTTCTCGACGCGATCCCTGTGATGATTATTCTTAGTGTAGCCTCTTCTCAATGCCAGCAGGCAGGTTTGTTTGCGCAGGCCGTGGGCAAGTGCAAACAGCAAGTTTGTTGCCAAGACTGTTGCCTCCAGCCAAAACTGCCCCACAGCTTGCCCAGTCATATCCTGCCGCCGAATATGGCAGCCTGATAATGTAACGAACTACAGATCAGGTTCTCGATGCGATCCCTGTGATGATTATTCTTAGTCAGCGTAGCCTCTTCTCAAAGCCAGCAGGGTTCTCGATGCGATCTCTGTGATCATCATGCCAAGCTGTAGCTTGTTTTTGACGCCCTGAGGCAGGTTTGTTTGCGCAGCCGTGGGCATGTGCAAACAGCAAGTTTGTTGTAAAGACTTGTTTCGCAAGCTAAAAATGCCCACCGGCTGGCGCAGTCATATCCTGCAGACGAAAAGGGCAAACTACACAGATCAAATCACGTGGTCTTCAGGGCAAGCTGCAGACGCTACAGCAGGGTTCCTATAGTGTCAGATGATCTAAAGACCAGCCTGAAGAAGTGGGTGCGCAGCTTGGATCGTGACCACATCTTGAAAATGCTTGTCCCGAGGGGCAGCTTCTCTTTTGACGCAAGGAGAGTATCGACACGATCCTTCTTGTCAGCGCGTGGCAGGTGCTGTGCGAGTCGAAAGGTGGAAACAACATGCATTCTCAGGAGAAGTCTTGGGAATGACCGCCGTGACAGCTCACACAGCCAGATGTCTGCAACACTCTGCTGCGGCTGAGGGTGCAAAGCAACAGTCATGTGCTCTTAATTACAGCTTTCAGAAGCTGAAGACACTTATGCAGAGCATGAATGTCTTAGTCCTTCCACAGAGAAGGCGCAGTCTTAAGAACGGCCCGTGATTGGGACGCATACCACTGCCTCCCTGGGCAACTCTGTCTGTCTACATCCATCTCCCTTCACATTTGGCCAACAGCCAACCTGTTGGGATGTGTCATGCGACGGGAATCTGACCACGACGCTGCAAGAGCAGTGAGGTGGGCTTTTGAATAAAGTCTTTAACTTCAGCTGACGGTTTAGAGCACAAATCATGTGCTCTTCATTGCGAGTTGAAGGCAGGTTGGCAGCATTCGATGTTGTAGATGTTGGTGTCGAGAGAAGCCTGGTGAATCGTGTCCTCAGCTTAGATGATGACCATGTCTTCAACATGGCTTTCCTTGATTGGAGGGAGCCATCTTAATGATTGTCCCACATTGTTCGCATACAGCAGCAGCATCATTTTCGAGTTTCCGCCCTGCGATGAGAGAGAGAATCTCGACGCGATCCTTCTCACCGGCGCGTATTTGGTATTGTCCTACTGCAGGGACTGCCACTGCCATTTGCGGTTTAGTGTGTAAGCCGTGTTTAGCTCGCCCTCGAGACCATCATTACGGAAGCCCTGTTTCTTTAAGCAAAGGCGGAACAAAATTTATCCACTCATGTGTTTCTTGCAGCCAGATGTCGCATCTGCCTGAGCTTGATGCAAAATCGTGTGTTGATCATGGTGTTTGACTCTCGATCTGAGGGTTTCTGTTGCGCTGAACTGCTGCAATGTTTGCAATAGCCGCTCAATAGCCGAACCGAGCTCGGGATGCTCATTGATTGACAGAGTGCAGCCGGAACTGTACTGGTGAGTTCGTTTCATGAGCATATTCTGCAATTCCTGAGAGACATATGGAGTCACGTAAGTTTCCAGCAGGCTGCAGAGACATTGTTTCAGTTCTTGCATGAACCCATCGCTTGTTTGCACTCAGATGAGCACACGAGACGGCGAGGCACTTGCGCGAGAGTGATGCTCATGGATCCGCTTTGTTGACACATGGTCAGGTTTCAGCAAACATGGTTAGCTGTGGCATTGCAAGTCTAAGTGGGGCAAGAATCTGCAACTGCTGCTGCAATTATTCGCCTAATCCGGCAGTCTCCAATGAGGACGGCTGTGAAGGGTAGTTGGCATTCAGGCTATTTCTTTGAGGGTTACCAAACTCTGAGGGATCCCGCCTGTCGACCTTGCATGTCACCCCAAGTATCACAACTGGCAGTTCGGCCTTCCAGGTCGTATGTATCATGTCGTGATATCGCCAGGCTCGGCGCAGAGAACTCTCGCTCCAGTCTTTGCTGGACTTTGAGGCGGAGGTCTGGGCAACACCACGTTGGCTCTCGTCACTTCGATCGGGAGTCACAGGTGCGAGCACGGCAGGAACATGCATCCTCGGCGACGCCAGAGCCCCAGCTGCATCTCGACTTACTGCAGCACCGCAGCTCGATGCTTTCAGCGCCTCACGGCCAGACGCAGAAGCCGGGTCTCAGTAGGTGCAGTGGGCAGGTCCAGTGACCACGAGCCGCAACGCGAGCCGCCAGCTTCCTCGCAGGGGGGCCCACAAATACAGTACATGCTTTGGGTGTCAGCTGTCAGCTGGTACGGCGCAGGCTTGTCCCAAGCCCTGTCTCTCTAAGGCCACGGCCGGCAGAGAACCGTGACTCGCCACTCCGTTCACACAGGCATTTGGGAGTATGTTCACACAACCAGAGCACTTGGATTTTGTGTGTGTGTGTGTGTTACAGTGCTCGCCGTTAGCATTGTGTCTGTGTCCGAAGTTCGAAGCAGCTTTCAAGCGCAGAACTGGAGAATATCTTTGTGAAGCCTGCGAGGCTGCGTGCGCCTGAGCACCAGAAGGTGCTGCATTGACCGGATTGTGCGTCTTCTCGCGTTGTTTCTCTTCTCCCGTCGCATGCTCACACATATTTAATATTGCGAGCATGACAAGCTACGTACATGCAAGTCTCTGTCTGCACCTCGGCGCATCTGTTTGCTTGCGCGAGTGATTCTTGGGATATAGGCATTACAGGCTATGGGTGTTCGCGGAATGTGTGCAACCGTGCGCACCCAAGCCCAGCACCCATCTTCTTCGCATTCGCTACAAAGCTGGCTACGGTCGTACACATAGTTGTGCTGATACCCTAGGCTTTGCTTTGCGGTTTTTTTGGCTCTCTGCAGATTTGCCAGTTTCCAGATGTTCACAAGTGTCGGTCATTTGGAGACCAGAGGTAAGCTGCGGGCTGGATTTCTTCAATCGAGCCGATCCAGCTCGTGCCGTAAAAGTGCATGCTAGTCCTTTCTTTCTCCAATTCCCTGGCTTCATTTGCTCCCTTCCTTTCACTTCCCTTGGCAGGTGGTGAAGGCGCAAGAAGGCGAGATGAGGCCCTGGGCAGCATTCTTGACAGCTCTAGTTTCAAGCTTGTTGTAACTTGTTGATACACATCCTAATGTGTGAGGCATTGTGTCATTCCCAGTGCACTCTTCCGGACCTCGCAACTCAAAGCCTCAAATTTCGTTCCATCAGCAGTCTCGCGGGCCTCGATGGACGAGCAACGGTCTGTGCCAGCAATTAGGTACATAACCTAGACTAAACGCGACAAGACCCTTCAGCCAACGCAATGTTTGATGTTCCTGTAATGGTTGCACTATCACAGATGCGCGGCCAGCATCCTGCACCGTTTCCGCACGGCACTCGCAGCCGCCATGGCTCTAACATCATGGTTGCGTTGTTGTTTTAATTCTGATTGGCAAGCCCAAACCACCATGGTGACGGCATGTGACGGCAGTGTAGGAACTCAGTTTTGCTAAGATTGGACGGTCTGCACGGCTCGTTTTTGCTGTACCTGCAAGCTGTTACATGATCAGTTGTGCATGAAGTTCGGGTAGTTGCGAGTTCAACCCAAGCATGCCCAGCTGCAGAGGCATGTGGCGAAACCGTTTTTTTTTTGTGCATCGGCTGGCCAGAAAATCTGGCTGCCGAGAGGTTAGTGTTTCAGTCATGTTTGGGCCGTAGTTCCTTCGCCATGGTGCAGAGCTCGCACTCCATGCCGATGCTGCGTGTGGGACACCGCAGTGGAAGCATGGGCTTGGCGAGTGGCCTCCCGCCCTACCATGGAAGCAACAGAAGCCTCGTCGTGGGGGGTGAGTTTTTCCCCGCACTCCAAGGAAAGGACCGACGGTCGATGCCGCGCCTTCCAACGCCAGCGCACAGCCCGGTCGCCCCGATTCCCGAATTACGAGGACGTTGCAAGCTGAACTGATCTGTGCTCTGTCGAACCTTGGGGGCAAATTCCCGAAGCTCCGCAAGCTCAGATGCAGAGGATGGGATCAGCTTCCTTCCATGGAGCACGACAGCATTACACCTACGAAGCTGCTCTGCTGCCTTGGGATGGTCCGTGAGCCGGGGGGTGGGGGGCCATATTCTGTCACAGCCAAGGAGGAGGGATCCTCTTATGATCTCCGTGGGGGACTTGCCCCTGTGATGTGTAATCCGGCAATGCTTTCTAGGCTGCTGCGCGAGATTTTGCTTTCATTCACATTCATTACATTCTGGCTCTGATAGCTTCCGGCTCTTGGAAAGAATTCAGGAAGCGCGTCCTTCGCAAACAGAAAAGTGACATCCATTCAGATGTGCTTCTCGCGCCGCTCGGTGTGCAAATCAAGCATCATGTTTGCGGTATATATATATATATATATATATATATATATATATATTGATTTCTGCTCACGTGGAGAGTATGCTTGTCTTGAGACATCTTATCTGCATTATCCACATTGCAAGCATTGCAGTGCAAGCGACACGGGTTTGCAAAGCAGGCTCCCTTGGGCAAGCTTGATCGTGCACGTATCATCCCTTGGGCCGTGTAGTCACAGTCTTGTGTCGGATCCGTCCTGTGGCATGAAAGGGCGGGGGTCGAGAGGTGCTTGCTGGAAACATAGCTTCTCCGCTCCACTGCGGGGGGAGGAGTATCAGTCAATAAGCCGAGCTTTCCGGCCACTGTCCACGCGATGCCGATCAAGAGATCAGCTCCGCCTTGGGCTGGCCTAGGGGCCTAGGTTGTGTGGATTGCATTCTGTGTTTTTTCCCATCTGCCCTCAGCTTCTTC